AGTAGCCAGAATGTTATAAAGACAGTATATTATAATATCATTTTTTTTCCATCAGCAACCTTGAATTTCCCTTCGAAATTAAAAAAAGAAGCATCGACATTGGCATAAAACATTCAGTCTGATTCATTTAAAGACATTAATGAGCTGGTTTCTATTTCATGATCTCACCTTCAGAGCTCTACTTTCCTTCAGCCCTACAGCAACGGTGGTTATCGGGGACAAGAGGCTCCTTTGATGCATGATAAGCATAATCCTCTATTTATCAAGTGTCTATCATCAGAAACATCAAACATTACGAATTATTGGGGGTTGAACAGCCACTCTCATTATCTCCTAACTGTTGCATTTTGCACAGACACTTACTCAATACAGAAATGCGAATTATAGTTTGCTGATTCTGTGCAGCAGTGCACAATGGCGGCATACTTGGAAGGAGAAATTAGCTCTATTTGAATTTTAAGGAGGTAGATGTAATGTCCATTTACTGGGATAGTCAACACTGTAATGTTTGTAAAATAAAGATAATGTGAAGGCTAAGATCATTGTAATGTTTGAACTATGCATGGACAGCAGATGCCCAAACCAAGAGCAAGTGTTACTAGTTTGAATTGTCGGTTGACCATATTTGGAAATGATGAGAGAACTATGAAATCACACGAGGAACGGTATCAGGAGCGGATTACTTTGCGTTCCTGGGGTTGAATGCCATTTGGACATGATTGCCTGATTTGTGTTGTTTTTTACAATGGATGAGTACATTACAAAGTTAAAAGGTTTTTATTTTGAGAATTAAGATTGTATGGTTTAATTTAAAATTCTGTGGTTTTCCACCTCAAACGTTAACTTTTCCTCAACCGCACTGATGTAGCTCTGTGATCCGCTGACCTGCCGGTGACCTGTTGCTCATCAGACTAGATGAGACGAGTGATATGGGGACGTTTTACTGTCCAGGGTAAGAGTGTTGTGTTGCGTTTTGTAAAGACACCAATTATTTAAACAATGTTTGTGACTCAGAGATGAACATGCGAGAGATTTGGCTGAATAATAGGAGTTCAGGTCATAGCTAGTGAGAATTTGCTGGCTGCAGGATTTCCTCTCTCAGTTCTGCCAGTTGGGCACGCCATTTGGCTCTTTCCTTTCAGTACACACCCACCTCTTTGTCATACAATTGGATGGGATGGTCTGTAGACCCAGTGTGATAAAGAGAGAAGTCAAATACAGAGGGAGAGGCCTCTGATTTCAATCGTTTTGAGAAATGAGTCACTAATATGCCTGCGTCATTGAAAACACTTTCCATTATGTAGTCTTGAGCTACAAAGTGCTCACGACAAACCCCAGCTTAACTGCTGAGTGGGGGTGGTCCTTCCTTTTCATTGCTGCCAGCCATCAATGTAGAATCACTGGCTGTTTCATCAGCAAATCACGAAAAAGAACGGCCTTCTCCTGGTCTTTATCAGAGACAGTATTTACTTAGAGAGCTGAAATCCTTGGGAGTCAACAAGAGCTTTCTCACAACATTTTATTACACTTTTATTGAAAATGTGATATCCTTCTTTTGACATGTTGGTTTTATTCCATCACACTGCAGTACAAGAACCGCACAGTGAAGGTCTGCTCGAAAATCATCGGGCAACCTCACTGCTCAATGTGACCAACAGACAATAAAGATGGTAAAGGACTCCTCCTATGTATACTGTGCCCTGAGTTCGAGTGTCTTCCCTCAGGGCACAGACTCTGTTGCCCAGGCTGCAGGATGGAATAGAGGGAGTCATCCTTTAACCCCAGGGCTGTCCAGCTTCTTAATTCAGCTACTTAATCTTTTTATCGATTTATGCACTTATAATATGTGCACTTTAAATGTTACATGTCTGTTATTTACTGTTGTGTCCAATTATATGGTTTGTTTGTGTGTCCCTTTAAGTTGCTGTCATGCCCTTTAAATTGCTCCTGTGAGACAAATTAAGTGATTTGAATTGAATTGAATTAACGCTATAAAATTCACCAAAGCAGCCAGGGGCGATACAAAACATGGGCCCTTTGGTGTATTTTTTCTGCTCTATTTTTCGCTCATTTTGATTGCTGTTCCAAACTAGAGAATTTGTGCGAACCAATCCAACATGTCACGTTAGGCGGCACAGCAAATATGACATCAACCATGATTTGAAAGTAAGTTTTTAGATACAGGATTTTTAGACTCATTTTAGCAGTCAGTGTTTAAACTACAATTTTTTGTTACAGGGATATTTCGGCGTAAAATCAATTTAGGGTCAAACGCACCGTAACATAAGTATTTTTTTTATCATTACTTTATCATTTCCTTGAAGTAATAACCACCATATTAATCATTTTGCACTGTAGACACGGTAGTTCTTCTGCCTTAGCGTCTCGGTCTTATTGCATTTCCATGAAGAAATGATCATAAATGTTCTTCCTTGAGCTGCGTCACCCCAGTGTAGTCTGTAATGGACCCAAGGTCTCGCTACAAACAAGCGGCTGCTGGAAGAGAGTAGGTGAGTTTTGTTTAGTCTTTTTGCTAAAGAAATTAGGCAAAGCTAAAAAGATGTTTGGTTTCTAGTGCTATGGCTGGGACCTTATATGTACTGTTGATGAAGTTAGGTGCTGTTCTGAGCATTATTCATGACTATAGAGTGGCGTTTTGGTTGAAGGTTTGTTTATGGCTCCTCAGACCGCTGTGTATTGCTATCCTGCGGTCGTTACTAAAGTTGGTAAAACTAGAGAAGCAAACGGTCGCAACATTCATCTCTTGAGAGGGTGTCTAACTTGGTGTTACGGTGTGTTTGACCCTAAGTTAATTTTATCCTTTTAAGGTGAGAGACCTTTTTGCTATTTATGATAACAACGTTTAGTGTTTTATGTCCACTGTAAAGTTTACCCATATGTCAAGGTTAGAAATATTCCTTTCATAAAAGTGAAAACTGTCATTATTTCTGGCTGTCAAAGGCTATCAAGGATTTTCCTGTCATGAACTGGAGCTTGCACTATCTATTACTTCTGTCCTCTTCAACCTTTCAGGGACAGTGGTCCATGTTTCTGTGTGAAAGGACATGACTCTAGCATCAGGAAGCACATCCCTCTCTGTCTCTGCTGGGCCTGCTGGGACCTCTTAGGTGACAGCGTCACTCGAGCTGAGGTGGAGAACTTCCTCCTGCCGGCTGCTTGGCTGCCTGCCTGCCTCTCTTCCTTCAAGCTCAATGGACATCGATCCTCTAGCAGCGACACTGTGTCCCAGGGAAGGGTAAGCAGATACACCTCGTTGCCTCCAACAATCATTCTGCCCCTGTAGGGACAGGTCGTGGTAAATTAATAGTGTGCTTGCAGCGACTAGATATTGTTAATGTATTTGCTATTGATGGAGTGAGATAACATGAGTAGCTTCAGCCTTACTTAACACAAAACATAAATCCTCCAAGGCCACTGAGGAGTAGTAGCAGAGGGTGAGTTATTTTGAGCTTTTAGCAAGGAGCATAAGAGATATATTAACTTCATTCACAAAAGACACCTCAGAATAAGTTGAACTAATTGATTTTCACAGTCATCTCACTGAAAAAAAAAAATTTAAATTCAGCTTTTGGTTGCATACAGTACTATTTTAAAATGCACTTTCATTTCGGTTGTCAAAATGTCAAAAGCCATTCAGAGAAGAGAGGTGTGGAGGGGAGCAGAAAGTGAAAATAACCCACTAGGCTTGTAATTCTCTATTCAAAACGATGACAATCTTTCATGTTATTCATTTCAACAGGAAAAAAAGGCTTGAAAGCCAAAATGAATCCATGCTTTTGTTTCAAACTGAACTCTTCTCTGTGACTGACTGCTCTATTTACTGCTCACACAGAGTTTAGCAGTGGCCTGTTGAAACGACTTTAAGAGTCGTCGTCAGGTAAACACACAACAGACACATTAAATAAAGTGCTGCTAAAAATATTACCCAAGCACTTAGTTCACAAAAGGTGCTCTCTACCTAAAACTTGCAGCATAATCCACTTGATCCTTCCTGAGGGCTGTCACAGTGCTACATATGCACAGTCTAAGCCCACTTTGAACTTTTGGATTTGACAGGCTTTGGTGAGCTGTAACATGACTTATACAGCTGAGCTACTTTAAACTTGCACTCTGGAAAGAAAAAACACGTTTCCTGGTAGGTCCATCACTGACCAAGTTTGCTCTGCCATTGGCTGCATGCTCAACAGACACATTTTCATCTGCAGCTGTGGCAACTCACCTCATTAGATAACCAGTGCCAAGAATACATTACATTTCTTAATTAACTTCTTCTTCTTCTTCTTCTTCTTCTTCTTCTTCTTCTTCTTCTTCTTCTTCTTCTTCTTCTTCTTCTTCTTCTTCTTCTTCTTCTTCTTCTTCTTCTTCTTCTTCTTCTTCTTCTTCTTCTTCTTCTTCTTCTTCTTCTTCTTCTTCTTCTTCTTCTTCTTCTTCTTCTTCTTCTTCTTCTTCTTCTTCTTCTTCTTCTTCTTCTTCTTCTTCCAAAATCATGACTTTTGATATGATCACTATGAACTCTTCAGAACCCTAAGGGCATCAGTAGCTCGCCTACTGGTCATGCCACTATTTAACCAAGGAAACTTCAAAGGGACAGGTAATGTGGGAAAAGAGAAAAGATACCAACATGAATTAAACCATGCAGACACTGGGATTCAGACCTATCACCAGTAACAACCAAACCAGCACCCCTTTTCAAATGAACCAAAATGATGTTTTTGTGGTGATTGCACTTGTTTTGTTCTCAACGGGGTGTCTAACTTGGTGTTACAGTGTGTTTGACCCTAAATTAATTTTATGCCGGAATATCCCTTTAACACTTCCTCTGTCTCCCCGATCCTCCTTTTGGTTCAGTTTAATACCTGTATGACAAATCACAACAGTTTCATTGAAATATGATGTAAAGCTCATGTACACAACACAGCAGTAGCCCCCATGGCCCTTTCAAAATTTCCCAGAGAGAATTTTTTATTCTTTCTTCCTCATTCTCTTTTTTCAGTTTTTCTTTTTCTTTTGTTTTCCTTCATTCAATTTCTATCTTTCATTCTATTTCTCTATCTTTTTATCTTTTTTTATCTTTTTTTTTATTATGTTAACATTTGACTATATGAATTATATATTCATGGAATCTTTTGGGTTGGGACTGTGTTCGGTGTGCATCTTGTGCTCAAATGTGATAATGCAGATGTTCAGTTTCCTTAATTTATCTCAGTGATTTTTGTATCACTGAAAGTTCCAATGCTTTTCTCTGCTGATGGCATTAAGCTCAGAAATACACAAAACTTGAACAGGCATGAGAAAGTAAAAGTTTGGTCAGAGTGCACCGCTCTGCCAGTTCCTGGAAGCAGTTTATACCAAACTTACAAAAGTAAATCTCTAGTTAGCACTCACAGCAACCCCTTGCTCCTCACCGAACACTTCCATGAAGCCTCTGTGCTTTCTTACGCTTCCTGGGTCACAAGGTCTGTCAGGAATTTTCAGTGCTTATAATGAATATAAACTGAATATCACCTGTGCCATCCCACTCCCCATCCAGCCCCTTAGTAACCCAATTTCTCTGAAGGAGAGTGAAGGGGACTGGAAGCAAAGGGAATGAGCATCACACAGTGGAAGCGGAAATGAGGAACAGAGCAACAATGGCACCAGAGAAGAAACACCAGAAAGTATTTCATCCAGAACCCTGCCTTCATGTAAAAGTATAAATACAGTGTTAAAGCATAATATGTGTAAATATGTGTAAGTGACATACAGAGTATTTAACAAGACAGTTTAGACTTATAATTTAAAAAAAAAAAAAAAAAGTTTATTGAATCAAATTAACCTGAGGCATTAACCTGAAACTGCTTGGTATGTAAGGGAAATGGCTTTTGACTGCTTTGGCTTTTTGACCACTTAATAACCATTTATCATTGAACATAAAAGGTCTTGGCTCATCAATAAGGTTAAGAATATGAAACACCCATTACAGCATTTTGTGAAAAATTCAGAAAAACAAAATGTCTGGAATCACATGCAGACAAAGCTGAACATATACTTGCATCATTGCGCTTAACAAAGATAAACTCTTGTTAAATAATTTTGTGGATTTTTATCATGTTGAGCATATTTGTCTGAGAGACTTTATACCTCTTTAGCCATACAGTTGCTTATAAATCTGTTCACATCTCACAAAAAGCTCGACAAGGAGAAAATGTTCCACTCTACTGCACGGAAAAAAATCAGTCTCTCCTATAATAGCTCTGGGCAATTTCAGACCACACAGAGTGACAAGGGAATCAATTTTCCTGGTTAGGTTATAGATGGAATTTCTTCTGCTGCTCCTCTCATAAGAAATAACTGAGATATGTTATACAAATTATTAAGAAATCCTCTGTAGTGTTTCACGGGATACACCACTTTCCAGAAACCTAATTACTACTGTTAATATTGGACATTCAGGGAGGATTCCTGGAATTCGTTTTTGCTGATCTTGCTTAATACTCTGGTCCAAAAACTCAGCACAGGGAAATTATAAAGTAACACGCTCATGTGTGCAGCATATTAAAGAGTGAATAAATGATGAGGGTTCCATATGAACGCAATTGACTTAGTTCCACTCATTGAGAAAGAGATGGTGAGTAGATGGATCCAGTCTGACCTCATGTGGATGGAGTTAAATAAAGCAGTTAACAAAAACTATAACCTAGTCTGTAAAAAAGGGACTGACTGCTTCCTCTTCTCTCTTGTTAAAGCTCCTATGAAGAATTTTCCATTTGTGCCAAATTTGGCACTCCCTGTGGACAAAGCAGTCTTTGCTTATCCCATCCTCTACATGCCTTAGTAGTGACCGTTTGGTAACACTTTACAATAACCATAACTTATAAATGGCAAATAGACCATTTATAAGTGGTAAGCAGATAGTTTATTAATGTTTAATCATGATTTATAAATAGCATATAGACCATAAATAAATTGCTAATTGTACAGTTTTAAAAACCTAACCCTAACCCTAACTTTACAATAACCAAAGTAATGTTTATAGGTGTAATGTTTACAAATTGTAGTCTAGATGTTTTACAACCAATATTTAAACCCAAAATAAACCTTTAATAAATAGTCCATTAATATTCAATGAAAATTATTAATCATAATTTCATTGCTTGTTAATGGTACAGAAACTATTGACTTCAGATTCATTCAAACTATGTCAGGAGGCAAAGTCACGTTGTCCATACTATACACAGTCTATGTTAAAAGTTAAGAGTTGAGCTGTCCAAACTGATCCTTCAGATTCATTAAACCCGGGGAATCATCAATTTGAGGAATGAATGAGCTACTTATCAAACTTGTCAGCTTCAGTAAAGGCACATCAGATAACGAAAGCTAAGAGCTACAAGGTATTTGTAAATTTTACACAGGTGACTTGTCAGAGTGATGTTAATGCTTTGTAAGTAGCAACTTATCATGAGCAGACAATGTAATTAGTTTGGACAGATAATTTCCCTTCAGCAATGACACACCTAATATTAGACAGTGATAGTATTGAGGGAATTAAGTTGGAACTCTTTTTCAAAAATCTATTTTTAGATTTAAAAAATGTGAGGGGTCTTAAGATAACATTTGTTGTGAGTTGGCACTATGCAGATGGATTGACATAACATAAATTAATTAGATTTTTTGCCTATGTGGAGAGTGAATGCACATTACAGTAGTTAATATGGATAAAACACCCAGATCAACCAACTTCCCTTGGCATCATGCATCTCCTAAAAAATATTTCACTTTAATAATCTTAATTGTGATTATATTATGGAAAATAATAAATAATGAACATCATGAATGTTATTATCTGTCATCATTGTGATAATACCAAGATGGCGTAGCACAAGGGTGCCTTTGTACTTTGCTCTCTCATACTTTTTGTTCAATTTTCTGTTCCCCTTCTTTGGTATCATTCACTAGAGAAAAACTCTTAAACATGGGACAGTTTTTTCCTAATGTCACAGTGTTTAAGTAATCATGCCGCCTCCATTTAAAGACCCTTTTCCTGAACTGAGAACTGTTTTATTCATAATGGAAGTTATCTTTGTTTGTTCTCGTCAGTGTTTACATCCCACTTTAAGTGTGTGTAAAGGGGGCATTACAACAGCTGGCTGACCAGATAACAGATGTAAAGAAAAACATCCAGACTCCCTGCTCATCATTCTTTTAACAGAGCCAGTCTCACTCAAGGATTTCCTAAATATAGTCAGTGTCTTACCAGGGACACTAACACTCTGGACCACTGCTACACTGTTTTAAAGGATGCTTATCACTCTGTACTCCACGCAGCTTTGGGCCTGTCTGATCACTGTCTGGTCCATCTCATCCCGACCTACAGGCAGAAATTAAAAACCGCTAAGCCTGTATTGAGGACTTTACGGAGTGGACAGAGGAGTCAAGGCTGGAGCGACAGGTCTGCTTTTTCTGCACTGATTTGAGTGTATTTGAAGCAGCAGATACAACTCTTTACAAACTCACTGATGCTGCAACATCTTACATCAGCTTTTGTGAGGATGTGTGTGCAGACTGAGATTTTCTGCAGATACAGCAACAGTAAACTCTGTGTTACACCTAAGCTGTAGAAGCTGCACACTGACAAAGGAGATCAGGGTAGCAAAGTGGAGATACACCAAAAAGGTCATAAAAAAAACAGCTTTTCGGCCAACAACCCTGCATCAGTGTTGAGAGACCTGCAGAACATCACCAACTGCAGTCAAGCTTCACATGTTATCATGTGAGATTAAAGGTCTGCTTTAAAACTGTTTTAAGTAGTTGTGTGTATCTGTACGTGTATGTACACAAGAGCCCACTACAGTTTTTTTTAAGCTTCTGTTGGTTATTTCATGAAAGCTTAAGACAGCTTAACTGTCCCTGACTCCACGGACAAGTGTGAATCAAAAATACAGATTTAACAGGATAATTATCTAATAAATAACAGATTCAGAATAACTACCCAAAAAATGTTGGCTGTTCTGTTACATTCATGTGAATAAAACAAATAGATAACGTATAATTCTCTTAAGTATGTTGAATTGGACTACCTGACGTGTAAACCCTTTCGAACCCTGTCTGTCATATGTTGGCTTAAATATCTCTACCATTCTCACTCAAGGGTTGCTATCACAGCTTTGAACATGCTGCCATAAAAAATGATGTCTTATGTTCTTGCGTCTATGTACCTTTCTTTGAATATATGAACCTATCATGTACGGTAATGTGCACTTGATTTATTTCACTTTTATTTTATGTACCTATTTTATTTGTATAAGATGATTCCTGAATCTCTCGTCTGTATAAAATTTGAACATAATGTGCATGTGTGAGCCAAATGTTTGTTTGTTTGTTTCATTATGTGTTCTTTTTTGTTTCTGGAAAAGTTTAGTAAACATATATCCTAAAAAAAAACACGACAATTTAAAAAAATCTTGAATCTTTAATCTTGACCTTCTGATTTGACATTGTAATCATTACCTGTTGTTAAAATGTTTGTTTGTTTGTTTTTTGTTTGTTTGTTTGTTTTTTACCATGCGTCCTTTTTTTGTTTTTGGAAAAGTTTACTAATATCATATATAACATATAATAACATATATCCAAAAAAAAAAAAAAAACATGCACATGACAATAAAACAAATCTTGAATCTTGATATTGACCTTCCCTATTACTATAAGATAACTTTTTTTTTTAACTTTTTATTTCTTTTATATTCCAGTAAGCTTCTCTTGTTTTGTTTTTGTTTTGTTTTGTTTTGCTTTGTTTTTTTGTACATGACAATTTAACATATCTCGAATCTTGACCTTCTGATTAGACATTGTAATCATTACCTGTTGTTAAAAAGTTTAATCCAAACACCCTATTGCTTTGAGATAATTTTTTTTCTGTTACTTTTAATTTCTTGTACTTTCCAGTATAACAAGCTACTCTATATTATACTTGTTCTCGTTTTAAGGTTTTCACAGGCCTGTTAGTGAACGCATAAAGCAACACAAGCTTTGCACTTTTGAGTAGTACACTAACTGCACATGACCACAACATTTAATATACATGTCTGTTCATTGAAACCGCAGGTTAATGCTTTCTTGTGAGATGTAAAATGTAAATAATATTATTCCCTGTCTGACTGGGCTCACAGTGGGCGGGCTCTGTTGCCATGACAATGACGTCAATGTTGGTGTCGAGTAACCAAAGGTCAAAATAAAGACAAGTGAATGAAAACGGAAGGAAACTTAACAGGCTGCAGGAAATTTCAGAGGACACCAGCAAGTCGGCTCAAACTTTGGATGTGCTCTTCGCGGTGGGTGTCGACCTTCGCTTTCGTGTGAATCGTCGTTTAATTCGCCGGTAAGGAAACGTCAGACATCAGAAGGTTAGGGTCACAGACGAGCTAACAGGAGCTAGCTAGCTCTGTAACATCGAGCTAGCTAGCCTAGGTCGTTGGCTAAAGTGAGCTAGTGCTAACAGTTACTACATCACATTGTTTACTTTGGCAAGTAGTCCAACAAGGCAAAGTTACTTTAAATGGTTCGCAGACGATACCGTTTTACTTTCGACAATGATAGACTGTTCTTTAACGCCATCTCGCTATCTGAGGTGGCTTTTCAGCGTTGCAGTCAGTCAGGAGAGGACACTGGAGCTGGCCTTGCAACAGGGACACTTCTCCAGCTGTGTAACTCTGCTAACATGACTTTAACACAAGCAAGTTGTAAAGAAGGCTTTGTCTTATTGCCTTGTTGCAGCTAGTTTGATTTAACCTGTGCATGAAGTTGATATAATACAGCTAATAAACGTGTTATCAAATCTTTGTAAGCAGTGAGTTTAGTTCACAAAAGTTTCTTTCTAAGTTGACACATTATTTCTAGAAATGAACAGCAGTTGTTCCGTATTCACTAGACTTAATAGATGCTTTGCAGTGGGCAGACATTTAACTGCAGCAGGATCTTTCTACATAGGCTTGTGCAAAACAACAAAAACGAGGCCAGTTATTTTCTCCCCTGCTGATTTTTTTTCTTCTTTGGTAAATGCATGACTGCAGACAGTTTAAAACATGAATCTGGAGTTACAACAGAATTCATTGTTTTGTTGTCTGTTCTAGACGGTGACTGTCAACGCTGATTCCTGCACCTGAAGGTTACAACTGCAGGTAGAGGCCACTCAGGCCTAAATATGCTAATTGAAGGTATCATACTCGCTTCTCCTGATGAGAAAATATCCTGACTACTGAGCGCTGTTCCTGCTGTCTATTCTACTCATCATTGTCATCCGAGGCAACCCACTGCACAGGGTAGTTTCTGGCTGTAAACATCCCCGACTGGAAGCTGTCTACCAGCAGAGCTTTCAGTCTGATGTTTGCTGCTGCAGACTGCCTTCAGCTCTACAGAAGAAGAAGCATCATGAAAAGTGAACTGAAGAATGGACTGCCTTTTTGCATACTGTTTCAGTTGTCATACATTGCACTAAGTGTGTTTTGTTGCCTATTTAAATGACATCACTATAATTGGGGCCCGACCGATTTATCGGCGAGCAAATTAAATCGGCTAATTTTAGCCTGTTTGAGACTAGTCGGTAATTGGGCAAAACTCGCCGATATTTACAGAAATAAAATGCGGAGAATAAGATTCGGTTTCACTTCGAAAATGTTCCGCCATTTGAAAAGTTCCCTGACTTATCCTGTAGATGGCGCAGCGACCTCATGACAGTCTTCATCTACTAACTACCTCACAGCACAGCAGAGTGACGGATCTGAAGCAGGCAGCTCAGGGATGCACGGAGGAGAGTGGTCCGCCTCAACGGTAAATAAAGTAGTTTGTGAAATATACAATAAGTCAACAAGTTTTAGTTCAACCCACTTCACGATGTTCCCCGCTGTGCTCGCTCGGTCACGCCGAGTTAACGGTGAAGCACCATGTAATATGCAAGCTAAAGTTAGAGTTAGCCACCTGCTATTAGCATTGCTACGCTGGTAGCCGTGCCCGTAACGGTAGAATAAACAACAGTGCACATTACGTGATCAGGCTACTCCTCTTACTGAGGCAGCTGCGTGTCTCCTGGAAATGTGTAACGTGAGTTAAGACGCAGAGGCACTGATCGGCGGTGGGCGGAGGGGTTGAAAACACTTTTCTGTTCCGAGTTTGATCAGTCGGTCTTCTTGTCAGCATGAAGAGCAGTAGCCTACAGTATATCTACAGTATATAGTATACTTTAGATATCTACACTATATATATTTTTTTTTATAACTTCATAAAAAATTTAAAAATCGGCTGATGATCGGTAATCTGATTTTTTCCCCTCTACTTATCGGTTTCGGCATCTGCCCCAAAAAATCCATATCGTTCGGGCCAGACTCTAAATGTTAATGCCAATTTCATAAACTGTAAACACAAATACACATGTACCAGGTTTTCAGATGGAATTTTACATGGATGGAATTTACAGTTGATTTTTAAGATATTTGTGAAACACACGCCTTCAATATAAAGGACTTGGTGCTTACCATCTGTCCTTTGTTGAACTATCTTATTACGAGTTTTAAGTTGTTGACCTTATGAAGCTGCTGATGTTACTCTCCGTTTTCAGTTGCTGTTGTGTTCAGAACTAAGCTGTCCCCAAAAAACTCTTTGGTCTTTACTTGTCTGCTTAGATATTATCACTAAATGTTGCCAAAAGTATATTTGAGTTCCTAACCGGTTACCTAAAGGTGTAATTTTAGCAAGTGATAGAAGCATCAACTTTTGAATGTCTCCCACAGTGAAGGGGAAAATCCCACAGGCCAGCTAAGCGACACATTGGCAAGAACAATGGCAACTGTACTGTGCAGCTTTGTCTTCTGTCATTTGTGTGTGTTGTTACATGTAACATAGTTTTATGATTGTGTTTATATGCCATATGTAAAAGCTTGGAGTACCATTGGAAATGTAGACCCAAGCAGGACCAGCGGGCTTTGGTGTGAATTACAGATGTTCGGATTCAGTTCATGTAAACATCCTACACTCAGCTGTGATCAATTGCAGCAGAGGCTGAGAGAAGGTTGTTTACTTGAACTAGCTAGAATTAACACTGAGACCTAAAGCCAGATGAGAAAAAGGCATCCACAGAAAGGTTGTACTACACATATTTATTGATAATTTATACTTTTTAAAAACCACTATGTAATTAAAGGTACAGTGTGTAGAAATGGCAGTACTTATCAATATCCGGAGTTTCAGATCTCGATTCATTACCTAGCTCACCTCTCTCAGTAAATAAACATTGGCCTTCAAGGACAAAAAGCACCTGTGATATAAAGATCTAATCCTCCATTTGTCAGATTTTTACTGTCAAAAGCATCAATCGGTACATATTCTCCAACACCAGACAAACACTTTTGTCTTCATCTTTGTCCAACTCTCATTCACTTCCAACCAGCCACTCTCTAATATTAAAATAACATGTGTTACTCATTTCTATGTCCTGTTCTGTGGTCGTAATGTGACAATGCAGGATGGCAGATCTGCTGCTCACGCTGATGTTGAAAAAGGCTCATTCTTTATATATAAAGAATATAGCAAGAATTTATTCTTACAGTCTTGTGATGGTAAATTTATTTAAACATGCTCTCAAATGTTTCATTTCTACCAGGTCTGCCAGTAAATACTGCACACTGCACTTTTAAGGACAAAAATTTAACAACCATTGATCAGTCACAGCCTCTTCCTCGTGTTTTCCATGCAGCGTATTCCAGCTCTTCAAAGACATTACATTGGGCTTTGATAACTTTGATCATAAAGTACTTGACTAACTTTTTTAATCAATGTTATATGGTGAATCAAAAATGGTTAGCTATGGGAAGTAATGAAAATTATGTTTATTAGCAACTCTCATATCGTGATAAAGTTAGTGCAATGGAGCTCTATAAAAAGGTTAATTTCTCCATCCAGTCATCCATAAGGAAGAGCAGTAGAAAGGTTTGCAAGAAAGAGACAATAATGTGTGTGTTTAAATCCAGCGTACTTGTAAGGCTGTATTAACAATTAAGCTGTAGTTTTGGTATCATCTGTAAGTTCTAATGTGCTACTTTTGAACGGTGTGTGAATTAAAGTGTATTTGTCTTCTTGTTTTGCAGTTGTGAACCCTTTAAGACATTTTTAAAAAGCTCATGTGAGTCAATGAGACACTTTGAGTATAATAAAACCGATACTGATTATCAGATCATGTGTTTTCTCTTCATGTGGGATTTTAAAGGCTAATGCCATGACCAGTTTTTAATCATTCATTGGTTTCATGAAACATAATGGTTTTTTTTTAGAATACTGCAGACATACACTTCACAGTGTGGTGAAACAGTGTAGTCAATGTTATAACGTGGAAACCTTTACACCAAAATCAAGACCCTAGTAACATCATAACTAATTCATGTAAAGATTATTTCAATGCTTCTTTATATCTGTGGTATGAAATCATCAGCGAGTTTATGAGCCAATGTAAAAACGTGCTGTAAATGTAGTATTTGCTTTTCAGGAGGTATTTTCAAAGCAGGGTACATACTACACTTTGAACACTAGATGTCAGACTTGCCCTTCTTTTGGCTCAGTAGTGCACTTCAAACGTGACTGATAATTATTCTTAAAGGTAATGAGAGAATGACAGACTACTTACAGTTTTCTATTGTGTATGTATTTTTTTAAAACAAGAAGTCACCAAAAAGCCAACTGCAGGTCTCTCTTACCAGACCTCTTAAAATTGACCAGGTTTTTCACTAAAGGTTTCGACACATCTTTTTTTAAAACCATGGCTCAATTTCTAAAAAACTGTAAACACAAACTGAAAAGGTTAATGACTTTGTCCAAACTCCACAGATCTTGATCAAAATGAAACAGCACTCAAAAACACACATTTTCTTTTCCTACCAACTCGTCTAAAAAGATTCTGAACACTACCATCAGAAGTTTTGATGTATCATTTGGCTTCATGAGGCCATGCTATATTTTGAAATGCACAGAAGTGTTTGGAAATAATTGTCGTTTGGCACATTTTTTTGTCCCAATATAGCGTGTGAAGTAGCTTACCACAGGTGCAACACTATTAAAATAAGATAGGTTAAGACAAGGATAAGAACTGTTTATCCCTGAGGGGGAACTTCATTGTCTGGAATTATATGTCTCAAGTTTTACATCATCTATCGTTTATAGTCAAGTTGTACGTGTTGTACGAGTTGTACGAGTTGTACGAGTCTGATTGCTGCAGGTACAGAAGATCTTTTGAGTCTTTCAGTCCTACAGCGAAGTGAGAGAAGCCGCCCACCACAATTGGCTCTTACGTCAATCAAGGTGTTATGAATTGGACGATCCATGTTCCTTAGAGTAGTCTCCACCTTCCTTGGTGTGCATCTCTCTAACACATCCTCCAGTGAGTCCAACTTGATTCCAAGTACAGAGCCAGCTTTTTTCACCAGTTTGTTCAGACGTCTTGCATCCTTGTGTTTTATACTGGACTCAGTACTGTATTTGAAGTCTGACGTATACAGTGTGAACAGGAATGGAGCGAGAACTGTCCTTTGTGGAGCCCCTGTACTGCTCATGAGTGTACCAGAAACCCCGTTCCCCAGCAGCCTGACAAACTGTGGTCGTCCTGTGTTTGAGTATGATGAGTTGGATGGTGTTGAATGCATTTGAAAAGTCAAAGAACATGATCCTCACATAAACATCTAATTCTAAGCCTACTGACCTCAGGCCTTAAAAGGCGTAGAATCAGCCGCTCCTGGGTTTTCATGATGTGTGAAGTGAGGGCCACTGTAGTCATTTAGTACAGCCGGACATTTTGTTTTTGGTACCGGTACAATACAGGATGTTTTCCCAAGAGCAGATACCCGCCCCAGCTGTCGACTCAGGTTGAGAGGTTGACACAGTTCTGCAGCACAGTCTTTAAGCAGCCTTGGACACACACCATCTGGGCCAAAGTCTTCCCAGCTCCAACCTCACTGCTGTTTCGGAGACAGACAAAGGCTGATGTACTAAACGGGAGGTAGATGAAGTGGTTGAGACATTTGAACAAGATGGAGGAGGAACGGGAGAAGTTGTAGTGGAGATTTGTTGCGGAGAGGAAGGTGGAGTAGCAGTGTCAAATCTGTCGAAGGTTGAGTTCATCAACTCTTTCCACATCACCCACTATTGGCTGTCTTTTCTTTTTATTATTGCGTCAAGAGATGGTACTGATCCCTCTCCACACCTCACAGCTTTGTCATCTTCAGCTTCCCCTTCAACTCATGTTGCACTTGTTTGAGTCGTTCTTTGTCACCGTCTCTAAAAGCTGTCTTTTTCTGCTTGAGGATGGTGTTACAACCCTGGCTCAGGGGAAGCAACACAAGGAAATCAGAAGACAAACAAAAGTTTATTTTAGGTTAAGGTCTTAAAGAAAGAGCTGTGGCTAAATGCAAAGTGAGTTTGGCTCTGTCTTTTGTAGAAGTTTCTGATGGCTGGTGAAATATGGAGGACCAGCCCTGTCACATTTCAGACCAAAGCTTGTGGAGATCAGACAGTCCCTCACAGAAAACAAACAAAAATTAGTTTCAACATAACAATTGCTTTTATGATCCAGGGTTAGTTTATGGGGAAGCAGCGAACAGTCCTTGTAGGTAAAGCTATGTCTCTACAAAAGTTGATGTACTCAGTAACGCAGTCAACCTGTCAGTCAATGTTCATACTGTCATTATCTGTTTCCAACAACTCATCTCAGCCAGTCAAAGCAGTCTCATTGAGTAGATAGGCTCAAATAACCTGCATGTGATTGCGTGATGAACCTAAGGTGTAGTCAGGACTTGCTGCCTGTTCCTTTTCTTGGTTTCTCAATTTTTTTTTGCAGGTTGCTGGTAGGTGGGGTTTGGCCACACCTGAGAGTTCCTGGCCAATCTCCCAGGGTATGAAAGAAAGTATGAAAGGCTGTCGACAGCAGGGTTTTTGTGTGGATGGCTTCAGCCTCATTTGGACTTTAGTTTTACATCTTACAACATGCTGAAATCACACACACACACACAGACACACACATATCTTTCAGTCATCCAACAGCAGACACACTGATTAACTGACACACACAACTTATTTTAAAAACATTTCTTTTGTAGTAAATAATTATAGTTTGAGTTGACTGTGTCCTACCCTTTTCTTTTGTCTGACTTGTGAGCCGTGTCGTGACACTTGCAATGACACCGAAAGAATTTAGTTCATACATCAGCACACACATCACATGAGGCAAAACTCTAAATTTCTACTTGTGTAAGAACAATGAGAAACTCCCCAAAGAGGTAACAATATAAATATTCATTTTTTTCTGCAATACAAACTGTCTATCAAAACTGAAATGAAGTGTGTAATGCAATGAAAACAATATATATTTTATTAACAGTGGGTGTGAACTCACACAAGCCCCTTTTTTTTTTTACCTGGGGGGGCTCCATACCACCGAGGTTACTCCAGATTAGGAGTTTAACACACATGATTTGTCATTATTTTTGGATTGTTGACATAATAAAAGATTCATATCAGCCATTCCCACAAAAAGAGAATTTTCTAACGTCGTTCCTTTTACATATTCAAAATATTTGGACTCGCACACACCCCTATCTGTATCCATGATCCAACTCTGCTGACAAAACTAAAAAAACAAAAACAAGTCTGTCTGGCTCTAACGGGCACTCTGCCAACCATTAGCTTAGAGGTGTTCACCACACCTGTTGGTCTCATTCTGTTTTGGATTTTTGATCATCATCAGGTGAGTGTATCTTACCAACTTTTTTTCTTATATACACACAAGAGAGTGGAAAAACTGCTTTGGTAAACGATAGTAATCTGTATTCATTGAAAATTTGCAAAGTGACATGCCATGACTAAAAGATATGAGTAAAACAGAAAAAATTGGTCACGATCAAGTCCTGATTCAGTCCTGCCAGTACGTACGTGTGCATTATGCCGATGTTGTTGAGATTTGTGTACTGAAAACAACATGACAAGAACATTTTTGAAAAATATGTGTATGTTTTTTGTTAAAGTTATAATTTCAGTAGATGGCTCTAGCACAGCTTGGGGGTGAATGTGACATTTATGTAATGTTACTAAGACGCATTAAAAGTGCAAATGACTGTAAAAGTAAAATTAGTAACATAATTAAGCGACATAAGTAGGAAAGACAGTTTCCTTGTTGAGAAATAATTATGAATTTATCAATAATCACACCTTGGGATTGTTTGAATAACTGCTTAAAGCTAGTTATTTTGTTACAAAGCTTAAAGAGGGGGTATTAGCACTTGCATGAAAAGTGCTATATAAATAAAGTTTGATCTGATTTGATTTGATAATGCATTTTTTCAGACTCTTTACCTCCTCTCTGATACCTGATATGGTTTATATGATTTTCAGAGTCTTGTGTTTCTCACCTTGGTGTAACTTTCCTGCTTTGTCATACTTGCTTTTATGAGCAGACTAATATAGAAGCTATAAATGCTTGTTCACTTCAAAATAAACCCAGAGGTACCTCATTTATAATGCCTGTCATCAATTCAGTGTATAGAAAAATCTTTACAGCACCTGCTGGAAAATACCTGCTCCTTTCAAAAGGTTGTCTCAATCAGTACTCTTGTGTAGCAGGTTTGGCTGGATCAGAAACAGATACAGAGCTTTATTGTTCCTTTCTTTTGTTTTTGTTGAGAAATGGTGGGGAATGACAGACATCAAACTGTGGCACTCACAGTCACCACTTGTTTCCTGTGGCAGTGTTACTCTTAGAATAACATTACTTTCATTTCTCATAATGTATTTGTTGCGTTTGTTTATTGTAATACATAAACTAAACATTTTGGTGTTGCTATTACAATAGAATCTCAATGTTATGTGATCATTTGATTTTATATTGTAAGCCTCTCTGATAGGTATTTATTTCCAATCTAATTTTATGTATTGAGCTAATTTTGATCAATTATAGCATTTGTCAAAGTTCCGAACAGTGTATTTTCAACCATTAACTGACTAATTTGTTCTCTTATATTTGTTTTCACAGACCTTCTCTGTCGTCTATGCATGCTGCCAGGATGCCCTCCATATGTGGACAATTTAAACTCAGATTTCTTTTTTACTTGCTGGCTATCCCTGCCATAGTTGTGCTGTCTCTATACTCATTTAAGTTACCCAAAATTTCCCTCTGGTCTCAGCAGTTAAGCCAGTGTGCATGTGAGAAATGTGTAAGAGACAATTCAGTGTTTGACGAAATTGTCAAAGCTTCTCCTGCACCCTTTTTGTCTATAAACTATACAGTAACAGAGAATGCTTTCAATTGGTGGAAGGTACGTGTGAGATTTTCTCTAAGTATACAGCACTAGTATTGTCTTTCTGTTTAGTGGGAATTGTTAGATATCCTCATCCTCATGAAACCATCTTATTTGATACATAAGGTTTTCCCCTGCACATTTTGAATGTTTCAAACTTTGGCTTGTGTTTCATTCCAAAGTTCTCAAGTGCCTCTGCTTGGTCAAAAAGACACCATGGGTGCCTCATTGATGTCATTATTACAACTGTTACAGGTTTTGCTCTGTGGTTAGGTCATGTTCTCCATGTACAGAGACTATAGGCTTCAGGTGGGTGACCCTGGTTCATTTGCAACCTGTAGTCCATGCATGTACAGAGTCCAGCTGCTTTGGGCTGGGCACAGCTGCACATTGCTTGAAGCATGCATTAAACAAATCCTCTAAGCCACAGGTGTCAAACATAAGACCCGGGGGCCAAATCTGGACTGTGGAAAAATTATATGTTGCCTGTGAGATCATAACATATTTGTATAATTATTGCCCCACCTGCAGATTTCCTCAAGTGCAATAATGTAAACTTCAGCTTCATTATTTAAAATTGTTGAGCTTTAAAATCTGAAAAAGTAAATAGTAAGGAAGATTTTGTAAAAAGTCAAAAATGTGGGAAAAGAAATAATTTGTTTTATTTCATGTTTGCAACTTTGCATCTCAACATAATATGCCAAACTAAGACTTAACTTTGGATTTAATGCCATTTCTATCTTAAAGATTCCAATTTAAAATTTTAAGTTATATTTTTCACTATTTATTATAGCCTTTTAGGCTCAATTTTTTTGACTTATTGTGTTTTAATTTAGATCATATTTTTAGCTTTTTGTATCATTTTAATTTCCAGCTCAAATTTTGATATTTTCAACTCCTTATTTTGGCTTTTAATTCCAAAATGTTGAACTATCAGACCCACAATTGGAAATTTTGAGTCATAATTTGACTTATGTACTCGTAATTCAAAATTGATTTTTTTTTTTTATTTATTTACCTGTAATGATATCATTTTTTCCTGTGTCTCTGTATCAGCGTTTACAGTATACTTCCCAAAACTATATCTACTTCAAGATGACAATGGACAAGTTGTTTCGGATCTTCCCCCCATCTCAAAAATTCAAAGAGCCAAGTCCTGGCCACTGCAGGACTTGTGCTGTGGTTGGGAATTCTGGAAGTTTGGCTGGATCACATTATGGACCTCTGATAGACCTTCATGATATTGTAATAAGGTGATTTATCAACACAGCAATATCTACAAAGATCACAAGAATGATTGTTGTGATTTATGATCAAAATTATATTTCCTATTTAATTTAGAATGAACGGAGGCAGAACGAAAGGTTTTGAAGCACATGTGGGGACCAAAACAACTCATCACGCAATGTATCCAGAAAGTGCTATCAATTTGGATAACACCACTCATCTTGTGTTTCTTCCATTCAAAATGAAAGATTTGGAGTGGCTTCTTAACAAATTTAATCCAGAGTGAGTGCACAACAATGCTGTTCTATGTTAATCAAAAAACGATGTCTGCATACAGATCTGTCATCAGGTGAACAGTATGAACCAAACAGGCAGTATAACAAGGATCACTGGTTGGGCAGGTATGTTTTATGTGTTGACACTAAAGCTGGAGTTCTCTATGCTGCTCTTCATAGGTAACCATAAGCTAGGATAAAGAGATGTGAAGAGAACACAATTTTTAAAAAGTTCTTCCGAGGTTTTGACTAATTAGGCCTAAGTGTTAAACACAGCGATGATTAGTAAGAAATCTGGATAATACCACTAAGTAATACAGAATCAGACACATGTTGAATATTACATTTCCTGTCACCTCCAGCAGAGAAAACAATGCGCAGAATAGACCAAACAAGGATTTGGTGAGTATTCAAATTTTACAAAACAAGCTTTAAAAAATATTTTTTTCAGAAATGGAAGGATTCTTAGTGTGTCCAGTTAATGGTGACTCTGATTTCCCATAGGTGATGATCCTCAATCCAGCCTTCTTGAAATATGTTCAGGAAGTATGGCTTAAAAACAGGGGCAGTCACCCATCTACTGGCTTTATAGTTGTAGCTCTCAGCTTGGTATTGTGTGATGAGGTAGGTTTAACTCACTCAACAATTACTGTTTTATTATATGTTACTGTCACATCACTTATTGGCAGTAAAAGAACAACACTCATTACCATTATTTATGGTTATCATTTTATATCTCTACCAAGTCTAGTCTTTGCACCTTTGAGTGTCAGAGAGGTACTCAGAAGGACTACCCTTTTAAAACAGAGCTATGTAAATGAGTTTACATCCTTAAGTTAGATTCTCTAAAAAACACGAGACTTACCGACTTATACTGGAATATGTTTAGATGTATTATATCTACTACAATAACTCTGAAAATAGTAAAAATCTTACTGTTAAAATCCATTTTTTATTTCTATTTTCACATTTTGCATCTACTATAAAGCCCTTTAATAGAGCATTTGTACTTTAACATGTCTTACGATAACTTTGTTTCTTGGTGTGTGTGTGTGTGTGTGTGTGTGTGTGTGTGCGTGCGTGCGTGCGTGCGTGCGTGCGTGCGTGCGTGCGTGCGTGCGTGTGTGTGTGTGTGTTTTACCAGGTCAGTGTGTTTGGGTTTGGAGCCGACAGAGATGGAAACTGGAATCATTACTATGAACCTACCAGGAGTAAGTGGAAAACTGGACCTCATGCTGGAATGGTTGAATATCAAACCATTGAGATGCTACATCATGATAAGAGAATAAATTTTTTCAAAGCACTGTAATTTTGTGTGTCCAAGCCATATACTGTATATAAGCTGGACAGAGTCTGCCTCCTCGCTGGGTGAAGCCACTCCGAGAACAGCACCCTCTGATGGTGGGCTGCAGTATAGGTCATAAATCCCGCCTCCGCCAGCAAAGCTTATGGAGCTGTGGACAAACTTTAGAAATTTATTACACCGAACATAAATTTTTCTCCCCCCTGCTTGTGATGTTGACATATAGTTACTGTCAGACTAGTTTGTGCCCAAGTCCTTTTTTTCTGTACAGCTCCATTTTTAAAAGCTATTAGGGGGTTCATGTTTTCTATGATTGACACCTGGTACAGCCTATGGGCGTTCAGGGATTGCATAGCTCTCCTGGGGGGATACGCTGTTTGAGCCGAGCGTCATCACAGGGACTCTCGGCGACTGTGCGGCCGAATGCGCGCATCGCTACTGCGCAGCTCTGGTTTCAAGGAAGTGGAGAAAAACCCAGAACTACCGAGAGCTTTTTGGCTTCAAATCCGTAAACAGGCGGAAGGCGGAACCAGGTTGTCCATCTTATATACAGTCTATGGTCCAAGCACATATACACAAGTCACATCAATTATTTGAATTTGAGGAGAGCGTTAAAAAATGTATGAAGTTAATTTAGCCAGTAGATACATTATATAAAGATCTGAAGATGATTCAGGCCATTGCAGGTCGTCTAGCCTTGCAAGCCACTAAACTGTACAAGTAAAGGTGGGGTAGGCAGGATCTGAGGAAGTGCCAGTTTTGGGGAGAAATCTTGAATGTAAACTCTACCCCTTCCAACCAGTTTCCCCCTCAGCTCCTCCTCTCCCCTCCCTCTCTGCTCCTGCAAGCCCCGCCTACAAACAGACACTCCTGCTCGCTCGTATCTTTCCAATTAAATTCAGATATAATGCAGATAAATACTTCAGATAATTACAAATGGGGCCTAGTCAACGTGAAAGTAAAAAGCATTGGTGCTACTGTAGACGCCAACAGACTACCAGCAAACACAATGTTCTCAGGACTTCTACAACTAGGACAAATAAGTGACATAGTCCAGGACCCGAGGTTAACAGTTTAGCGGTGCTACAATATGCAGCAGTTTCTGTTTGATAAGAAACACTTCTGTTACAGACATTTGGCTTACTTTGTTAAAGCAGTTTACCTGTCCAGCCGAAAGGTTACAGGGTCTTTAAGATCCTGAAGAGTCCCCTATCGTTTAATAGTGATGGGAAGAACAGTTCTTTTGACTGTACTGAATCTTTAGAATGTGTTCATCAAAACGATTCATTCAAAAGATTTGTTCACTGAATCAGTCAGTGCTTAGGAGCCCCGTCCTGCCGGTGCTGTACACGAGAGAGTGACACAGCCGCGAGTTCGTTCGTTGAACAAGCCCCTTCCCTTCCCTGCTGCTGAAGGAAGAATCCCTCCCCTGCCCTGAAAACTCACCTCCCTGTGTCGGCGGAAACAACACAGCAGCAAGCAGCACGCCCGCTAAACAAGCATGAGTCGTCGTTCTATTATATTGTACAAGTGTATAGATAAAAAATAAATAAACATTGCAGCTGCGGTCTCAGTCTTTAGTATTTACTTTGTTTTTCTTGCTTGTGTTGGCAGTCGTGGCCGAGGGAGGATTCAGAACAATTTTCCGTACTTTCTGGTTGGTTTCTGTTGCTGTACACTAACTTTGTTTGGGCTCGTGAATGTCACTCGAGGATGTGGAGCATGCCTCACTACCATACAGTCTATGCTCACAACACGAGGGGGCAGCATTTGCCTCACAACCAATCAGCACTAAGGAGCAGCGTCCGCCTCGCAACCAATCAGGTCGGGGGGTGGGGTGGGGTGGAGAACGGCTTTGTTTACAGTCAGAAGGAGCAGGCCGCTCAAAAATTTCAAAATGTTGACTCCACAAGCATAAGAGAACACAGCGATATCGTTATATTCCCAAATGTCATCAATAACTAATAGCTATTGACTGATATTAAAAGCTTTTTTGTATATACACCATGAAAAAAGATGCTTCTTTAACAGATTCCTACCTACCCCACCTTTAAAGGTGGATCGATTGATTTACGGTTAGTGTTGCCCAATAAGTGGTTCAAATCAGGTGTTGACCCAGTGTCACAGAGATTTTTTTAAAGCACTCTTGTCAATAACTTTGGCTCATCAATTGAGGTGGTAGGAAAACTACAGCACAGCAGTGTTTTAGTTGTTGTAGCTATGACGTGAGAATTTACTGACTTTTTCCACTACAGATAAAGAGTCACTAGGTGCAAGGTATGTAGAAAGACTGGGTATGATTTCTCTGTAACAAGACTGAGGATGAACAAACATGAGAGTAGAGAAGTGTCGGCTATTATTTAAAAGTGGCTTACGTCAAGAGTTTTAAGACCTGTCTGTTATGTCACCCATTGCTTTCTGACTCAGTGTTGATGACTTGATTATTGTGTTTGTGATCATGATTGTGTTTAACAACTTGGGTTTTGTTGTAAATAAAAATAAGTTCAAACTGAATTCAGACAGACTTTTGAAATGATTTTTGTATTTCTTATCTGGAGTTGTGGCCATAAATTTATGCCATCAAAGATAAAAGTCCATAAATTGAACAGTAGCTGTGATAAGACTGTACAGAGTTTCCTGATCAATCATCTTTTTTTTTTTTTTTTTATCAAGTCCCAATTGACAGCAAATGTTATCCAAAGACGCTTTAAAAAGGAGCTGGTCATCCCCCTTCTCCAGTCTGGGCACTGCACCCTACCCCCAACTCCCACCTGTCGACTCACTAAGGCAGTGGTTCTCAATCCAGTCTTCGTGCCCCCATCGTCCTGCATGTTTTGGATGTTTCCCTGCTCCAACACACCTGATTCAAATGATCAGCTCGTTATCAAGCTCTGTAATGGCTTACTAACGAGCTGATCATTTGAATCAGGTGTGTCGGAGCAGGGAAACATCCAAAACATGCAGAACGGTGGGCCTCGAGGACTGGACTGGAGAACCACTGCACTAAGGGCATTGGACCAAGTCACCCACTCCTCCTCTTCCTCCTCCTGTTAAGTGGGTGGCAAGTTTAGCCAAGCCTCTTACTTTGAGAACCAGAGTTACCATGTAACCCATCATTCCTCTTTGTGGAACATGCACAATGAATCACAAATCATTGGCAGTCTTGATTTTAGTCAATATGAAATAATGGGATACCTTGTTGACCCCCCAACAAATGCTTTATATAAAAGAAAGAAAGAAATCCAAAGTCTTGATTCTTTATTTCAGATTTTCACAACAGAAACATTATCAAAGAAGAAAATAATGTTACCAACCATGAATGAAGTGTTTATATGCTTTTTTACTAGACTAAGGACAACATGTAAATGTACTGATTGTGTAAAAAGACTATTCAAAGTAACAGGTTCATCCTTTCATTAGTTAAATAATCATTAAGAAACAGATATATTTACAATTGTACATTTAAGGAACTCAAAGATGATTACATTTTGAAAGTTTATGTTTAAAAAAAGCATTTTGAGAGAATTAAGGGAATGAAACACTGCTGAATAAAACGGAATAACTGATATGATCATGATGAGACAATATAAGATGGTCAGGAAAATTACGGTCAAGCTAAAGTTTTTATCTGCTTTAGAAAAAGACTTACATTTATGATGTACCTTTATCAGCCACTCCAGAGTTTATTTTTTATTTTACCACAATCCTCAAGATGATTTCACAGAGATAAAAACACCAAACCCAGGTCACCATCCTCTGAAATATGTGATTTTTCTTTGCCTATGTAATTGAAGAAGAATTTCATACTCGTGTATTCCAGGATGATTTCCAGTTCTCAACTTTTGACTTCTTAGACGTTCAAAGTAATGATACCAGTTTCCACGTCTGTCTGCTCCAAAGCCGAACACATCCACCTGTAGAGACAATAGGGAATCTTAATGTGCTTTTTTTCTTTTTCTTTTTACCTGAGTTGCAGCAGCGACAGAAGTGCTCATCTGCTTTTAAAAAGTGGGAAGCCACAACTTGATATCTTGAGAAAAGCATCTAGGTCATTGCCAATGGCACAATGCTCTCCTCGTATTTCCTCATAGTTGGAAAGATGACAGAACACATCACAATATGTATGTCACCTTTGATTGGTAGAAAAAGACACACACCTTTGCTTATCTAAGGGACTCAGTCCAACATCTTCTCACCTCAAGTAGTTCCCAGATCAGGCGCTGCTTGAATAGAAGGTATGGTGGGACACACACTAATCCACTTTGCACAGAGCACTTTGGGCAGTTTAGATCACCAGAATAGGATCATTGAGTTAGAGGCCTAATATAATCAGTGTAATGTGGTTGAATATTGACTGGCTAAACCATTGAGAGCTGTTTGGTTCTTGTTCTGTTTTTAAAATAAGAAAGGGTAATTATTTTAGTACCTGGGTTTGAAGTCAGGCCTTTTCAAAACAACTAAGGAGCTAGTGTGGAGTGTCAGGATACTCTGAAGAGTTTAAAATGTTCAAAAAAGTGATTAATGCAACATTTAGGATTGAACCTACCTCATCACAAATGTGCAAACTCAGAATCAAAGTTATAAAGCCAGTGGATGGATACATGCCCTTTTTATGCAACCAGACATGATGAACATATTTCATGAAAGCTGGGTTGAGGATCATCACCTGTTCAGGAGTAAAGTTGGACTTTTAAACATTCAAGAACATTTCTCTGAATATATCAATGAGTTATTCAAGTTAAACGTTGCTTCGTTATTAAGAAAATAATCATTTTGTCAGTTTTAGTTGTAATCATAATCGTATAAATATTGTCCATAAGTCATGATACTCACCAAATCTTTGTTAGCTTCTAACCCAGAGACCTTGGTTTTATCATCTCTGTTGGAGAAAACAAAAAGCATTACGGTCTGTCCTTCCTCAATGAGACATACGGCATCCTTCTGTTGTCTTAATGTTCTGTACTCATCTTTAACTTGTGCAGGAATTAAATGTCGGACCTACCTTGGAGTGAAGGATTTGACAAGCCACTCGAGATCACTTGTCTTGAATGGAAACAGCACAAGACGTGTGGAGTTGTCCAAGTTATAAGCACTGTGAGGATACATCACATGATGTGTAGTTTTGGTTCCAACATCTTTTTCATAGTCTTTGGTTGGAGCTTGGTTCATTCTAAAGGATACAAAGGACATTTATTTTATTTCACGGAAAGGGGCAAAAATAAATAATTTTCAGAGGACCTGAGTCTGAAAAACATGTATTTACAGAATAGATATGTGGAATAGAATAAATACCCCTTGAATGTGTCAAATGGTGGGGAGAGTCTATAAGTTTAATTTCAGTGAATATCTAAAGACCATTCTATATTAAACTCTTGTTCTGAAACCAGACTTCTCAAAATGATGGTATTCTTATGTTTGTGGTAAATTGTATTTTGCTTTAGGATTTTGTAGAAAAGCTATCAATTGACTGTACCTTATAACGATATCATGAAAATCTATCAGAGGTCCATAGTGTGATCCATTCAAAATACCAGAGTTCCCAACCACAGCACAGGTCCTGCAGCGATCAGAGCTGGGTTCTGTCAGTACTGGATTTGGGAACATCTGAAAGACCTTTTCCACTGTTTTATTGTACGAACCAAAGCTACATTTTTCACCCTGGAGATGCTGAAACAAAAACAAAACAAAGCACAACACAAATTTATTCACTTGATTGGCATCTCTGGTGACCGACAATGTTATGTGAAGTTTGGGGATCGCTCATTGAAATGTTTTGACCTGAAGTGTGTTGTTCCGCAAGGTTCCGTTTTAGGCCCTACTCTTTTTAATCTTTGTACGTCACTGTGTTCTTTTTTTTCTTTTATCTTAGACATGTAATCTTTTACATGTACCTTGACATGTTTTGGCGGAAATAATGAGGGCATGTCAGTTCTTTTAGATGTACTGAGTCACTTGAATCAGTTCACTATAAAGATACGTTCAAAAGATTTGTTTACTGAATCACCGAATCAGTCAGCACTTGGCGGAAGGAGCCTGAAATCTATTTTTATTTTAATCTTTTATTTCTTAAATCTCATTTTATGTTACTTTGTCTTTAAAGTTTAACCTAACCTCAAGTGTTTCCTCATCTTGAATTTGAAGATGGCGTTTCCTCAGTGTGGATATTCCTGTTCTTACTAAATCAAGCTCTTCTCAAGTCATGCATTTTAAAACTCGCTCCTAATGTGTTTGGATCAGCCACATCCGATGACAGATATTCTCAATGAGGGACAGGCATAGGGTGGGGTAGAGTTGGGTATTCTTTCTTCCTTGTATTCTTCTGTGTAAAACACTCTGTGCTTCATTGTCTTTTATGAAAAGTGCTGTATAAATAAAGATTGATTGATTGATTGATTGATTGATTGAACACAAATTTATGGTGTAATCCCATTTTCTAGAAATTAAAGTCACAGAAAATTTATCTGTCTTCCCACATCATGTTTTTTTTATGTGAAAACTCACCACTGCCCTTCCATAGTTTTCTGTGACAAAGAAATGTATAGACCCTGACAAAAAAGTTCCTCACAATCACCACAAGAGGGTTGTCTGTGTTTGCAGAGATCTTTCTTTTTTATACTCTGGTACAAGTTCAATGGCTTACTCTTTATTGTTTGGAACAGGCTTGAAAATGTCTCTAAGATTGTTACTGATTCAAGATGCAGAAGATGATCCTTACCTGCCACCAATTAAAGTTACTCTCAGATAAGTTGTTTTTTGTTGACAAAAAGGGCTCAGGAGCTTTTTCCAAAAGTTCACTTAATCCTGGTGCATACTCCATTATACAGTTTTGACATGCACAGAGGGTTGTGTTCTGAGGTGGAAAAAAGGTTTGGTAATAAGATAAAATCCATGACGTTGTTGAAAACATTCCGATGACAGAGAAATACATGAGGGGTATGAAAACCAGTGGTCTTCTGAAGAGCATCATAGCAGCAAGATGTCCTTAAAATGGTTCAGTTCTGGTCTGTGGAGACAGTATTTCATAAGAATATAAACCTGAAGACCTTACTACAACAAAAAAACATTGTGATTGCCATTTTAATTTAAAAGTGAAGTTACAATTGAGCTTATTTAGCAATTGTTGTCTTGACTGAATTTACAGAATAGCAGAAAAACCCAGCTGATATATTTGATCATATCTGCCGGCTTGTCTTATGGTTTTCATTCAACCGCAGCCACACCCGATGACAGATATTCTCACTGAGGAACATTATAAGAATATTTTTTCCGTTAAAGTAAAATACTGTAATGTTGTTATGTAATTAATATTTAACATTATCAGTTCAATTTCTTATTCTCCTAAATTCCTACAGTCAACAAGTTAATCAGTGTTGGATCATAAGTTAAAAGTACATGATATATGATATAAAGTGTATGATTAAATTTTTTTTTGTAAAAGTTAAAGGAATATCACAGCCTTTCAAATTTTTTTAGTAAAAGTTATCTTGTAGAGGCAATGTAAAAAAGCCTAACAAGTCTCAAAAGCTAGCATCCTCCATGCTGGTAAAGTAATCAATACAAAAGGTAACTCTTATTCAAAAAATCATCTATCCCTAATGAAGAAACCAAAACACCTGCACACTGATACGTTAATCATTCCTAAATCTGCCCTCTGATGAGGTCTATGAAAAAAAATACCTAATGTTGTCTTACTTGTTAAGGGAAAAAATTATCCAAGAGAAGACCAATTGCTCTCCAACATCAACAGAAATTCTGGGAAAAAATATTTTTTCTTCATACAAAAGCTTGTGCTGCTGTTCGTTTTAACCAGTGTCAGGCACTGCCAGTTGAAATGACTGAGCTTTAGAGGTCTGCTGTTTAGATGTCTGAGCATAAAAAACCTGAACCACAACATAGTTGTGAGTTTCTGCATGTGTATTGGACACTAGTGGTCCGGAACACTTTTCGCTCAGCCTATTGAAGCAAATGAATGCAGAGCCTCTGAGTCCCTCTGTCAGAAAATAAAATCAAAACACATTGTGAAACCCTTGAAAAGTAGAATTAATAGTTCTTGTCTGGGCTTTTATTTCTTTCAACACAATTTTGCCACTGAAAAAGGTTTATCCTGAGAAGTAGATGTATCATTAATTGTCAGGTTTTGTCAGGTGAATAACAACAACTCAGAGAACATCATGTACACATTCATTAAATTGCATTAGTTCAGTGGAAAAGTACAAATCTAACACTAGCAAAATAAACACAATTGTAACAAGCCTTATTGTATCGCCATTTAAATCTGTAAAGATTCAGGACCATATATTGTGGCTAAAAAAATCCCAGGTTTTGTGAAATTTTCTAAACTTTAGACTCATGAAACAACATACTGAGCCACCCACATATCTCAGAACAATACATGTGCATTGTATGAAAAGGTGAGGAGAGATGGATGTCATGCCCATTGTGTGAGTATTACTTCTCTCCCTATAGGTCTTTTTTTTGTAAACCAAAACAAGGTGAACAAGGTGCAAACTAAAAATAGTCCTCAAGAAAAGTAATGTTTGTTTTAGAGGAAAATAACTCAAGTAGAAGATGAAGTATTCAAACAAAAAAGTACTTTTGTAAGATTTCTCAAGTAGTGAGTAACTTGTTTATTCATTAAAATGTATTGGATTGGAACATATTATTTAAAGCTAATAACTCAAAGTCTACATGTCTTCAAATAAGTGACATAACCAGGCAAATATTAAAAACAGCCTTTATTTTCTTTATTTTCTAAACAAATTGACATCAAAAGTAAAGCTGCACATGAGACACAATATATAAAGGTTAAGGATTTAAATATCAAACCTTGTTCCTTTTTTACTGGAGGAAAAAAAAAAGCTTTCAAAAACTTTCTGTTTCTTGAAGTTTCCAGTATTTCCCAGCAGGTATTTTAGCCAATATTAAATAATGTGATACCTTATTGACCCCCCAACAAATGCTTAACATGAAAGAAAGAAAGAAAGAAAGAAAGAAAGAAAGAAAGAAAGAAAGAAAAAGGAAAATCCAAGTCTTGATTCTTTATTTCAGATTTTCATCACAGAGACATTATGAAAGAAGAAAATAACGTTAACAATCATGAATAATGTGTTTATATAATTTTTTGATAAAAAAAAAAAAGTTCAGCTTTAATCTCAAAGATGATTACATTTTGAAAATTCATGTTTAAAAAAGCACTTTGAAAGAATTAAGGAGATGAAACACTGCTGAATAAAACTGAATAACTGAATAACTGATATGATCATGAAGAGACAATTTAAGATGACAGGTGTCAGGAAAATTACAGTAGAGCTAAAGACAGAAGTTTTTATCTGCTTTAGAAGGAGACTGACTTTTCTGAAGTCTCTTTATCAGCTAAGAAAACCTAAAAATTATTCAATTTCATTTTATTTTATTTACTTTTACTGCTGGTAAATAACTACCTATGGCTCGGACCTCATCTAGACTTCAAGGGCCTTAATGAAGGATTGACGGTGATTTGTTTGACAATCAGAAAACACTGCTAATGGATGAGAAAATAATCTAGATCTATAACTTGATCAGTAAATTTTGTAAACTGGAACACCTGAGAGTTTCTCACAGCTGCCTTCCGTTTAAATCTTTTGGTATCAATATGTTAATATAAGGCATGTAAATAATTCACTGGACTAAGAAGTTTTCTTAACTGCGCTCACAGTCGTGTTCAAGTCACACCAGAATTTTCCAGTAATTACTTTACAAAGCTGAAAGAACTACAAATTAAAAAAGACATGTAGAAAAGGTGTAATGTATGTTATTCTCCAACATGCAAAGCTGCCTGTGTTTTACTTTTAATTTTACCACAATGCTCAAGATGATTTCACAACATGCCACAGAGATAAAAACAAGAAACCCAGGTTACCATCCTCTGAAATACCTGATTATTTTTTGTCTATGTAATTGAAGAAGAACTTCATACTCTTGTATTCCAGGATGATTTCCAGTTCTCAACTTTGGTCTTATTAGTTTTTCATAGTAATGATACCAGTTTCCATCTCTGTCTGCTCCAAAGCCGAACACATCCACCTGCAGAGACAATAGAGAATCTTAATGTGCTTATTTTTTTCTTTTTACCTGAGTTGTGACCGTGACAGAAGTGCTCATCTGCTTTTACAAAGTGGGAAACCACTACTTGATATCTTGGGGAAAGTGTCTAGGTCTGCAACAGTGAGAATTGAACCTACCTCATCACAAATGTGCAAACTCAGAATCAAAGTCATAAAGCCAGTGGATGGATACAGGCCCTTATTATGCAACCAGACATGATGAACATATTTCATGAAAGCTGGGTTGAGAATCATCACCTGTTCAGGAGTAAAGGTGGACTTTTGAACATTCAGGAACATTTCTCTGAATCTATCATTGAGTTGTTTAAATTAAATGTTACTTCATTGTTAAGAAAATAATTGTCAATAAGTCATGACACTTACCAAATCTTTGTTAGCTTCTAACCCAGAGTCCTTGCTTTTATTATCTCTGTTGGAGAAAACGTAAAGCATTACGGTCTGTCCTTCCTTGTTGAGACATAAGGCATCCTTCTGTTGTCTAAACTCACCCAGCCATACCAGGTGGCTGTTCAACAATGAGTTTGGTTACTAATAATAAGTCTGGGACTAGGAGAGGGAGACATTTGGATTATTTCAACTTTGCCCTCACTTCATAGCGAGTGGATAGACATGCATAAGTATGACCAGGAATTCCAGCAGCCAGTTGCACAGCGAGGCGTTGAGCCCCAGCTGAACCAGTTTGTAAATTAGCTGTTGAGGGATGATGGTGTTGACTGCAGAGCTAAAGTCTGTAAACAGCATTCTGACTTAACGAGTCTGACGTAAGAGTCAGACTGGTTGAGACAATATACGAACTGGATGGGGTGAGCAAAGAAGTCGTTAAGCTCATTTAGCAGGGAGGTAGAGCTGTCACAGATCTGCGGTGACCTCGCCATCAGAATATATCGATATAGATCTGAATGTTTGTGCTGACTCAGATTCTTAGTTGTTGTTGATAATTTATTGCGCTGTAATGTGCCTGAAACTGTGGAAGCCTGCCGGTGAGGCATCGGTGACGTATGCCGATACGCCGCCGGTCTACCAAAACACCACTAGACCAGCTGCGCTCCGCCTGCGCTGAAAGCTGACCAGGTTTGAATCGGTGAGCTTTCAGCGCAATTTCCATGCCGCCGCCGGGCACGAAAATATCACTGCGCCAGCTGATTCTGGCGACACTTCCCCATACCGCACCACCACGCCCAGCTTGGCGGACTTCGGTGCGCCTCAGTCTACGAAAAACACCACTGCCCGGGCTCTGCCACCCTCCGCCGCGCTGCCGGCGGGCACAAAAATAGAGCCCCTAGTGTCTCAGCTGTCACTAAAGTTGTGGGCGATCCTCCAAGACTCTTGCCTCTTGGCCTCTCTGATGCCATATGACAGGTTAGCCCTTGCTGTCCTCAGGCCCTCCTCATCCCCATATCTAATGGTAGGATCGTGAACCTTCAGTAACCTGTAGACCTCTCCTGTCAGTCATGGCCTCTGGTTTACAGTGATGGACTTAGTGGTCTTGGCATCATCCATGCACTTGCATTACACAGAGACTATAACTGCCTACATATGTAGGCAGTTATAGTCTCTGTGTAATCCTGGAGGTCTGTGATGGAGTTAGAGGAGCAACCTGTTTGACCATATTCTAGTCTGTGGTGACGAAACAGTCCTGTAGTGCCTCTAAAGACCTGTCTACCCACACTCATACCTGTTTCCTAGCTGGTTGGGGGACTTTAACCAGGCTGGCATTTGCATAACAGTGAAGTGGTCCAAAGCACTGAGGTTGGGTAGGGGAAGGGCCTTGTAGGTTCCTCTCTGGCAGGTAAAAACATTTTCCGGTATGTTATTTCCCCATGTTGGAAAGTTAATGTGTGGATATAATTTGGAAAACACAGTCTTGGGGTCAGCATGTTTGAAACCCCAAGCCTGAGAAAAGCATCAGGGTTGCAGCATATGTGTTGATACAGTTCATTCAGCGCCTCACTCTTGTTGTTGTTGTTGTTGGAGCTGGGAGGGATGTAAACAGCCACAAGCAGTATGGCCACAAGTAAAGCTCCTGGTGTTTCCATGATTTTCTTCATTTCCTGAGACCGGCATTTGGGCGGTAGAGTCCGGTGGGAGAGTCACTGTGATGGCACTCGGCTCAAACAGCGTATCCCCCGGATGACCTGCACCACCTTCCTACACCCATAAGCCGTATCAAGTGTCAATCATAGAAAACGTGAACCCCCTAATAAAAAGTTTGTCCGCAGCTCCATAAGGATGGCTGGAGGAGGCAGAATTTATGGTCTATACTTCAGCCCAACACCAGGGGGTACTGTTCCCATGGAGGCTTCACCCAGTGAGGAGGCATATGATGTCAATTCTATATACAGTCTACGGTGACAACAGACACTAAAGCTATGGTGGTAACACAAGATGGTGGATTTATCTCTGAAAATTTCCCAGTAGCACTAAAAATCATTATACTGTTCTGTATTCATGTTTAACTTGTGCAAGAATTAAACCACATACCTACCTTGGAGTGAAGGATCTAATGAGCCAGTGGAGATCACTTGTCTTGAATGGAAACAGCACAAGACGTGTGGAGTTGTCCAAGTTAGAAGCACTGTGAGGATACATCACATGATGTGTAGTTTTGGTTCCAACATCTTTTTCATAGCCTTGGATTGGAGCTAGGTTCATTCTAAAGGATACAAAGGACATTTATTTTATCTCACGAAAAGGGGCAGGAATAAATCATTTTCAGAAACCAAACTTCTCAAAATAATGGTATTCCTATGTTTGTGGTAAATTGTATTTTGCTTTAGGTTTTACAGAAAAGCTATTAATTGACTGTACCTTATAACAATATCATGAAAATCTATCAGAGGTCCATAGTGTGATCCATTCAAAATACCAGAGTTCCCAACCACAGCACAAGTCCTGCAGCGATCAGAGCTGGGTTCTGTCAGTACTGGATCTGGGAACATCTGAAAGACCTTTTCCACTGTTTTATTGTACGAAGTGAAGTTAGCTCTTTCACCCTGCAGACGCTGCAACAAAACAAAACAAAACAAAGCACAACACAAATTTATGGTGTAATCCCATTTTCTAGAAATTAAAGTCATAGAAAACTTATCTGTCTTCCCACATCATGGTTTTATGTGAAAACTCACCACTGCCCTTCCATAGTTTTCTGTGACAAAGAAATGTGTAAACCCTGACAAAAAGGCCCTCACAATCAACATGTCTGTGCAGTGATCTTTCTTTTTTATATACTAAATAACTTTCTTTGTAAATATTCTATTGTTTTGAAAAGGGCTTGAAAATGTCTCTAAGATTATTACTGATCATACTGCAGTCATGAAAACTATTACTGTTTTTGTTGTCTCATATTTTGGCAGAAAAAGGAAGGAGCTCTGTGATATAAAGATAAATCCTGTGAGCTGAAACAAACATCATCAAAAGATATTTTCTACTCAGCCTAAACTGTTACAGCCAACAGCTATATGAGACTTCAAGATGCAGAAGATGATCCTTACCTGCCACCATTTAAAGATACTCTCAGATAAGTTGTTTTTTGTTGACAAAAAGGGCTCAGGAGCTTTTTCCAAAAGTTCACTAAATCCTGGTTCATAGTCCATTATACAGTTTTGACATGCACAGAGGGTTGTGTTCTGAGGTGGAAAATAATTGTTGTAAGATAAAATCCACGTAGTTGTTAAAAACGTCCCGGTGGCAAAGAAATATATGAGGGGCATCGAAACCAGTGGTCTTTTGAAGAGCATCGTAGCAGCAGTCCTTAAAATGGTTCAGTTCTGGTCTGTGGAGGCAATATTTCATGAGAATATGAACCTGAAACCCTTACAACAACAAAAGACATTGTTATTGCCACTTTAATTTAAAAGTGAAGTCACAACTAAGCTTATTTAGCTATTCAGCGAGTCCTTTAAGCCTGTTGTTTTGACTGAATTTAGAGAATAGTAGTCATTCCTAAATGCATCATCTGATGAGATCTATGAGAAAAAAAGATGACCTAATGTTGTCTTACTTGTCAAGGGGAAAAAATATCCAAGAGAAGTCCAATTACTCTCCAACATCAACAGAATCTTAGGAAAAAATGTTTTTTCTTCATACAAAGTCTTGTGATGGTGGTCCTTTCAACCAGTGTCAGGCACTGTCATTTGAAAGGGCTGAGCTTTAGAGGCCTGCTGTTAGAGGGTTCGCATGAAAACCTGAACCACAACATAGTTGTGAGTTTCTGTAGCATGTGTATTGGACTTTACTGGACAGAGGCATTTTTTGCTGTGGGCAATATCGGCGACCGCCCAGGGTGCATTCTATGCAAGGGCCTAAAAACGAAAAAACCCGCCAGTTGTCGAGACTGCTCATTACCATGTCAAGTTAGTGGAGTGAGCACTGGGGTGACCCTCTTATCATGTTATCATTGCTGTTGAGAGTCATGTTTACAGGTTGTCTGTCACCCACTGTCAAGAGAAAAGGCAAGGGGCAGGGAGCAGGCCGGTGGGGGATCATTTTGTAACTGCAGAGGTTGTGTTTGAATAAATGAGGCCTCGTCCACATGGAAACAATTCAGGAGTAGATGCAAAAGTTTATTTTGGAGTTAGACTGACCTCTGAACCTTTGCATGATGGATCAAAGGTACATGTAGCTAATTCATTGGTTTATGTCAAAAGGTATGAGGAAAGTTGGAAAAAACGGAAATCTGTGCATGCATCCATATATATATATATATATGGAGAGAGAGAGAGAGAGAGAGAGAGAGAGAGAGAGAGAGAGAGGGAGAGAGGGATGGCTCACCCAGCTCGTAAAACTAGCCAGGACCACCTCAACTGCTGGAACACTTAGCCTAATAGGATTATCATTAATATTTTCACTTAGCCTATTTAGGCAAATTAATTCAGAGCCTTTGGCTCTACATAAGGTGGATCGCTTTTGTGAATTCCAAGGGTTTACCCTCTGGACTTCCCGGTTGCGTCACCAAACGTCCTCGCCCTCAGGCCCACATCACAACTGACTTAAAGAAAAGCCTCAGAGTGAGTTTTTTTTTTTTAATTGTGCCACCTTGAATACATACAAAACATATGTACAAAACAAAAGATGCAGACACAAAACAAAGAATACAAGCACGCAGGGGTTACTTTATACTACAAACAAGAAAGTTACAACCAAAAAGAGGAAAGGAATTTTCCACCAAATTTCTTCATAATGGCATATGTTTTGGCAGCTTCCTTATTTCAAATGTTTTTGATTGTAGCAGCATAGCGGATTAGGTCTTTTCTAAAGAATATAATATTGGGTTTGCAGGTGCAGATTTGAGTGAGTGAAGAGAGCAAGGTCCATGGAGCCTGAGCTGACTGTCTCGTTGTAAATCACAATGTCTTTTCTTGTTGTTGTTTTAGCAGACACTTTTACCCCAAGTCTTGTGTTTTGGAATTTTCTTTCTTTTTTTGAATAGGCACTGTGCCTCCAAGCGAGTCTGAAGTCTCACCCAAAATACGCACCTGTACAGCGGCACGCAAAGAATTCTGGGGATTCCAAGGCCACGCAGTGTGCATGGATGCACTCTTGTAAAAGGGATGGAGGCAAGGTGGTTTTGTGATAACGTCACGCTAACTGCAATTGTGCAATCCCCAGTGTACCATTAATTGTCAGGTTTTGGCAGGTGAATAAACACAGCTCAGAGAACCTTGTGTGACATTTGGCAATGAGCCTCAACCTATTGTCATTTCAGTCTGTTAAGATTCAGGATCATATATTGCAGCTGAAAATCCCAGGTTTTGTGAAATGATCTGAACTTTAGACTCAAGAAACAACATACCGAGCCAACATCAATTCAATCCATTTAATGAGGTTGAGAATATTTAACAATGCCCCCAAAATTCCCTTCACTTTAGAAACTTTGTCATACATTCAATAAGAAATCCCATTTAGATGAATAATAACAAACTTTCAGTCTACTTATGTTGGTGGAAGAGATTTAGAAAGGCAATTCACTGTTAGCAGTTTACACTTAATAAATATACAAACACCAGTGGGTAACCCATCCTTCTTTCAACAGCAGCATTCACCTGCTGGGGACACCTGGGAGATATACTGTTTGCCAAAATAGAAAACCATAAGTCTCTATCATTTGTACAAGAAAACACCCAATGCGCTATTACCTTAAACTTACCGTCCAAAAGACATTTTATGTTTATGTCAACACTTTAATTTCACCGCAAACAAAAGAAATTAAAATAAAATGTAATTTTTGCCAACAATAAATTAAATTTAGAGGTCATTACAATAAATTTACAATTGGGGCAAAACCTGTCAAGCTGAGTGCTGTGATCATTTCTTTGTTGCTGTGAACAATAACAATTAGAAAAGATTATTAAAAAAAAACAGCAGAGTGTAATTGAAACAAGTTATCCTGTGTTGTCATGAATGTTATAAATTACTCCCTCACATTAAAAATCCCTGAATTCGTCCGTGTTCCTTTGACAAGATCAGCCACAATTGCTTCACATGAGTTGTCAGTTCTGTGCTATGCCTATAACCTATGACTGTACATTTCCATTTTTAGTTCACAGAGGTGTTACGTTCACAGTGTTGAAGTCGGTCAGAAAGAGTCACATTACATGTCACATTCATCCATTCACACCACATTCACACACTGATAGCAGAGTCTATGTTAAGCACTATCAGTATTTAGGAATCCCATTTACACATTTATGACATGTGGACAGCGGGACCTGGGATCAAACTCCTGGACTTTAATTAAGAAGAGACGATCCCACTCTACCACTGAGCCACAGCCGCTCCTGTAGGATATATCACCATCCAGAATAAAACTGGATTTTTTGTTTCTCTTTTAGTTGTAAGATGAAATCATACTCTTGGGATCCAGGATGTACCCCAGTTCGTAACATTTTGTTTTTGAGTTTTTCCCAATAATGGCTCCAATTTCCATCTTTATCCGCTCCATAACCAAACACATGGACCTGGGATAAACAGAAATAAACACATCATCATTAACTGTCATAGATAAGTCGTGAATGATGGAAATAACATGTGATCAAACCGAGCGAGCAGTGAGAAGTCAGGCTAATGCTTCCAGACTTGGTGCTTAAGTACAAATGAGTCTCATAGAAGATCACTGATCAATTATTTGTGTCCCCTTGGTAATCACTGTCCTATTGCTTTACAACAGATTACAAACAAACCATGAGAATAAACTCACCTCATCACAAATGTGCAGGGCCATAACCAAAGCCATAAATCCGGTGGAAGGATACCTGCCCTTCTTCTGCAGCCATGTTTCATGGACATACTTTATAAAGGCTGGACTGATCACCATCACCTGTTTTAAATCAGAAACTGCCTTTAGATTTTTTTTTTAGCTCAAATATCAAATCTGACAGCTTATGAAATTTGTTATTACAGATCATTCAAAAACTACTCACCAACTGCTTGTTTGCTTTGATTTTTGATTTTACTGGCATGTATGAGCTGTTGAAAAAAAGTTAAATGTTAGGTTGTGCATCAAAATAGCAACAGGTTTTCAGGCATTTGATGTTTAGAGGTCTTTCAAGAGTAAATATGAGTACAGATATTCCTTTAAAATGCAACATCAACAGGAAGTTCAGTATTACTTTGCCAATATCAAACACATCGGACTTTACCCTGAAATTTACAATAAAATTTAATGAGTTCAGGCTTCTCTGTTCCTGTTCTAGGTTGGCAGTTTTTATGGGAGCAAACCTGCAGAGGTAAACATGTATCTCAATAAATTAAAAGTATCAAAGAAAAGGTTAATTGTTTTGAACATAATTACATTCAATTCTATTTCTTTTGGTTAATTTACATAGAAATTAATGATTCAAACCATTTTACACATAAAACTTATATCTGCCTTGTAAAATTATCAAGATATTTCCCAGGAAAAAAAAGGATTTAAATCACAAATAAATACTTTCATTCACATGGATTTATGCTTTCAATAATTAAATAGGGCTCTTTTACCACAAATTACTGCATCATAATGGTACGGTAAGGAAAAGATCTGCAGTTTGTGACACTGCTGATAAGGTATTGAAGTCCTCATTGCTTTAAAAACATCCTTCAGGTTGTCTGTATTTTTGGGTAAGGTGTTTCTGTACAAATATCTTATGGATCATCTATGGGGTTCAGGTCAGGAAAGTTGGCTGGTCAGTTAAAAGTCATATCATGGCAAACCATCTGACAGTAGTTTTGGCACTATGGCTGGGTGGGTCTTACCGGATAAGGAAACTTGTATATAGATTGAGCTATAGAGATAGATTACATATACAAATGAATGGATAAGATACGCAAATGAATGGGTAAGATAAACAAATAGACAGCCCTCACAAGCCGTGCATCCCTCACACCTTTCCATATTGAAACTGCATCCTAAATGACAGCAAATCAATTTGAAAACAACCACTTGCCGGTGTGTTGTTCTATTATGATGAATAAAATACAGCTTAATGATAACAAATATTTTCCTTGTGTTTCTTTTTCAATTTTATTTAGCTACATATTATAATGAGTCAGTTATTTTCTTTAGTTATTTTTAGGTCTACATCACACAGACTTAAACAAGATTGATGATGAGGAGACAAGTTTTGGCTCTAAGGCTTCCTGTGCTGCACAGGGGGGCACCAGTTACAGCAACCCTTCCCCCTTTTGTTTTGTTTTTTTCCCTTTTTAAACTTTTGATTTAGCTTTTTATTCCTGAAAACATACACTGGAGCATTTTGAAAAATATTTGCTTCCACTGCAGTCTCCACACACAGCAGCGTGCCTATTGTTTTCACCGGTGATGAGCTGTTAGCCCTCTGTAGCACAATAAAGTTAACCGCCAAGAGACCCAATGCTCTTTGTGGACTGGTGTTAGCGGGTCCTCCTCCAGATCAACCAAGGAGCTAGCGGTAGATTTCTGCAGTGGCAGACCCTCCCCTCCCCCACAGGTGAACATTCAGGGAAAAGACGTTGAAATTGTGGACTCTTACAGGCACCTGGGTGTTCACCTGAACAATAAACTGGTCTGGACTGACAAGACAAACTCACTCTACAGGAAGGGCCAAAGTACACTCCACCTACTGAGGAAACAGAGGTCTTTTGGTGTGCAGGGTGCTCTCCTGAAGACCCTTTATGACTTTGTAGTGGCCTCAGCCATCCTTGATAGAGTTATCTGCTGGAGCAGCAGTATCACGAGTGCAGATAGGGACAAACTGAACAAACTGGTGAGGAAGGCTGGCTCTGTACTGAGCTGTCCTCTGGTCCCTCTAGAGGTGGTGGGGAACAGGAGGATGATGGCAAAGCTATCATATGTCATGGGTAATGTTTCCTACGCCCTGCAGAGGATTGTAACAGCACTGGGCGTCTCCTTCAGTGACAAGCTTCTTCACCTGCGGTGTGTGACAGAGAGATACCACAGTCTTTCCTTCCTGCTGCAGTCAGACTGTTTAACCAAGCCAGTTCCAAGTAGTCTAGATTTTTCAAGCACAACTAACAGACAATAACTACATGCTAGCTCCATGTGCAATACTGACAGGCTGGATATTTATAACTGCAAAAATCCTCATTTTTCTCAGGTATAATAACTCAAATAATGTGCAATAACATGTCCAATTCTTTTTATTCACAGTGTAAAGAACCATTTTAGTTTTTTGTTGTTGCTTACATTTTTTTCTCTATTTAGTATAAACATTTTCTGTAGAGGTCTAAGTTAACTTTTCCATAATGACCAGTGCACTGTTTGCATGATGAGTGTACTTACTCTTCTATGTTTGCAAGGAAATGATCTTATCTTATCTTATCTTACCTTACCTCTACTTCAGCTCTCAGCTCACTGGCTGTAATTTTGGTGCTAGTATGTGTGGATGAACTGGCCAAGCAGGTGACTCTAGGTCTGTTGCTGAATGGTCTTGCACACTTATTCCACAGAAAAAGGGCTGTGTACTATGAAAACATTCTGGTTTAGCTTACTGAATAAGACTGCGTGCATACCAGCCCTTTTAAACATCGTTTGGTCACACGCTCAGCCATGCCTCATCTTTTTTTGCAAATCAGTTCCTACAGATGAGTGTTCAAGAAAAGTAATAGAGGGGCACAGTAAGAAGGTGCAGGTTGAAAATTCTAAGCAGATAGACAAAGGAATATGAAAAATAGATACAAAAGAGAAAAAGTTTTCTCTTCCTCTGGAGCAAGGGCATTGTTTGATGGCAAAATCTAGACCTCTTGTTTGGTTCAAGTTAAATCTATACAGATATTATTTTTGCTTCAGGTTGAGAAAACTAAGTTCAAAACAATGTGTGAATACTACTGGCCTAATTAAGTTCCTGTCAGTAGTAAAACTGACCAAAATGAGGCCAAGGTGGAAACTCTAGAGATAGGAACACAAACCTGCACAACCAGGCGAGAAACACACTGACAAAAGATAATAGTAGTCAAAGGGGTTCACATGTACAAGCTGAAAGACGAGTTTTGCTAGTCTACGTGAGTGTAGTCAAGTATCAGCTATCATTCCTTATCAATGAAACCAAAAGCACAGATGATCAAGCATGTGAACCATAAACCAATTCGCCACCATACTCAAAAATATTAACCTAAAAGTTGAATTGTTGACGGTTTTGTATTATTTGTGACAGCTGTGATACAAAAGTTCCTGCTTGGCACTGAAAGGTGTTTCCAGTTTTGTGACCATTCAACTGCTGACGTCACTTCATTGTTCTGAGTGCACATGGACATACAAATTATTTCCTTACAGTAAAACATCAAGCATTACAAAATGAGGAATTTAAAATGTCCTTGAGATTATTTAAATAGTTTGAAAACTTTATCTTATTATGACACTAAGTGTTTCTCTATTGTTCTGAGAATGAGTAAATGTGTTGGGAAGAAAAGTATGAGTAAGACCTGTGCAAATATAGTGTCTCTACAAATACGGTCATAAAACACCCATATCCTGTGTGCAGCATGAAAAGGACACTTGATAAACTGCTAATACATCCTACCTGGTCTTCCTGTAAGCCAGTAAAATTTCTTATCTTACAAAGTACAACAAAAAGTACAGACTGTGAGGTACTAAGTTCATATCCAAATCATGAAAATCAGTTGTGTTTCCTTTGCCACGAGGGTCAGTAAAAGAGAAGTGTTAAATCAGGGAAGACAGGTATATTGCTTTTGCCTTGATAGTAAAGACAAGGCCAGCTTTTATTTTGGCCCACGGCAGCTTCAAGTGGTAATACTAGTTTTCATTCAGCCACACATCTTTTGCTCAGAAACTCAAACTCCCTACCTTAATATTTCACACTTCAGTACTTTCAAGAAAGCCACTAAATCCTAGTTAATCCAAGAACAAACCTTTAGTTAAATCTGATTTTCTAGAGATTTGTCTCTGCCAAATGTGTGTCCAAACATGTCTTGTTCAATCTTCCTTTTTTCCCTTTTAATTCACCATTTTTTATTTGTTGATTCCCACAATAGAGGCGATAAGCATGGTAAATTAGCACCCACTAAAAGCACTTTGAAAAAAATCACAACTTGCACCAAGAGAGCCACCACCGGCATCACCCATGGATGCCCATCCCTGCCATTCCCGTCCTTCCAACAGTCAGAACAACTTCAATCATTTACTTAAGCTAAGGTCTGGCTAGAATTGTGCAAAGCATGCATTCAAACATAATAGAGGGGTCTAGAGTGGGGTATAATGTTGCATCTGTATGCAAAATGGTACATGCAACAAGTTAGACAGACTTGGGAAAACTATTGAGAACCCCTAACATTTTAAAAAGTATGTTTATGGCGTGTCCTGAATAAACCAGCAAGTCCATTTTAGTGGACTCTTACTTACAGGTTTAGGAGTTAAATCTGTTTGAAGAACCTCTAATTGACTTCTACACAGATATAATGATATCTGCTCTGTGTGACTCAATCAATGGTACGTCGGTGAATGGATCAGTCGAAGTAATAAAAAAATATATTATCAATGTAACGAGTCTTTTTTTACACAAAAAATGACAAGCGTTATGGATAAGATGTAAGGACAGGACTCACGTTCCAGTAAATCCTGTGGTGAGGGCTTTTGTGACCCACAGAAGATCTTGTATCTTGAATGGAAACAGCACAAGATGAGTGTTGTTCTCCAAATCCATGCCACTCTCAGGATACATTATATGATGAGTTGTTTTATTCCCAACATCTGCTTCATAGCCTTTGGTGCGACCTGTGTTCATTCTACATTGTACAGAGTGAAATAGTTAGATCTCAGCTGTGCAGAAAAACCACAGGGGACTACTTGTGCTTTGATTTATAGATTCATGTTTAGACTTTTAAATGACCGAACACAATCAAAACAGAAACTTATTTCTGAGCCCTGGATTTACCTTATGACAACATCCTGAAAATCAATTAGAGGTCCATAACGTGACCCCTTCAGGTTGCCAGAATTACCAACCACAGCACACGTCCTGCAGCGGTATGAACTGGGTTCAACAAGATCTGGTTTGGGTGGGACTATCTCAAATAGTCCTTCTACTGTTTTACTGTAGGCACTGTAGCTGCCTCTTTCTCCTTGTAAGCGCTGAAAAACACACCATATCAGTGAATGAACACACAACATAGGCTACATATAAGACAATTAAAATGTTTATGTAAATCTAGGTGGTCACTTACCTTCCACCAGTTAAAAGCACTCTCTGGGAGACTGGTATTTGCTGATAAAAATGGTTTAACTGATTTGTTGACAAACTTCATAAACCACTGATCATCTTCTGATAAGCACCTCTTACAGGCACAAATGCTTTGATACTTCAAATCGCAGTACTTCAATGCATATCCTCTCAACAACACAGACACACCGGTCACACACAGCAGGAAGACAAGCGCCTTCCCTTTAGAATTCATCTCTTCTCTGTGAGTCTCGATCTGTGATCATGATCTAAAAAGAGCAAGTGTGAAAACAGAGACATGATAACAGACAGAGAAACTCTTATTTGTTCAACATTGTCACACGCTAAGCAGTCGAGAGAGCTCACTGTGTAAACAAATTCATATACCAGGTGAATTTAGCCGTTTTTCTGCTGCAATGCAAGTTTTTGTTAGTTGCTGTTGTCAAACTTGAGTGGTTTATTTCTTGCTGTCTTACCTGGTAGAAGCGAAATTCTACCCGTCCTGTGGTGACAGTCGGACATTCAGCAGTTTCTCCGTTTTATCTGACTAGAATTCCTCCATTCAGTTTCTGGGAGAATTAATCCACTCCATGACCATCTAGCAATGCTGACATCTCACCAAACCCACGGGACTGAGCACTTCCGTGACAAAAGAGGGTGTGGTTTGAGAAAGCGGTCCTTTTAGATGTAAGTGTACTACTCGAGTATTGGATTATGACAACATGTCAAATGGAGAAGCTAACTTTCGTTCTGTTTTTATGTGTCTCAAAAATGCACAATAGAGCTGTACTTGGGTATGTAAAGAGTACAGTTAGCTGTCAAGGTAGAGAACGTTATATTTTCGGGACAGCAAATATTATCTGAATAGCCTCACAGAAACCATTAAAGACACACGTTTTTGAATCCATCCAATGTTAAGGAGATCTTGTTTTTTTTCGCCTTGTTATTTACTTTGAACCGCTCTCCCGTCAGGGGATGCATTCTACGGCACAACACCTGTTGTGCGTTCTACGGCAGGGATGCATTCTACAGCAGAACACCTTGTGTGTTCAGACCATACAGTCTATGGTGCAGACTGTGACCCCGTTGACAGCGGCCACCTACCCAGTGCGTCTTATATTGTAGCAGATACAGTAGCGGTTGAACTTTCCGAAAACTCCCTATGTTTTTCAGCACACACATATTTCGCGTGTTTATCTAACCACCATTGCGAAACTTAACTTCGCTTCCTATCTGAACAGCTGTTACAACTATTCGCACATTTGGCGGAAAGTTGCGTAATAAAAGGGTCATTTTTTTTAAACCGGTGCTTTCTGTGTTTGGGTTAGTTGGAATCTCCCCATAAATTTAACCCCTACCTGTCGTTAACTCACCGGCAGACTGAATGAAACCCCAAACGACACCCGCTTCCCGTTACAGGTCTGATGACGTGCTGTCTCAGCAAGGCAGCACAGAAACCTGTGGCCAACGTAATGGTAGGGGAGACTGGGGTAAGATGAGCCATTTTTCATATTTCGAATCACTACATCAAGACAATCATAGTTTTGTCTCTAACTAGTGTATCTGCATATATTTCAAGATGTTGTGCATCCCTGCAAACCAACAGAATGAGTGTAAACATAACTGTCTTGATAATATAGCATGCCAAAAAAGTGGTCTCAGGGGGAGCAGGGTAAGTTGAACCGTATCCCTACTACATATCAGTGGCGGCTGCTGGTCTTTCAAGGACGGGAAGCTCATTTTTCTGGCCTACATCATAATTGTGTTTTTTTTTTTCGTTTTTAACAAAGACAAAAGTCGCTGAGGATCCGTAAAGTCTCCGGAGCAGTTAAGAACAACGGAATGAATAACTTGGAAAATGCTCTGGTAGATGTTTTATTCTTCAAGATCGCTGATTCGCTTTTTAGCTGTCAATCAAAAACGGATTTCGCCTCAGACAGCTCATTCAATCATGGATGCAGAAGCTCAGCGTCCGCGAGAAAGTTGGGACCGCCCTCTCATCATAGAACTCCAGAGACGCTGAGCGTCCGATGGGCGGGACAAAGCCCAGCATTTATCCAATGAGTGTCTAGTTTCGCTGCTGGAACAACCCACTTTGAGCTTCCACATTGTGTGAAGCGCTGAGGCGCTGCAAGGATGAATGAGAACGAAGTTGTTCCGGTTACCTGTGGTTATCAGTTTCTTATCACACTGTGATAAGAGGGGGGGGGGGGGGTTGTAGATTGACATGACAAATGAGACGACAGACAATTAAATATTCCTTTGGGGATCAATTCTTATTCTTAACTGCTAAAAAGCTGTTTGGTAAAAAAAAAAAAAAAACTTATGACAGACTAAATTCACTTTTAAGAGTGAAAAAATGTTATTTTTTGTAAATAAATGTCTAACTCCTTCACCCATGTGCTTCTAACCTTCAGAGACTCCATGAATTGTTGTCCATCTTCTAAATATTTGGTCACATGATCAATTTCTTTTACCGTTTCCAAGCAACAGGGGATGGCTCAACTTACCCTTTGGCTCATCTTACCCAGAGGTAGTGGATTCAGGACCGCATTTATTAAAAAAGCTGATAAAAGAATATGAGTCTCCCTCTCCTTTGTTAACCACCTTAGAACTACTGGCTTGAGAACACCTTGTTCCACCCAGGGGCTCCAGAAATCTTCCCAGAGTCTACTATTACAAGAGGCTTTGTTTTCTTTAGATGTGTGTTTACATCATTCCACTGAATCCGTGTCTAGTTACCAACCTATTTTTCAGGTTTGCTTATGGTGCTTGACCACCAATGAATAGGGGCAATATATTTTCATGCTTGTATAGTTTTTTTATTTTGTCTTGTTTTCCCATATTTGTGGGTTTTGCATCAGAAAAAAAGATATGAACTTCGTTTGTGTGGGAGCCTAATTGCTGCCAATTGTATTTCGGCAATGCCACATTTCAGAAAATGTTGAGGGCCCTAAACTCCACAAACATTTTTAACAGTACAGTAGAGACAGTACATAATAGGCTATTCATTCACTTTTCGAAGACAAGGTGGCACAGATTTTCCCAAATCTGGCTCATAATGTAATAACTTAAATCTAGGCTAATAATGTTATTTTACGTAATTTGTTCTCAAAAAATTGCAAATCTGAATTCAATCATGTATACAAAAGTGTTCAATGCTAACATCAGTGTGCCCCGGTGTATGTTAGTGCCTTTGTTCCTCTAGTATAAACATCAATGAAAATATATAACAGCTTAAGTGTAGGCTAGCGTCTAAATGACACACCATTTATTTAGTTTACCTTATTTGTAATACTCAAAGTTTGTCCCTGTGTTAGTGGATTTTATTTGATTGATTGAATGTTTACAACTATTATAGATTGTGTATGGTGTCGAACATCACTTTATCAATAGGGTCTCCCATTGGCTATAAAGTAGCACTTAAGAAAATGTACTATTGATAAAAATTTGTGGGTATTTCTGACAACAACCACATAGTCGTTTAAACCTTAATTGTAGTTATAAAAAAACAAAAACTGCTAAATATAATGGAGCAGTAATCAGTCATGTTTTTTTTTTTTTGTCATCTTACTGCTTTGCAGCCGTTGCGTGACTTTGCTCTATGTTACATCTTTTATACAAATAACACCACATACTGATTCTATTATAGTATAGTATTGTTATGTTATTATTACATTACATTACATAATTATTACATCCCTAAGTACTTTTTATCTGTTTACGTATTTAAGATAAGATAAGAAGAACTTCAGTCAATTCATAAATCATGTATCTCATAGCCTGGTTCATATACAAAAGGGTCCAACTCATGATAGTGAGATATGGAACACTAAAATTAGATAATGATTATGAAATGTGTTAGAGCAGCCAGGAAGAGTGGCCACAGTGGTATAATTGGGGCGCAATGGTTAGGGTTACAGTTAGTGTACAAAAGCAGTTGCCCTCCTTTGTGCCCTAATGTCTGAAAAAATAAAGCAAAGTGCCTTTCAAGTAAATTAAACATTACAAAGTTTGATGTCTTAGCGGGGCGGATCACATGGAAAAATGTTAACAAAGGCCCAGCAGTACTTCTAGACCTACATACCAGCTAAAATGAGAATGAGCTGGCTGACAGATCTGGCGACACCAGGCGACTACATGACACTATTTACAACACAAACTGCTGTATAAATATCTATTAGAACGAAGGAAATTAAGAGTCAGTTGCTCAAAATTTCTAAGCTAGTCATGGTACATCAGGAAAAGCAGATCCACTGATTACAACACTGATTTAGAAATGACTAAAAGGAAAAAAAGTTTTATTGAACTGGTTAAAGAATAACCACACAAGCTTACTTCCTGGTCGATTGGCAAGATTTCATCTTGAACACATCCTGTGGTGAGTTATTCTGCAAATACTTATCAGAAAACTTTGCTGACCTGCGTCACCAGCTATTTCAACACAGATATCGTACAAATAAAAGACAAGATTTAAAGATACTTGGGGGACTGGTAAGGTACTTGAACATCATCTGTTTCTGACGATATAATAATGGAAAATACTTTGGTTGTGTACTCCCCCTTTTTATGATGAGCTCTTGTCATGTATTGTTGTCACTGGGTATAAGCCTGAAAAGATTATTATTTTACAATCACAGCTTTGGTGCCAAAAGTGTAGCCTGGCTACTAAAAGTGTGCTTCTATGCAAACTTTTGTATTAGTCATGGCTTTGCTTTGGTCAGGTGTGTAAACTGATAGACAAATATACTCTTTCAGCCTTCCTGGTACTGTGTGATTGAAGTGATTGTTTGATGCTTTGATCTGGACCTTATACAAACAGATTACTACTGTAACAGTTTAGTCTGAGATCCTGTAACACAAACACATGTTTTATTCTTGCCTGCAAAGTAAGTCACTCCTTTGTTAAACATACCGGTCGTCTCAGCGCTGACTCAGCTTCTTGATAAAATATATTGGTGTTGAAATATAGATGAGCGGACCCTTATTGGTTTAAGGATATCTGTTATAGCTTTAATATGAATAATCTTTTTTTTTTCTCAGTGAGTTTTTTTGTCATACAAAAGAGAATAATCTTGATAATGTATAGGCTGTGCGTATCACTGAGAGGTTTGTCCTCAAATTTTAGGTGTTTTTAATTAAGCTAGATGCAAGGGTTACCAAACATCCCATTTCCAGGACATGTCCTGTATTTACGGTCACCATATAAACGCCCCTGTCCCTTAAACAAGTGGTTTTAATTCAATCATTTGCTGCCTGGGTGCTTAATGAATTTTGCATAGGGGAAAAAAATTAAAAGGTGAAGAGATATAAAACCTTCATGCAATCGTGTCAGTATGCCAACATTGCAATTACCTGCAATTGTTTTCACAGAAGCCTTAAAAGTAAGATTTACTAACAACATAATATTTTAAATAAATAAGTGAATTAAAATGCACAATTTAAAATGCAGATGCTAAACTACTAAATTGTAGAGTGTAATTAAGCAGATAAAACATTTTCCAAAGAACTTTTTAAATTTTACTAGATTAGATTAGATTGATAGATAAAATTACATTAGAACTTTATTTATCCTTTTGGGAAGGTTCCCTCTGGAAAATTAAAAAGGAATAATAGTTAAAGGAATAAAAATACTTCCTGGTTTGCTGACAAGGTTTGGCAACATTTACTTCATGTGCAGGATACTGTATTTACCCAAGAACTCGGCTGATCTCTTTCCGTTTCCCTGTTTTATTTGAGCATGGTAATAATTGACAAATTTATTTATTGCATACAAACTTGGCAAAACAAAAAAGACTGCAATATAAAAGACTGAGGTACAGATGAACAACTAAACTAAATTACTCTCAAATGAAATAGAAAAAGGTTTTCTACAGTTTGAGAAGCGGAACCCTCAGCTCTCTGAAAGAAGAAACAGAGGTTGAGCAGTTCCTGGTTTCATGAATGAGGCTGTAAACTTTCAGTCAAACCCCCACTCATTTTACAAATCTGAAGCACGCCCTCTACTGGACAGTGGGGCATGCTCTTGAAAATAGGCCACCATCAACCAGCTTCAGTTTTATGTCCCCGGTGTTTAGGCAGCATATGTTGCTGCCATAAATTTGCTCCTATGTTAGATGTGCATTTCAAAGAACAAGACCACATAGTAAATATATTCCTGTATGTGCTCAGGTAGGTTACAAAACAACTCAAGAGCCAACCTGTTACCATGGAGTCTCAACCACTCAACATACCCACAGGAATAAGACATTAAGTCCCTTGTGATTACCCACAACTTCAACACCTGTTGTTTTCTCAGGATGAGTACAGAGTGTATTAATAATCGTGCTGCTGTACAGTGGAGGATTTTCTTGTTTATTTATAACTTTTACGGTTACATTTTTATGATAATATAATTTCACATACGTACACATCCTGTAACTTCAAGCAAATACAGTCAAATGTTTGTCTTGTGTCTTCCTGTAGATCAAACATATCTATTTCCTGATATTTTAACACCCACAACTTGATAAATAAACACACAAAAATTATACAAATATCAGAGTGGTCAGAAACATGAGTGGAAAATTATGAAACATTATGTCCACAGTAACAGCCACAACACTTTGCATTAGTAAAAATGGAAATTGTGCTAAGCTGTTCCGTTTTCCTCACTTGGAGACAGTGAAATCATTAAATTGTTTTAATGTAATTCTGATACATTTTATTATAAATTCACCAGCTTAAATTACCTTTGGCAACAGATCGATTCTGGCAAAATAAAGATTGTTGTATATAAATAGAAAGTTGAGTGGAAGGGAAAAGTGTTGGAAGAGGTGATGAGGTAGGAAAACATAAGTAAAAGAGAAGATCGTAGTCTTGGGAAGAATATTAAGACCTTAGGACAGCTTCACTTGTGAGAGTGGACTGGGGCTTGTGCCTGTGCATCAGGGACCATAGACCCATGTAAGAAACAGACTACAACTGTTGCATTCCTATCTATCTTTTAGAGGCTGGAGAGGCAGGTGTTAGATGTCCAGTGTGGAGTTTCCACAGTCTGGTTTGTGGTGCCATGTCACCCTGTGGTGTTGGTCTGCTGCGTTTTATCAAGTCACAACAAAGTCATAACTGTTTCACTGCATGATGATCTGCAAACCCGCATTCTTAAATATTCTACATTTTTAATGAATTACAAACTGGCTTGTTATTGGATTTAAATAAGTGGTGTTCTCTTATTTCATGACTCTCCAGCACACTGCAGTGAAATGAGGATTTGCTGCATAATAAGAATTGCAAGAGCACCCTCTATGATTTAACATATATAAATACACCACCATACTTATTCAACTTCAGCCATTTTAAGTACAGAAAACCAAAGATTTGAAGTGCTTATTTAAAAATTACTAAAACTATGTATGAAAAGGTGTCCTCTATTTTTTTTTTTCCTTGAGTTATCACCCATCAGGGTCTTCCACAAAATAACAAAACAAACACAAGTATGAAATTGTTGGCCTATATGTAAGAAAACTGTGATCTAGTGCATACATCTTTTAGTTCCACTTTTCAACCATTTGACATTCTTGGTTGTCTTCTGTTCATCAAACACTAAGGGCACTCTGCAGTGAGAAGTATGTACAATATCTATCGATAAATACACAACTTTAGATATGAATCTTGATTTGACAATCAGTCTCTTGCAATGGTTATCAGTCTCATCGTCAAAACATGCATTTGCCTGCCGGGCGAAAGAAATTCAAATACCATCCATCTACCACACCCCTGATCCCATTGATACAATAAGGGAATACATACTTACTGAATATTCCCTCCTGCCAACGTTTTTCCATGATATTAGAAAATATTATCCACCAGTTGCTGCCAAGAAGGATCATGACCCCATGTAGAACTTGATTTTAAGGTGTCTGGCAAGTCTTAGGATAGTCTCATACTCATGAGTCCCAGGATGTAATCCAGTTTTTAACTTTTTGTTCCTGAGTTCTTCCCAGTAATGATTCCAGTTCCCATCTTTGTCTGCTCCAAAGCCAAATACATGGACCTGGGGAAAAAACAAACATTGAATGACTAAGTATTGGTCCTGATGGAGCAAACAACACAGCAACTGGTATGGGCTTTTGTAATATCACCCACTGAATACTGCCAGTCCTTACTTGCAGGCCTTTCCTTTGGCACATACCACTGTAGATGATCCAGTCCACCTGGGTTTCAGCCAACCCAGAACTGCAAGTCACTCCTCTGATTTAATCTCTCTCCATTGGCTACCAGTAGTAGCCCACATCAAATATAAAGCCCTACTTTCTGTCTACAAAACTGCAACCAAACCAGTTCCTGCCTGCCTGCATAGCTGTGTATTTGTTGTTTTATCAAGTTGAGCTATTCTTGCTCAAAGGGAGGAGCTGAGTTATATAAAGTGAAATTACTGTGAAATCTTGGCCTCACCTTAACTCTAGAAAATAACTAGGAAATAAGTACCCCCTCTGCTACCAGCTAATCATTTATATGGAGATAGAGTTCAGCTAATTGAGCATTTGTATACAGCAGATATATACCTAAACACAAAAAAATCTATGTCCACTTTAGGTACTGAAGTTTTTGGGTGTATATGGCAAGTTGCTAACATAATTTAATTCATGGATTGGCGCTAAACCATGACCAAAGTGATGGATGCTTAATTTTTATGGTGTCAGAGACCACTCACTATTGTCCAGGAGTTAGCCCCTGAGAGTAAAAGTCTCTCTTAATTACAATACATTTCTGACTTTAATGTAAACTAACTATTTATCATCTTTTCATAAATGGTATAAATCTGTCACAGCAACATTAGGGACATTTTGTTAAACATCATTGAAAGGAGTTAAAGGGATATTCCGGCGTACAATTAATTTAGGGTCAAACACATCGTAACACAGAGTTAGACACCCCCTCGAGAGATGAATGTTGCCGACCGCTTGCTTCTCTAGTTATACCAATTTTAGTAAAAACCGCACCATAGCAATACACAGCGGGCTGAGGAGCCAAAAACAAATGTCAACCAAAACGCCACTCTATAGCCACAAATAAAGCTCAGAATAGCACCTAACTTCATCAACAGTACATATAGGGTCCCAGCCACAGCACTAGCCATCAAACATCTTTTCAGCTTTGCCTAATTTCTTTATCAAAGAGACTAAACACAACTCACCTACTCTCTTCCAGCAGCCGCTTGTTTGTAACGAGAAACATATAAGTCCAGTCCATTACAGACTACAGAGGGGTGACGCAGTTAAAGGAAGAACATTTATGATCATTTCTTTATCATTTCCTTTAAGTAATAATCACCATATTGATCATTTTGCACCGCAGAAGCCGTAGTTCTTCTGCCTTAGCGTCTTGGTCCGAATGCATTTCCATGAAGAAATGATTATAAATGTTCTCCCTTGAGCTGCGTCACCCCGCAACAGTGCAAAAGTCCCCTCACCTCATCACAAATATGCAGGGCCATGATCAAAGACATAAATCCAGTGGAAGGATAACCGCCCCTCTTTTCCAGCCAGGTTTCATGGACGTACTTCATAAAGGCTGGATTGATCACCATCACCTGTTTGTTTGAATTAGAAATAACATCAACATGGTTTTATGACTTTTACTGAGCATTTCTTTTATGGTCACAAACTTTTAACAAATTATACTCACCAAATCCTTATTAGCTTTGATCTTGTGTCTTACTGGCATATATGAGCTGTTAGAAATAAAATGTTAAGAATTGAAACTTGGCAACAACTTAACGAAGAATGATACAACATGGTTTCAAAAAAATTATTTTTGTAATGTTACAGCCTTTATCGGAGGGAAGTCTTCTTGGTTGTTGGCTGTCAAACCTCTACAGACTCATCTTTTTCTATTAGGCAGACAGATAAATTTTAACTGTCCTTGCTGACAATCATTTGCACGCTCCTCCCCCTATGCGCTAGGCTGCTCAAACTTGCAGAGAAATATCCAGGGTTCTGATACATGGCACAACTTCATTAACCTATTGCTTTACAAGTTAAGGAAGCCTTAACGATGATATGTGATAGGGCAAAGATACGGTTTCCTAAAGGATTTATTGTGGGATAAGAGTCATCAGAGCAACTATACGATGCAGGAGTAGTAAAACAATCAAGCTCCATTAACGTCTACAACAGACCTCATAAAACAATTAATTCTGTAATCTCAGACGTACTGGCAGATTTTGTGATATGATGCAAGCACAACTTTGTCAAGCTGCCTTTTCATTCTCAGTTATCTGGCCACACAAATGCAGAGATGGAAAATGTGGAGTCACTACGTCATCTCCATGCCATGTATTTGTTCTGCTCACTTACTGAACCAGGTGCCTTCACTGATGAGCTCACCTTCCTGGCTGCTCATTGGAAGCAGCTGGTTCAGTGACAGAGCAGAACAAATACATGGCATGGAGATGACTTGGTGACTCCACAATTCCTATCTCTGCACAAATGGTACATCTATGAAATTTCAATGGATTTCAGAGCATTGAAAATGAAAGTTGGAAAAGGGACCTATCACATGCTCACCAAAAGCCTTTGGATGAGTCAGCAGAAAAATTTGCATGTGATTGCTGACCAGAAACAAATGATGTGTGCAGCAAAAGTAAATGGTCGGTTTCCCATCTTCCCCAGAGGCACATCAGATTAGATTACACCTTTCAGATCGGTTAGCATGGGAACAACAGATTACAGGTCTACCCATCACAATAACATTTTGTGGCGTGTTGTGTCCCAGTCAATAAAAGATGTTATCATTGCCAAAGTGGGCTCATTTCACTGCAGCAGTGCTTCCCAAACAGTGTCTCAAAACTGTCAACTCTTCTTTAGTCTTCACTTACTCAGTGCACAAGCAGCTTTCACTAGTCTGAAGACGGTGTTTACTCAATTAAAATCCTGACTAACACTAAAAGATTAAAGATCCTGTCATACTTTATCAGTGTGTTTGAAATTATGACTCACGTTCCAAAGAAGCCGGTGGTGAGAGCTTTTGTGACCCACTCAAGATCCTGTATCTTGAACGGAAACAGCACAAGATGAGTGTCGTCATCCAAATCCATGCCACTCTCGGGATACATAATACGATGAGTTGTTCGGTGCCCAACATCTGCTTCATAGCCTGTGGTACGACCTGTGTTCATCCTAAATTGTGAACAGAAATAACTCTGTATCTTTAGCAGGAATAAGTCAAAGTGGACCAATTTAATGAACTTTAAAGAACTTGAGTATTTACCTTAGGATGATGTTATGAGAATTTATCAGTGGTCCATAACATGATCCCTTCAGGTTACCAGAGTTGCCCACAACGGCACAAGTCCTGCAGTGGTTAGGGCTGGGCTTTTGAACATTAGGTGTGGCTGGAAATACCTGAAACAGGTTCCTCACTGTCTCACTGTAGACATCATAGCTGCGTTTTTCATTCTGTAAATACTAAAAGACACACATGACAAAACATAGATTTCTGTCAGAGCAGCTATGTTATGTGAGCACACTCAGAGGTACATATTTAGTGTGGAGTACAGTTTCTATAAGTTCATTACTAATCCTCATTTTAATAGTACAGTACATATAAATGGGGACTTATGGTAAAATCTACTGGACAGATTCTTTGACTGATTGATTGAAGTTTATTTGAACATATAAAATAATAATAAAGTATAGAATACAACAACAAATGACAAAAAGTAATTCATGTTCAAAAGGTAGTAGGAAGAAGTCAAGTCCTACCCCTTCTCCTACTCTAATGGTTCAAATATGTATTATAATATTAATCATCATAATAATAATAATAGCAATAAAAATAATCACCACAGTGAAAATAACAAAACAATGATGATATTGACGATTGTTACTATGATTGTACATCCCTGTATCCCATAAAAACATATTCTTTATATTTTGTTTAAAATTGTTTTATGTTTGGACATTGTTTTAACCCCTCACCCATACCATTCAACAGTCCCAACCTTCAGAATGAAAAGCAAAATTGTTTTCTGCTTGTGCAGATTTGATTAATTTTGCAGTTACACTCCCCTCTTAATTGATAACCCCCCTCATGATTCCAAACAAATTCTGTATATTTTGTGGTTGAAGGTTATTTTTAGCTTTACGCATAATTTGTGCTGTTTGGAATTTCACAATGTCTGTAAGTTTTAATAATTTTGACTGCAAGATAACTGATATTATGAATGACCCGTATTAACCTTTTTTAGAGAACAATGAGTGAACTGATTGAACTCATATAGTTAATGCCCCAAATCTCTGCACAGAAATTGAAGTATGGTAAGACAATGGAACCGTAAAGTATACTGTGGTTACTGTTTTGCTTTGTTTAAAACTGAGACGCTAAATGCTAAATTCTCGATTCAAAAACTCTTCTACTCAATCCTCCCTTTGGTGAATCTCTACAGGTAGTAGCAGAGATGGCCCAAGTATAAGTAAACCAAGCGCCTGCTTAGGGCCCCGCAGCCAATAGGGGGCCCCCCAAGAGCAATTGAAGGAAAGAAATATTTGTGATTTTCTGCATGTATGAGTGATGCGTTCCATATTATCAAATATATATTATTGTAAAAAATAAAATAAAATAAAGTAAAAATATTTTAGTGCTGTAGGCTTATGATTCTTACTGCCGACATGTCAACGCTCCGCTACAGTTATGTGCCTTCTGCTGTGCAATGTGCACTGAGCATCCTGAATGTGTTACATTTTGAGATTAAAAACCATATGTGGCACCCTGAACATCATTCATCAGTCATTCATTGGTATTATTTGTATGGTTGCATTGGTTTTATTTATGTTATTACCTGGGAAAACCCCTTAAATGTAAAATACATGGCATGGAGATGACTTGGTGACTCCACAATTCCCATCTCTGTTAGGGCCCCATTGAGGCTTGGGCTGGCTCTGGATGGTAGTGGCCTTTAAGTACTCTGAGCCATTGTGATGGATAATGAGTGTAAAAAAGCATAAAAGCATCTATCACTAGAAATTTTTTATCATACAATAATCTGCCTCTTTTTCTTTCATCTCCAGGGAATCCAGTTAAGAAACTGCCTCTTACCACTTACCTTCCACCAGTTAAAGGCATCTTTTGGGAGAGTGTGTTCCGCAGACAGAAAGGGTTCAACAGATTTGTTGAAACGCGCTGCAAACCACTGATCATCTGACAAACACTGCTGGCAAGGAGACCCGCTGCCCACATCCAGCGATAGGGGGGTGTCCTTCAGGTATCCACTCATGAAGACCAAGAAGACGGTCAAACACGACACCAAGAGCAGTACCTTCACCGTGGGCTTCATCTTCTGTTTCAGATGATCCATTGTTGACTAACATTTGACCTGTGATTTATGGGGAAATGAAACAGTGAGACCACATTTCACCAAGGAGTGTTTGTAGATCGAGTTTTCACAAAGCCAAAATAATCATCATTAAAGCTGTTTGTTGTTGTTGTTCGCCTACATAAAGTACCGCAATCATCAAGCTAAATAAATAAATCCAACCATACAGAACAAATTATTGCCACTTCTCAATATGTCCTTAAAATTACTGGACCAAAATACCCGAATTGTGTTTTAATTATGCCGTAAATTGCCCAGAAGTTCTAGAAGTAAAAACGTGTCGTGATCATTTCCGTGTTACCTGAACAGAAGGAAACAAAGGATCCATTTACATGTCCGCGCTTTCACTGAGTACACGAGGTGAACTCAGAGACACAGAGGGTTCGCGTCTTGAACCCTGTATTCATCGGAATACAACAGGAAGTCATCAGAAAGCCAAACTGGCATGACTTTAGGTGCGAAGGGGGTGTGGAGTTTGTAGAGACAGGAGAATGTGAATGGCGGAAATAGCAGGAAGTATTTTCGATGGTTTCATTCAACATTCCTCTGCCCCAACTCCTACACTACTGCCTAAAACAGCATCCGTTAATTTATTGTACATAGAGAGCTAAGTCTACTGCAGCCACCTTGTATATTTATACATAGGGGAGAGTGGGGTAAGTTGAGCCACCCCCTGTTGCTTGGAAATGGTAAAAGAAATTGATCATGTGACCATGTGACCATCTGTGAAGGTTAGAAGCACGTGGGTGAAGGGGTTAGAAGTTTATTTAGAAAAAAAAAAAAAAAAAAAATTCACTCTTGAAAGTGAATTTAGCCTGTCATAAGTTTTATTAGAATTGTGTTCAGACCAAAAAAGAACGTTTTAAATTTGTTTTATACATCAACTGTGGTTCTATGAGCTACAACATGAACATAAAAGTCCACCATTTTAGCTTAGAGGACTAATAAAGTCATAATAGTAGTTCTGGGTAAATTGAGTCAGTGGCTCAACTGAGAAAGTAAAGGAGTCTGATGAGAAGATCAGAGTTTCACTTCAGATTGTGAAAATGTTTTACTTTTCTTTTCAAAAATACAGCTGTGAATGTTCTGAATCACTTTTTAATGTTAAAATGGCTTTTTACAAAACAGCTTTTTAGCAGTTATATGCAATAATAATAAAAATAGTTATTGTACCAGTTGGATACCATATAATAGATAAAAATACACATGAATGTGAAGAAGTGACTGTTATTTAGGGAGAGAGAAGGTGAGGGTCAACTTACCCCATACACGGGGTAAGTTGACCATAGGAGACCACTTTTTTCGGCATGCTATATTATCAAGACAGTTATGCTTACACTCATTCTATTGGTTTGCACAACATCTTGAAATATATGCAGATACACTAGTCAGAGACAAAACTATGATTGCCTTGATGTAGTGATACAAATATGAAAAATGGCTCAAAAACATTCATTTTGGGGGGAAATACTATTGACTGTTTAAAAGCTGTGTATTTGATTATGATATTTTTTATTGTTTCACTCTGCACCAGCCCCACAGCTGAACAAGTCAGTTTCCAACATTGCAAAGTCCTTCATATAATAGGGGAGACCAGGTATGATTTAAACCTTTTGCCTCAGCACTTGTAACTCACTGGATTTAGAGCTATACAACGCTCTTTTTTAATCAAAGTACCCACATTTGTCTACTACAAAAAGAGCTCAATCTAGTCCTTGTCAACGAATCATAGATTGTGGGGAGTTAAAGTCACCGGTGTTCCATCCCAACCTGATCACGTTCCCTTTCTCTTTGACACAAGAGTGTAGGGGCCTGTGTGTGCACATACTGTCTCTGTGTGTTAATTAGTCTCTGATAATAAATTGATCCAATGGTTAGGCATGTTGAATGTTAAAAAAATATAATGATGTATCCATCAGCAATCAATATAGCTGTCTGGGTCACAAATGTTTTTTTATTGCTATATTAAATTCTATATAAAGCCTGAGGATGTGCTAGCTTAGCCATTATAGCTCAGATTAGAAATATGTGATCAATGTTGTCATATAACCCAGAGAAGATACATGTTGTAAACAGCATGCCTAGCATTTGGTATTGAGCAGTATGCAGTACTCACTATTAAAGTAGGTTACAGTGTCTCAGTAACATATGTGGTTTCCTGAGGTGAGCACAATTAAAAATGTCAATTTCATCACAGTTAATTTAATGATGTTCCTTAAAAATTAACAAAAGTTTGTATGAACTTGTTGAAAGTCAGACCGTCCTACACTTTTTTACATAGGCTGTATATGGTGTGGGAAATCCCCCAGGGGCAATGGTGGGTTCCCATAGTGTCATGCTTAAGTCTTTTACAGATTGAATGACATAATACACTATGGTAACTAATGCATACACACACTTGGTACACACATTACCCAGTCTCATGTCAAAATTAAGGCCACTACAACAACAACTACACAACTCAGCAGTCTGCTGTGCTCCAGCACAAAATTCATTCAGCTCACTCGAGTTTAGCAGCGTAACCACAATAGTTTCCTATGATAGTGTATACTCTCAAGCACAGCAGATGTATCACAATTCAAACAAAGAAAACATGGGTTTAATATTAAAACATTTTCTCTGACAGCAGGGGGGCAGTATTCTCCACATTTACACACTGAGTCTGAAATCATGGCATTTTAATACACCAGAGTGAGAAAGAGAAGGCTTTTTTTTAATCTGAAAATCATGTAAAGATATTAAAGGGGTATAAGAAAGAAAGTAGAGATCCTAAAAAATGCATAATACCGCCTCTTTAAGCAAGAATGGACCACAGAGAATCTGCCTTTCTTGTCGCCTTCTTGGCACATAATTGATTTTATGACTCCTGTGTTATCCACAAATGGCGGTATTACATTTATCCTTATGTTACAACATTACCTGGTCTCCCCCACACTTTTATTAGAATTTTCAGTGACATCAAATTTATTACCTTGAAAATCATACAAACAAGAAGTTGTGTCAGACCAGTGAATTGACTGGGACTGTATCAGAAGCAATAATGTACAGATACATCTCTACTTCCTGTTATCTTTGCACTCAATGGGTCCATGCCTATGTTCCAACAGCCTTATGTTCCCACAGTCCTATATAACTACATTTGAGATTTATCACACAGTGTATGTCCTGCTGCGACGACACCTCCGCGTTAGTACGTGTGGAAAGATGTCTATGGGTGTGATGTTATGTTTACAAAATGGTTAATGTACGGAGGTGGAAACAATTATCCTTGTAAAGGACGATAAAATATAATCTAATATATCCACAGTGTAACTTATACCCCCTAAGTATCTGGTAAGGTCTACTTATTGTAATTGTCCCTGAGTAATATGTGTGGTGTGCGAAATAAATGAAATATGAAGTCAGTAGAGTGTGGTTTCGACAACAGGTGCAAAACATAGGGCCGAATTTTATAGATAAATCTGAGAATGTGAGAATGTAAGGCTGTGGGAACACAGGAATGACCCCCACTCAATGACCGATGGAGTTCACCGTGAGTGTGTGAGTGCTTAGGGCTGCACCTTAATGCCACATTAAACACTGTCCTTGAATACATACATTTTCTGACCTTCCCTGGTGTTTACCCAGAGTAGACATTGAACTTGGCGATTTAAATAACTTGACTGCACAGTTTCCCACCATGCATTAACAATATTTGTGCATTGGAGTAGTACATCCTAACGTAAATATTGACCCCACCTGGTGTGTCATACATTTATGTTGTGGAAGGACAAAGACACAATTGTTATTTTTGAAAAACTCACCTTTTCCATGACCTTTGAGGAAATGGAACAATCTATTTTAAGCTTGCACCATGCGGTTGTTTGTGATAAAAGCCTTTGGTTGAGGTGTGATAAAATAGGGGCTGAGGGAGGCGCTCAATTCAAGGAAGGAACAAGTAGTTAAATCACTAAAATCAAAAAGGAATTGAAAAGGTAAATCTAATTTTGTAACAGGGGGGTTCAATAAAAAAGTTCAAAGTAATTCCTTCAATAAAAGAAGAATGAACGGGTTCGAAGAGCTAGTCCCCGAGGCACTGGCAAGGTTAGGTTTGGGTTAAAACGCAGTGGCACAGGGAGAATAAAAGGCATTAAATATACTTTAAAAAGGCACCTTATTTTGGTTCCCTAAGTGGGAAACCTAAGCCCTATCAAAGTCATTTTAAATAAAGTAAACTTAAACAAATGCAAGGGATTAAAATTCAGCCGATGGCTGACGTGTCTGACAGTCCTTGGATAAACACATTCGTAATGTGAATGTGTTTGTGTGTTTTGTGTTTGTTTATTTTATTCTTTTCTTTTTCTTGAAGCACTTTCGATTTGAAGCACATTTGTTTGCAGAGGGATGGCTCCCCCTAGTGGTCACATCAGAGCACTTTTGTCTGGGGAATGTCAGCACGCTTGGGCCATAGAAAGGAAAGAGAGCAGAGGCCTATTGTGGGAAAAAAACGCAATTAAAAAAAAAGCCAGAACAATAATAACACATAAAAAATCCTTCAGTTTAGAGAAACCAAACTAATGTCTCACTGTGACATCCTTTCTGATCCTCCCTGTCAAAAATAGGAAAAACAAAATTACTTATTAAATTACTTCTTCCTTTCAAAAAGGGTTAAGGTGAGACTTCGAGGGTTAGAGCTACTCAACGGCCCCTTGGATCTGTATTTTTCACACTTTCCAAATTACCTCAAAAAATAGGATTCAGAATCAAATAATTTGGAAGGTCACGAATGAAAATAAATAAATAAAGCAGAATTAAATAAGACCTGAAAACCTATCAAGTTAAAACTTCCAGAATTAAAACACATTTCTGTTTAATGAGGGAAGACTTTAATACAAAATTGGTTTCTGTCGTTAATGCGGTTTCTTCAGACAAGGCAGTGTGGTCATCAATATTCTATATCAGTGTTTATCAGTAATTATTAAGTTGTTTTACAGAAATATTAATAGTTATTAAGAGTCTCATAAAAAGACTCAATTTTTGTTTGTTGGAGAGTTCAATGGTCATCACTTTAGTCTTTGTTCCTGCTGAAATCAGCTCTTCATCCTTTCAAACTTTCTCTTCCTTAGCTCTCCGTCCTCCTCAGCTCTTTCTCTTCCTCAGCTCCTCATCTTCCTCGACTCTTCGTCTTGTTCGGCTCTCTATGTTCCTCAGCTCCTCATCTTCCTCGACTCTTCGTCTTGCTTGGCTCTTCCTCTTCTGGTCCCTATGAGCTGCTGCTAAGTCTTCGTCGCAGAAGAGATGCTGGTTTGCTCTCTGTGTCCTCAATGTCACTTTCACAATCTCTCTGCAGAAAAAAAATATTCAGTCACAACAGCACTGAACAATTTTAACTTTCCAGATTTTAATCAGATCTCCAGCTTGTTTACAGTGGGGAGTGAAATGCGTCAGAGCACCTACGAAATGAATTTTTGATCTTGATATAAACTACAGGTTCAGTTTGGATTAGTGTGCTCAATTATAATGAAAGCAGCGGCACAAAGCTCAAAGTGAATCTATGTCTGTGTATCGATGTGCAGAGTTTGATTTTCCAGTTCTATGTTTCTGTTTCACTCGACTGCACTGAGTCAAATTCACACTAGCTTGTAAAGTTTTCTTTGCCCGATTGAGCATAAAAATACAGAAGTGTTCCGGTTTCTATAAGAGAGCTTATGAAAATACTCTGCAAGAACGTAGTCTCTGTGAAGTAGTGGAGACGCAGAACCGGCAGCCATGAATCAAGACAGAAACCAGTCAGCAGACAGCCTTTACACTTTAATAAGAATAAGAACAAGACGAACTTTATTAATCCCCAAAGGGAAATTCTATATAATCTCACAGAGCAGGTTTCTGTATCCACATGCTGCTATCAGAGATCTTTTCTCAGCTACAACTTTACTCTCTTCTCACACTGCTGTACGTCTGTAAACACAGATTATGACCATAAATGGACATCAGGACATCTTTTTGCATAGGATGTGGTTTTGTTGTTTTCTTAGGCTCGGACCTCCATCCACCACCCAGGTGGATGGATAAATGGATTGATGATCAAGCATTCACCCAATAAAATATATCGTATTACAGCTCCATGGACCAGTTTCTTTCTGTGTTTCTTTTGAAGTTCTTTAATTCAACCAAAGATCTAGTTGATCCAACCTATGGTCTAAGGGCCCGAGCAGGTCTTACCTGGACTGGATCATGGTCTGAGCTCTTACACAGCAGCCTGAGGCGAACCAGCCGGTTACACATCCTAACCATATTATAAGACATCTGAGGGGGCAGAGAGAGAAAAGCACAGATGTTTACATTTGTACATTTACTATTTCTATTTTACTTCTATATCCTGAATTATATATTTTATTGAGAATTAGTTAGACTTGTTTTATCCTCAGTAAATTTCTTTGTTTTTTTTTTTTAAATCTCTTAGAGCTTTTACATAAGGACGCAATCATCCAACTTTTTGAGTTCTGATACCGGTACTGAACCGATCTGATTTTTTATTCTTTTATATCAGGGTGAGACTAGAAATGATGTTTTGGCAGCATCAGGCTTCTCTAAATTTATACACAGAATAACACAAATAATGATATTCTGATTCTGTATCAGAGTTACTGATTACACAAACATTTTAGTCAAAGAATATTTTCTGTTCTTGAACCAAGTCAAATTAATCAAAAATTGGTGTCAAGATTCCACAAGTTTACCGTCAGGATCTGGCATCCCTACTTTAATGTGCATGTGTGACCTTAGCTGCCAGAATAGAGCAAAAGATTAATAAAATATCTATATATCTATCTTTTTAGTGTTTTCACATCAGAGTGCAATTGGAGATATTATTAACAAACAGACCCACCTTCCACTTCCGTCTTGCGTTAAACTTTTTAAAGCTTTTCATGTTGATGGATGATCGATTCCTTTTGACCTTCTGAGAGCGAGTGAGTGGCTGAAATGTACAAAAACATCTGAAGTCAAGTGAGTTATAAAGATTAAAAAGAAGTAAAAATAATTTATGCTTACTGTAAAAAAATAATCAAATAAAAATTCAGTCATAAAACAAAGTTCAAATACAGTCTTTGTCACCTTAATCCAGGGATGATGAAGACTGTCCTCAGCCGTCATCCTCTCACTTGAACACAGACAGACACAAAAATTTCATTATTTAAAAAAATTACTGAAAACCTTTAACTTTCACATAGACCATCTCATAATATCAATAAAGACACAGACAGAAACGTTAAAATCCACATAGCTTCATTAGTGAGTATGAATTTGGGTACACAGTTTTTCTTTGTTATTGTAATATTGGCTGTCATGCAATGGGATAGCTATTGGTCATTTGTGTTTCCAGTAACAGGAAGTAAAAATAAGAGTTTTCTTCTTCCTGCTCCTTTCCAGACATGACGTGTGTGATACTATGAAAGTCTTCATCTTGTTTTGTGGAGGACTTTATATTTTGTCATAAATGGAACAAAAAAAAATGAAATAAAAACTGTGAAATCAGAAAACAGTAAACATCTGCTGTTAAATATATGACATAATACACAAAATACTACAACAGTCAGTTCCTAAATCAGAGACAAAGTTTACCTGAGCAGCTCACCTGGGATCTTTGACCAGCAGTTTCTGAATGAAGTCTTTGGCCATGGAGCTGGTCGTGCTGAAATATCGATCATTGAACTCGAATTTCATGGCCAGGATGTTGGCCAGAGTCTCCTCATCAGTCTCGTCTTGAAATGGTGACAAACCACTCAGGCTGACGACACACACAGAGGACACAATATTTAGACACTTGGTTTTAAATAACAACACAAAACTCTACATTCTTGTAAATATCTGTAAATACACGCCGACAGACTTGTTAAGGATACACAGACAGGACATTTCACGGGGTGTGTTAACATTAAAGTAGTAACTAACAAAAACCTCACATTCACACAAACACATGCACTTACAGTATGTAGGTGATGACTCCGATACTCCTGCAGAAGAAAAACATGAAGCAGGAAGTCAGGAAGGTCATTTGAAAAAGATAGAAAGAAAACATTTTCAACACAATAAAAAGACAATAAACCATCAAAAGACACAACGGAAACAACACATACATGACAAACAATAGAGGTGAGATTAACGAACAGGTGAGCTCACATGGAAGAGTGATGTTGGTAGTTTAATGGACAGATTTATTTTAATTTTTTTGATGAAATTGATTTTTTTAGGAGGCTGAACCTTAGAGCTGTTTGTTTACAAAAGCAAGTCTGTGTTTTTTTATTGAATCAGTCAGGCTGCACGTATAGTTATAACAGTTATAACAAACACTATCCTTAAAAAAAAAAACTCTCCATTAAAGAAAGGTGTTGAGCATATGCTGCGTTCGAGTTACCACGGAAGTCAGAAGTCTGAGCTGGGAATGACGTCAAACCCAAGTTACCAGCATTTCAGTTACCAAGTGGGAAAAAAGCAAAATCGGAGGCAGAAATAGGAATGCTACATCTACGAAAGGGAATGCTAAAATAACTTAACTAAAATAACAATCGCTAAAATAACTTGGAAACTGAAACGCTGGTAACTCGGGTGTGACGTCTCGGACATCCAACCTCCGAGGTAACTCGAACGCAGCAATACCGTAAAATTGTTTGTTACTAACAACAGATCACCATGGCAACCTAAACTCTCCCCCATCCTGTAGGTTCCTCTGAACTGCTGCAGCAGACGTCCTGCCTTCTTTCCATTTGCTTCAATCTGTCTCTCCATTATTGTCACTATTACAAAGCCAATGTTTATTTTTTTAAAGAACAAGACTTCTGCTTGAATTAATGTTTTAATTTCTACCCCAATCATTACAAATGTTTCTGTAAAACCTGTTGACTTGAATTTTGTATAAATCAATCCAAGACTATTCTACTACCATCAAAGTGCTGTTCATTTAAATAGCTAACATACTTGTTTCATTATCGCTGTCCATCTCTCCCTGTCTGCATCTACCTCTAAACCCAGCCTAGTCTCAGCAGATGACAGTCAAACATGAGTCTGGTTCTGCTCCAGGTTTCTGCCTGTTAAAGGAAGTTCTTCCTCTTCACTGTAACTCTCTAACTGCTGCAGGAGGAGACTGTCTCACTATAAAGCTGAAGTTGATAATTAGTTTGAGAACAAGTTGATTGATTAACTGAGTGTGTGATGTTATCCACTGTGAGAGAAAAACTCTTTGCAGCCATAAGTGAAACCTCATGCTCTGAAACAGTGAAGGACAGTCTCTCTCACACACCTGCTCCACCTGTTTTGGCCTCTAGCAGGTTCAAACACGTAAACCTGGTCGTTATGATTTACCTGTTATAACTTTGATTATGATTCAGGTCATCTAACCCAGACTGGACTGATGTCAGGTTTATTGTGGTACACATTGTACTGTTAAAACACAAAGACAAACACACACAGAGACACAAACACAAACACTGACATACAATAAGTCACTTGGGAAGTTTTTGTGATGTGAATGTTGGGAGTTAAGTTCAGAACGTGTCTGAACCCATTTTCACAGAAAAATGTGTGTGTGTGTGTGTGGCTTACCACATATCTGCAGATGCATTCAGAGGTTCACAGTTAATCACCTCGGGGGCTGAAAGACAAGAGAAGGTAAGATCCTGAGGCTCCAGACGAACTCTGAGAAATAAAATCAGTTTAGCACTGTGACTGTCACTAAAATTTAGTGCAAGATCCTGCAGTCTGAAAAGGTGTCCAAAGGTAAAACCCGGAACCCCGCACTGCTCCAAGAGGCTAGCCTGCAGTGTGTGTTTAAATGTAACACTCCCTCTGATAAATATTGATATTCTTGATTGAATTGGAGATCCTCACCGATGTACTGCGGCGTTCCACTCGTGCTCCTGAACTCCTCGCCCTGACAGATACGCCGAGCGAGGCCGAAGTCGATCAGTTTGATGATTGGCTGAGGAGACGATTTATCCGACAGCATGATATTCTCAGGCTGTAAACAAACAAACGGTTTCAGTCCTCAGATCAGTGTTCTAGTCTCAGGAAGGTTTCCTAGTCCTCTGGTCAGTTTTCTAGTCCATGCTTCTCTAGTCTTCAGGTCTATGCACTTACACAAACTTGAAAGTAGCTAATCGATACAAATGATGTCAGTAAACTGAGATGATCTCCGTATTAAGTCTAGTCTCAGGTGAGTGTTCAGGTGTACCTTAAGGTCAAAGTGCACAACGTTTTTGCCATGCATGAATCTCAGGGCCTCTAAAATCTGCTTCAGGAACTCGATGGCTTCACTTTCCAGAAGATTCTCTTTCTCAGCAATGAAGTCGAACAGCTCGCCGCCACACACTCTGCAGTCATACACACATAATAGATCAATGCACAAAATAAACCAATTAAATTACACAAGAAATTAAACACTTCAATAAACTGGATTGACTACATTGATATAAAAAAAATAAATGCAATCATAAAGTTGAAAAAAACTTATTTTCACTCAAGCTTATCACACGCATCTTTAGATATCCTTCTGTAAAGAGGAGTCTGTCGTATTTCCCCTCTGCCTGTTGACACTGTGGTAAAACTGCTCGAGTCAGTGTCTCAGGCTGGTCTTGGGAATAAGAGGATAATGACAGTTAAAGAGGTTTAGATTTTAGTAGCCCCCCAAGCTGCTCTGAAATAGTGGCAAACTGACAGGGAAGTGGAGCCACATCCTGTCTTGCAATCTGGGTACCAGCAGCAGAGCTGGTAAGAGCGTCTCTAAGCTGCTGATCTCTAGAAAGTATCACTAACCATGAGCAGAAACAATGATGGCACTAATGGGCAACGTTAAGTCAATATCAAATCTCTAAGGAGGAGAACCAAATGAAGACAGACAGAATCATTGTTCAGAAGTCCTGCTCACCTTGTCTTAAGTTACCATCACTAGAATTGTTCACTTCAGTATGAATTACTACAGATAAGCTTGACCCTAAATGAACGTGTTCAATGTTGTGTTAATTCATTGTGGCTGGGGGCTGAAGAGAGTACAAGGAGACATTACATTTTTACCAACCATGAAATAAGGGAGGGAATTTTTTCATGGTATAAATGAGTTATTTTTCAGAAAACAAAATGATACATTTTTAGTTGGCAATTGATGTCTTAATTTGGTAGTTGGGTGGCTAGTGGGATGATGCTAGGTGACCATGGAAAATAAAATCATTTCAGGGTGAGTAAGACCCTCCTAACAATCAATCCTGCCAATCCCAATGCAATTCTGAGTGTCATAACTGCTGAATTACTATGTATGCTCTGTTACTACCTGATCACTATACATGATTCATTACCACCTGATCACTATCCACCATCTATTACCACCTGATCACTATACATGATCTGTTTCCACCTGATCACTATATATGATCCGTTATCACATATGGAAACAGATCATATATAGTGATACACACACACACACACACACACACACACACACACACACACACACACACACACAAACCCACACACACACTTGGACTTACAGCTCCAGGATCAGCACCACCTCTGCTCGGCTCTCGAACACATCTTTCAGCGTGACAATGTTGGGGTGTTGGACAGCCTCCAGGATCATGACCTCTCGCTCCACGTTGCTCCTTTCAAGACCCAGCAGACTGCACTGACTTTTCCGGATCTTCAGGAACTTTCCAGCCCAGAGAGTCCCAGTGGAACGCTCCCGCACCTTCCGCACCTGACCAAAGTGCCCGCTGAATAGGGTCAGATCAGAACATAGATCATGACACAATACAGATTCTCAGCGATTTACAAACCAGCATTTTGTTTTCAGGAACATTTTACGCAGCTTTGAGGTTTAATACACAAGATAAGATACAGATACCAAAAGTTGGAGAAGTCTTCACTAGTAAGCAGAGGTACAATATGAAAGCATGACATGATATGGATGGTTTTTTTATACTTTATCAACAATACAATCGTAAACAATGACATCCAGAAATAGGTTTTGGTTATAAACAGACAGGTAGGACCAGATTCTTCTTTTGCAGTTTTTAATGCATCAGGCAGTAAACTCTGAGCAGGTCGGCATGTTTTTACTCTGACAGAATTACTGATGCATAAGCAGGTTGTAATCTCATCAGCATATTTAGTCATAGGAGTAACTTTAAACCTCTGATCAGTGTTCAGGTTAAAGAAATATGACACCTGTAAACACATCTGTCAACAGTATAAAACTTTATTTAAAACAGTAGGTTGTACACTCACCTTCCCAGAACTTCTCCCATCTCGTAAAGGTCTTCAACATTATCAGGTTTGAAGACGGCCATGTTGGATCTCTGATAATCCAGACCAGTTATAAAACAGTCTTCATCATCATCTTCATCATCGAAACTCTAATCCGTCATCCTCCACAGGCTGACCTGAGAGACACAGATCACATACAGGCACAGATTACAACATATGCACGCACACATCCACATCCACATCCAACTCTCACTTCTTTATTCACTAGTCACATGACCCAACACACAGGTTCAGCTCCACCTGTCAATCAGCCAGGTTTCCTCATAGCTGCTGCTGGTACATCATGTTCAAGACGATTTATGAAGCATATTCTCTGCAGTCTGCTGCTGAACAGGAAGAAGTTAACGAGTTTCCAAATAATGCTGGTGAGAGGAGAAAGGATCCAAGAGAGAGGAGAGAAATCAGAGGGGAGAGGATCCAAGAGAGAGGAGAGAAATCAGAGAAGAGGATCCAAGGAAGAGGAGAGAAATCAGAGGAGAGAGGATCCAAAGGTAGAGGTGAGAAATCAGAGGAGAGAGGGTCCAAGAGAGAGGTGAGAAATCAGAGGAGAGAGGATCCAAGAGAGAGGAGAGAAATCAGAGGAGAGAGGATCCATGAGAGAGGAGAGAAATCAGAGTAGAGGATCCAAGGAAGAGGAGAGAAATCAGAGGAGAGAGAGGATCCAAGAAAGAGAAGAAAAATTAGGAGAGAGGACCCAAGTATTAGGAGAAAAAGCAAAAGAGAGGGGAGAAATCAGAGGACAGGTAAGAGAGGATACATGAGAGTAGCCTTTACTAAAGGTTTGTCCATCAGAAACTGTTTTTTACATTTATCATCATGTCAAAGTTTTAGGGTTAAAATGTTGTTTGATTACTTTAATTGAAACTTTTAATCTGTGAAATAATTTCCAGTTCCTCAGACATCATTAGTTTGTATAAAATTCAGAGTTGACAGTCAGCTTATCAGCAAATACAAAGAATAGATAAGTAACTTAATCATTAAGGATTCATGCATGACACTGCGTTGTAAAGATGAAAATGGATCTTATGGCTTTGATCAGGAGGCAAAATAAACCGAGCAGGTTGTTCTTCATGAGCAGGCATTTGTCAAACAGGTTACACAGAGAGACTACACACTGTTACTGTGTGCTTTAACAGTTAAAACAGAGCACAGTGTGTGCAAACACAAACCACTGTAACAGCTGAATAACAATAATAATAAGATTCATCCTAACAAGCACAGCGTAACATCCAAACTAACAAAAATATTTCCACAGAAATGAAATGCTTCCCCAACATTTGAAAAATCTGTGAAATCAATTTTTTTGTTGTTGTTGTTATTGAGCTGACTTTCATGTCTGATCACCTCTAAACAAGCTTGCATCCCGTTATCACCTACAGCAACACACAAGTAACAAATGTATAAATATGATAAAAACCGTTGACTATTCATCTTCTGAAAGCATCACTCCAAGTAATGCAACAAAAAAAGTTTGTGTTTCCTTGAGTGAACCTTTCAAAAAGGATCCATAAAGTCTCTCTTATCTAATCTGAATAGCAGTAATTCATAAAGGTGTTAGCTCCTCCTCAGATCTGGGTGTAAACTTAACACGTGATTGAATCTTACATTGGAAATAGCTGGTGTACGTCATCATAAAGTAGAAATTTACTTCAAACACACAGCTGGTAAAACCCAGTGCAGAAACTCTTTCAAACAGCCTCCGTGTTTGTAGTCTCAATGCCATGTTTGTAGTCCTCTTCATCAACTTAAGGGTTTTTATTTTTGGACAAGATCTGGCTGAGCTGACTCACTCTGATTCAACTTTAGAAACTTTATCATATTAGCTTAAATACTTTAAATTTATTTATTTAATACATTGGGTGCATTTTAACCAACACTAATAAATACCATGTTTACCTGTCTAGGTAAAATTCCTCTCTTATCCTCTGAAAGCCATGATTCTTTCTGTTCCTGAACATCACAACTTTTAGGCAGCAACAATATATTAAAAAATATTTGAGGTAAAAAAAGTCTATAAAACAAACAAAAAATTGGAGTGAAATGAAGGAAAATGCATATTGTAGTTTACTATTACTATAACTATCTTCTTTTTCTTTCTATTTGACACGCGGGAACTTAACTCTGAAACAGTTTAACTATAAGCTCAAGCAGTCTCCCACAGAGTGGTGAACCTCTTCCTATCCTTACAGACTTGGCCTCTTTGACTGTCCTTTTTACACACAGTCATGTCACCTACCTGTTGGAAATTAACCTCATTGTTTGGAGATGTTCCTCCAGCTGTTTCTTTTTTAACATTACACAACTTTTCAGCTTTTTGGTAGTTCATCTATAACAACTTTTTATGAGTTAGGTTGTTTCACTATGACAACTTTTTACCTGTTTGGTTGTTTCTCTTAAAGAAATTTTTACCTGTTTTCTCTTTTCTCTCATTTTAAACTAAATATGAGCTTCAAATTATACGCAAAACATCAAATATGACATTTTACCAATATTTGACATATCATATTAACTCTAATGAAATCAGGATCATATAAAAAAAACTAATTTCATAATGCAGAAACCTAAATGATTCCATCTAAGGTTTTGCATTTATGTTCTTATGAATAAAGGGTTAAGACCTTCAGAAAAACACTGATAAACTCGGGGGTTTTACAGATTTTGGAACAGCGGGTGGAATGTACATATTGTCGTTTACTTTTACCAAAGAATTTCTTCTTCTTTTTCTTTCAATTTGACACACTGAAACTTAATTCTGAAACTGTTGAACTATTAGCTCATGCAGTCTCTCACAAAGTAGTGAACCTCTTCCTATCCTTACAGACTCAGCCTCTCTGAATGTCATTTTTATATCAAGTCATCTAACTAAACTGTTGGAAATTAACCTTATTAGTTGGAAATGTTCCTCCAGCTGTTTTTTACATGACTCTTCAGCTTTTTGGTACTTCATCTAACAACTTTTTGCCTTTTTGGTTGTTTCACTGTGACAATTTCTTACTGTTTGGTTGTTGCTCTTTAAGAACTTTTTACCTGTTTTCTATTTTCTGTATTTTCAAACTAAATATGTGCTTCAAATTGTATGCAAAACATCAAATATTACATTTCAACAATATTTTACATATCATCTTAACTCTAATGAAATCAGGATCATATGGAAAGCTAATTTGATAATACAGAAACCAAAATGATTTCGTCTAAGGTTTTGCATTTATGTTCTTATGAATAAAGGGTTAAGACCTGCAGAAAAACACTGATAAACTCGGATGTTTAACACACTCCTGAACAGCGGGTGGAGAGTTAAACTGTGAAACTCGGAATCAGACAGTAAACGCGGATATTTAAGGTGCGGTAGAGACTGACAGAGGGATGTTTTCAGACAGGCAATGTGGGGATTTTATGGATCCAGGTGTGTCGTTAGTCGGTGTTTGAAGGCGGTAGTGACGGTGTGACTAACGGCGGGTGGAAGCACGGACAGTCCGACAGAAACTCACCGCTCCCGCTGCTCCTCCTCCGGCTCTGAGGTGTAAAAATCCGCGGTCTACCCCATGGACTGGTCCTGGTCTGCTCCTGATCCCGGTCCAGTATGTGTGTCTGTGTGTGTGTGTGTTCAGAGTGCGTCAGTGAGTGAGGTAGCGTTCAGTGTGTGTGTCTGTGTGTGTGTGTGAGTGAGTGTGTGTTTCAGGAATGCGGAACACACACTCTCTGATGTCATGTCCGAGTTTTAGGGTTGGTGGTGCGTTCACGGCCCTCCCACCACAGCAGACGTTCATCTACCTGTCTCAGGTATGAACCTCCTGTTTGACATGTTTGAGCACGCGCCAAACTGTTTATCACTGCCAAAAATGACTTCCGGTTAAGGTCGGCTTTCAAAGTAAAAGCTGCAGTGCCACGATAAGGTAAAATACTGTACAATGTAGATTAAAGTGAATTAATGTCATTATAAGTAAAAGTTTGATGTTGCAGGGCGGTTTGCTATATAGACAGTAGTCCACACAGATACAAAAGCAATATAACAGAGTGTAAGATCCACAGACAGCTGATTGGATAACAAACAGTCTGAATCTGTTTCTGTTTATCCTCATAAGCAGATGATTCATGTTTGACATTTCAGGTTGCTGTCTTTAATTTTGATAAAGTCCAAATAAACACATTTTGTTTGGGGTCTGCAGAATAAAGTTTAATCTGCTCTATGGAGTATAAAAAAAGCTGTCTCACCATGGTAACCAACTCTGAGGTCTTTACCTGGACCAGGTATTGTTCAGAGGCTCTAAAACAGCATCCTTTCAGTGATCCTCTGAGAAATAATCTGAAGGTAGAAACATTATCAACTGTGATGTTTAATAAATTGAGCAAAAAGAAACAGTGATACTGTTTTACTCTCCGTCTTCTGTGTTTACCTATTTGTTAAGGTGACGTAAACTTTTTAGATTCAGCAGATTTGTTACCCATACAGGTAACTGGATGGTCAAACCCAAACATTCATTTATAAGTCATAGGACAAAAGGGTTTATTTCTAGTAGAGCTAATATAAGATGCTACTGAAAATGTATTATCATGAAAAGTTCAATATTCTTCATCAGTTATGTTAGAAATGTGATATATTCTGTGGTCCAAATGTGCCCATTTCTGTTATAACCTAAAGCTTTGAAAAGGACAAATACATAAATCACTATTTAAACAGAACAAATCCAGTGTATCTGAGTCTACTTTAATACATGCACCTTTTGCCACAGAGAAGACTGCTGAAAAGTCTGGCTGTTCCCAGTCTATGTGAAGCAGATTCATGGACCGAAAGGGAAAAGGGAGGGAGGAAAAGTGGACCAAGCAACAGGGATGAGAGCAGCCTGGAGAAGATTCAAGAACTTAGGAGCTTCATGAAGACTGGACTGAGGCTGGAGTCAGAGCATCAAGAGCCTCTACTATCAGATGAGTCCAGGAAATGGTCTACAAGTGTTCCTGCAGTCAAGATCCTCCTGAGACATCATCAGAGTCTCACCTGGACTAAGAGGACAAAGAAGTGGACTATGACCCAGTGGTTTTCAGATTATTGTTATGTCCTCTCCTGAAACAGAAACACTGTCAGCAAGATGTTATGTGTGCAGTCTGCAGACTGAAGCTCGGACCATCTGCAAATGGCAACAGTAAAAGCAGGTACTGAAAACATTTACTAACACCCGACTGGGAAGATTTAGAGTAAGAAAACATGAATCCACTGCTCAGTCCCTCTAACAGGAGGATCCAGGTTTCTGCCTGTAACAGTAAACAAAGAGTTTAAACCTGCTCTATATGCAAAATCTCTGCTTACATCCATTATCAATGGCTGTATAAATATTGACTGAATCGCCTTTTAATCGACAGGTCACAAAAATAAAAAAAAAGGCTTTCAGACAGATTAGAAAAAAAACATTTTATTGATTTTTATTTTGAAGATCAACATCCAAACCCTTACTTCCTGTCTGACTTTTATTACAAAAACACATTAATTCTTTAATTACATGTTTTTAAAACAATAATGAATGTTTGTCACAAACTTTAATATGATAAAGTTCCTTGACTGACGCTGCCCAAAAACAAAAAACTGGTTTATAGTTTAAAGTTCTGAAAACTCTGATCCACATCACAGCCCCTCAGCAGACTGATCTTTATCACTCTCATAATCATCATTTATCATCTTTCATCATGATCACCATTATCACTGCACTGCTCTCTGTCTGATCCAGCTGTCACCCCAATATGGGTTATTAACTTTCTCACAGACAACCCCCCCTCACCCCCCAACCCCGACCCCACCCTCTGCAGCACATGTGTGTGTGTGTGCGTGTTTGTGTGTTTAGTTCTTCTTGTTCTTTGGAGAGTCGTACTTCCTCTTGCTGGAGTACCAGAGAATCAGCGGGATGCCGATGGAAGGCAGAGTCATAACACCGAATGCAGCCCAGTCCAGCTACAAAAAAACAATAAACATCAGTGACAGTAAATATAAGCAATAAAAAAAAAAAAAACTACAATTGTAAGTTCAGGTTTTATGCTACGTCCAAGTTGTACTGGGAAGTCGGAATGTCCTAGTTCCTAGTCAGAAATTCATCTGGAAAGACCCCCCAAAGTCGGATTTCAGACTCAGTTAACAGCAAACAACAGCGAACAAGAGCTGACAACTTTTAACAACAGCTAACAGTAGGCATCCATCTTGGTTTTCTGACTTGTTTACCAGAACCCTGTCAACTTGGGTGTAATGTCATTCCCAGCTTGACATCCGACTTTTGAGTTAACTAGAACACGGCATTAGTTAAGGCATGAAGTTGAGCTCTGCATACATCAGATGATCTAAACATACATCAGTTGACAGCTCAGCTGACTACTGTCTACCATCCAACAGTCATGTGTGAAAATATCTGTTCTTTTTTTAAAGCCTTCAGCCTACCGACTCTTCCTACTTCCTCTGCAAACCATTCTACACCCTTTCTCAACCCCAGCTCCTCCTTCTGTGCTGCCTGATCTTACCAGAGTTAAAGAAAGATTATTACTGATGCTGCTCTGTTTTGTACCCTAGGGTCTTTGCTGCTGCTCTCCCTGTCTTGGCTTTTTCAAGTATGTACATAAAACAGAAGGAAGACGTACTCTCTCAGTGTCAGGCTTTAGTATTACAATATTCACAGATGGAGGGGCAGGAAGCTTAAAAAGCAGAGCACCAAATATAACGAATACATATTGCAGTGGTTCAAGTGCTTCTGACCAAACAAGGTATAAAAACCAGCTTCCAACTGACACAGCTAATCAAACACTGACTCAGCTAATTTCACAGTGACTCTGATAACCTGAGAGTGACTCGACTAACCTGACAGTGACTCAGGGTACAGTAAAGTTATTTGGTGAAGAAATTGAACACATACATAGTGGGGGGAGAAGCGACGGTCAAACTCTCTCTGAGCGAGGATGCCTCCCTGTCCTGGGGCGCTTGTGTATCCAACCTGCAAACAAACAGAGGTCGGTTCAAAACCTTTTGTTGTATAACCTGGTAAGTTGTGTGAACACTAACTGTTGAGTTAACAACGCTTACCACAACTTGACCTCCTTCCTGGGCCAGATAGCTGACTGTGGCAGAGGTGAAGTTGAAGTATCCAGCCTTTAGGGGGCGCAGCACCACAGTGTGAGAGACGTTACTCGCACTGACATTTAGTTAAGTGCAATCGTATACAGGATTTTATACAATATTTAGCCAAGTCAACAAGAAGAAAAATTTGTTATAAAATGTAAAAAAAGGACATCAACCTGACTGAATGATATTGTCAAAATATTCTTAAAAATACCAAATTAAAATGAAAGATTGAAGGTCTAGAAAAATCTGTTGTGAATACGAAAAAGGACTCATTCTGAATGAGCCAAAAAAACAATCTATTCAATATTCAGGTGATTAAACACCTATTAAAACAGGCTGATGAAATCCAAAACCCCATTTCTAACAATTTTAAATTTAATTTTAAACATTCTAATAAATGATAAACACGACACACTACACCTTTATATGTTTCTAATAGTATTTGTGGATGTCAGACTCAAAGAGTAACATCACCTGACATACCTGAAAAACAGGAGTGTGTTTTATGTCTGTTCTATATGTTTTTTTGAAAGCCAGGACTTTTATTTTGAAGGATACGGAGCAATTCTGTCCCACTTGACATTGAGCATTCCTGAAACGATCCCAAAGTCCTCAGGAGGAAACGAGTCATCAGACAGCTCCACCTCCAGAGCGGCACTGTGGGAAAAATAGATGAGACAGACAGATGAGACAATGAAAGACAGGTAAGACAATGACAGACAGGTAAGACAGAGACAGACAGGTGAGACAGAGACAGACAGGTAAAACAATGACAGACAGGTGAGACAGAGGCAGACAGGTGAGACAGAGACAGACAGGTGAGACAGACACAGACAGATAAGGGGATGTTACCTGGAGCCAACGTTGTAGATGTTGTACTGCAGTGTCAGGTCTCGGCCCTCTACTGCGTACCGGTTCAGCAGAGATTTGGAGGCCAGCAGACGGGCTCCTTCCTCTCCTGAACCCAGGTTCAGCAGGGCCAGGACCAGAGCCAAAACACAGGTAAGCATCTTCATCATCTAAAGACAGAAACAAAACAAATTCATAAAAAAAAGCCAAGACTGGGACCAGAAAAAGGACCAGAACCATGAACAGGATTAGGAACGGGACCAGGACCTGACCTGAGACCAAGGCCAGAGCCCCCTAAGACTGAAATCTGACAATGGGGGTCTCCAACCTGAGCCATAGCCATGATTACTGGTTTTTACTTTGTGTCATAAAAAAACTGCTTCAAAAACTTACTACGAAAAACAAAAATCTGTGTGAACAAACCCTCATCACACTCGAGAATACTGAGATAAACTACAGTCCAAACTACTGTTGGGAGACCCTCATTAAACTCTAGAACAGGTAAATAAACTACAGTACAAATCACTGTCGGTAGACCCTCATCAAATTCTAGGACAGTCTGATAAACTTCAGTCCAAATCACTCTTAGTTGACCCTCATCAAACACCATGACAGGTAAATAAACTACTGTACAAATCACTCTAAGTGGACTCTGATCAAACTCATTTCTTTTATATTTGTTAAAACAGTCTGACCGGTTCAAGTTAATAGGGAATCATCTTTGTCCTGATTAATAGTAAAAACTGACTGAAATTGATTGTTCCTCATCAAGATGATTTTTTATCTGCTGACGTGGACTGAACAGACTTTTAACTTCTTTTTAAATAAATTAATTACATCTGCTGACATTGACTGAAAAACATCATTTAATCTCAGTTTTGAATAAAATATGAATAGTTTCTGTGTTTTAAATGAGTTTATCTGCTGACGTGGACTGAACAGACCTACATTGACGGTCAGGTTCTCTAACACTGACACTAAAATCAGAAGTAACGTTGCAAACAGGTGAATCAGAGAAGATCGATGGAGTAACAAGTCTTCATTTTCATAATTTAAACACATTAAACTCTTATTTTCACGAAGCTTAAGCAGTTTAAAGAGAGAAAACATACAGACTCTTACCGTTCAGTGATTCTCCTCCAACTACCTCTGCTGAAAGAGCATCTTCTACGCATGCTCAGAACCTTAGAGCTGCTGATGGCATGACGTGTACTTGCGGAAGTGAATGAACAGAGCAGCGCCCCCTGCTGAGCTGGGGTAAAGTTTCAGTTTGTTAAAACGCTTTAGAAATGAACACCGTTTACCTGCTACACAGTCTGTCTCTCTCTCTCTCTCTCTCTCTCTCTCTCTCTCTCTCTCGTTAACTACTATTAGGCCTAATGACTGTAATCACATTAAATTAATTTAACATTGTCAATAATTACTTACATCCTAATCCTGTAAACTGAATTCACTTTGTTTCACCATGGCATGAGCTGCTGTTGTTTTAATGTTGCTGCTGTCCCCTGTCTCTCTCTCTCACCCTCGTTCTCTACTCTCTCTCCCTCCCTTATTTATTCTCTCTCTCCTTCCCTCTATCTTGTTCTGTTTCTCTCCCCCTCCCAACTCAGCAGCATGAGTGGCATGTCTGGCATGAGTCTGGTCCTGCTCAAGGTTTCTGCCTGTTAAAAGGAACTTTTCCCTTGCCACTGTCACTCATGTTAGATGAGATGGGCCAAATCCCATCTTAGGTTGGGTCTTGATAATTCATCAAACAATAAGCGTGGTCTAGACCTGCTCTTGTTCTTTGAAAAGCGTCTTGGGATGACGACTGTTGTGAATTTGATCAAATTTGATTGATTTGAATTATTAAGATAATGTATCATATTATAATTTATTCATTTATTATATTTCAATCATTCAGTATAAAGTAAGATAACAGCAGATTCATGTGTCCATAATCAACTCAATGACATTTCCTATTAAAGGACACGTACAGGTTTAAATGTCCTGATTCCATTCCTAAAAAACATTGACTGTATCACCCACCAGGGGGAGACAAGCACTCATATCTGAATCAGAAGAAACAGTACATATCCAATTCAAAATTATATTTATATGTTTCCTTACATAAACTGTAAAAATATTATTTTCAATTGTGTGTGTGTGTGTGTGTGTGTGTGTGTGTGTGTGTGTGTGTGTGTGTGTGTGTGTGTGTGTGTGTGTGTGTGTGTGTGTGTGTCAGTTTCTAACACACACTTCAGGTGGGCTGCTGTCCAGGTGTACCTGCTGTGTTCCCGCCCTGATTCATTCAGTCTCCACAGTAAAGGGGTATAAAAAGCTGCAGCTGCTCCAGGTGAGTCACTATTCAGGTGTTTCATACCCTGACAGCAGCTCTCAGGTCAGACAGTTGAGAGAAGACATCATGCTCTGTCCAGCAGGTGAACTCCGGCTTGTCATGCTACTGCTGCTACTGAGCACGTGCAGTCCAGCTGTTCATAACAATGCCACAGAGTCCATCGGTTCTGACCCGATCCAGGTGTTTCTTGATGAGCCGATCCAGGTGTCACAGGAAGAGCCAGTTCAGGAGGACTTGAACCAAGCAAGGAATGGGGGAAGACGGTCTCCTGACCATGTGCGCACAGGTGAGTCAAGACACAGGACAAACACTTTATACCTGATTGGTACTGCAGTGTGACAGGTTAGAGCAGATTGCAGGTGGATTCAAGGCATTAAAAACAGTGTTCTCTGAGGATATTTCAGGAGGTTTGAGTCATTAAATGTTACAAGATTACACTGTCATTAGTAGGCATGGTAATGTTAATCAATTAATGCGTAATAAATCAGCTAAGTCAATTAATCAACCAATCAATCAATAATAGGTCAATTTATCTGTCATATTTTGTTTCATAAGATGAAGCACAGATACAGTTCTCTTCAAACTCTCTCAGTACAGAGCAATGTTAAAGATCCTTACAAACCAAATCTGTGAGACAAGAACCAGAATGACTGCGAACAAAGATCTGTGAAATCTGTCTAGCTATAAAAAAAAAAAAACAAGAGCTCAGTGTGCAAAGTTTCTTTGCAGCGTGACCATAAAACAGTCTGGGCCTAAAACAGTCTGTTTCTAATATAATATGTCTAACCAAGAAGAGCTTCTTTATTCAAGATGTTAATTTCTATAATAGAATTTAATGGGAGCCAGTATTGAGAAACACTCTCTGCTTTACTTGTATTAGTCAACATGGGGATGCATCCCTTGGACCATCTGTTGAGTTTTTGGGGACTCTACTCATTGGAAAAACCTTTAGTAAAGTTGTAATAATAATAATGAATAATAAAAAGATGTTACCTTATATTGATTAAATGCATCTAAAATCTAAACTTCTATTATCTTGTTTTTGTGTTCCAGGTTTGGATCAGAGCCAGGTGGGCTGCAGGGAGCTGCGGTCCACAAAGTACATCTCCGACGGTCAGTGCACCAGCAGTAACCCTATCAAAGAGCTGGTCTGTGCCGGGGAGTGTCTCCCAGCCCACCTGCTGCCCAACTGGATTGGAGGTGGGGCTTATAACGGCAGGTACTGGAGCCGCCATGACACTCAGGAGTGGCGCTGTGTCATAGACCGAACCAGGACCCAACGAATCCGGCTCCAGTGCCAGGACGGCACCACCAGGACCTACAAGATCAACGTGGTGACATCCTGCAAGTGCAAGAGGTACTCCAGAGACCACAACAACTCAGGACACAGGGACACGGCAGTTAACAAACAGAGGAAGAGCCAGAGGAAGATCACGTCCCCTGAGGACCAGACCCATCCACAGTCTGACAACTAAGACCAAACCAGTCCTTCAACCCCAAAGCCCTGTTTCCTGCTGTAAACTGTGGTGAACTGTGGTAAACAGAGGTACCTGTAAATGAGAGTAAATAAGTGTAGTAAAGAAGTGTAAAGTGTTGTAAAATGTGGCAAAATGTGGTGAGGTACAGTACATTGTAGTCTTGTGAGGTAAATTAATGTATAGTAGAGTGTATTGAAGTGTAGTAAAGTGTAGCAGAGTGTAGTTTAGTGAAGTAGATAGTATGTAAGTGTAGTACAATGTAGTAAAGTGTAGTTTAGTGAAGTAGATAGTATGTAAGTGTAGTACAATGTAGTAAAGTGTAGTTTAGTGTAATATAGTGTAGTAAAGTATAGTTGAGTGTAGTAAAGTGTAGTTTAGTAGAGAGTATGTAGGTGTAGTAGAGTGCAGTTTAGTATAATAGAATGTAGTTCAGTGTAGAAGAGTGCAGTTTAGTGTAGAAACGTGTAGTTTAGTGTAGTAGAGAGTATGTAAGTATAGTACAGTATAGCAGTATAGTAAAGTGTAGCAGTGTTTTTAAGTGTCGTTTAAGCATAGTCTGAAAGAATGCATAATATCCCATTTTTAGGTGTAGAAATGCGTATTTAAGTTGTTGTATTTAAGTAGTTGGGTTTATTTAAGTGTGGTAGAGTGTAGGAAAGTGTAGCAGGGTGTAGTAGAATGTAGTAAGGTGTATTTTTAAGGTTAATTTAGTGGCGTGGAGTGTAGCAGGGTGTAATAGATTCTGGTAGAGTTTAGTTAAGCATAAGCATGTAGAGTGTATTTAAGTGTAGTAAGGAGAGTGTAGTAACATGTAATCAAGTTCTGTAGAGTGTTGCACAGTGTAGTCAAACATGGTAGAGGTTATGTAAGTGTAGTAAAGTGCAGTGAAGCAGGTAGGTAGAATCAGTCCTTTCTTCAGTCATTAGGAGGTTTATGGGTAATTTAAATCTATTGAAATAAAAATGTGATGACAATAAAGTGAAAATGTATACCACTTTAATCATTTTAAAGCTACTTTTAAGACATTTTTATTGGTGGTAGTAGTAGTGAAGCACATAGCTTGGCTTGGTTTAGTCTGACTTTAGTCAACATTAATGGAAATGAATGTTTTAGACACAAAGATGTTTGGATCCATCTGTGAGCTTGACTTTGACTTGAAGTCAGGCCTGATTAGCCAAGCTGAACAGAATAATTAACTACCAAACATTGCTTTTTACACACAGTTTATTGTACCCTTACTCAAAATCTACTTTTAACTATGACTGTTACAGTAATGCAACTGTTGGTGAATGATTTCTATATTTTATGGTTGTAAATCTTTATTTTATATTTTTGTTTAACTCTGTTTCTGAAAATAAAACTTTCTGAGAAAGTTAAACACAGGGTGTGCCTAATTAGCTCAGTTTATCATCAAGTAACTGAACATACGCTTTCTGGTGAGTTCACTCAGTGACTTGACTTTTCTGCTAAAAAGCACTTAGCTCTGATCTACAGTGTTGTTGATTATGGTTGGATATTTGATTCATACCTGATGGTAATAAAGTTCAATAAACAGTTCATATGGTCAATGAAATAAGAATAAACATTCGACTTTTTAAAAAATCTAAGACTTATTATCATTAACCAACACTGATAACATTAACTCTCACTGATTACATTAACAATCACTGATTACCTTTCTATCATTAATTATATTAACTATCACTGGTAACATTATCTACCACTGGGGTTAGCAGCTCTCAGGTGGTTGTTGTGGGTTGTTGGCTGTTTGTTGGTTGGTTGTTGGCTGTGTGTTGGTTTGTTGTTGTGGGTTGTTGGCTGTTTGTTGGTTTTTGTTGGTTGGTTGTTGGCTGTGTGTTGGTTTGTTGTTGTGGGTTGTTGGCTGTTTGTTGGTTTTTGTTGGTTGCTTGTTGGCTGTGTGTTGGTTTGTTGTGGGTTGTTGACTGTGTGCTGGTTTTTGTTGGTTGGTTGTTGGCTGTTTGTTGTTTTTTGTTGTTTAGTTGTTGGTCGCTTGTTGTACGTTGGTTTTTGTTGGTTAGTTGGTGTCGGTCGCTTGCTGTGCGTTGGTTTTTGTTGGTTAGGAGTCGTAGTTTTGTTTACTGTTTGTAGGTTTTTATTGTTTGTTGTTGTACGTACGTTTTCCATGGATAGTTTGGACAGTAGATGTTTCTAACTGTCAGGCTTAAAGCTTTTTTGTTTGTTTGTTTTTTTGTCTTAACAATTAAATATGAATGTTTTCTTATTACAGTCAGCCCAGGCTGCCACTCAGATGGTTCAGGTGGGGATTACCCTGTGGTGAATCTTCTGTGTCCTTGTTTCATTTTGAAGGGAAATGTAGTGGAGGCAAACATACTTGGTGTCACTCTGGGAAGTATTTGCCTCTAGGCCCTCAGCAACAGCGGTGGTTACATGTTCATACTCTTCACTGTCTAGTGTTTCCACAAATAAGAGTCAATACAGTGAAAAGATGTACCTGGAGGGAAACAGGAAGTTACCTGCCAAGAAAAGAATGATGTCCCTTTGTGAATAAAAGCCTCAGAAAGGAAAGAACATTTAGGAATGTCGAATAACAGGTGAAGAAAAACCATCATAGCGTTTGATGTCTGTGAGACTGAAGCAGAAAAAAAAAAAACCTTAAACATTGAAAATTTTATGTCTTGATTCTAAACAACTTTAAAAGTTTTATGCAGACGACATGGAGATTGTCTTTGTGTTAGGTATAATTATACAAAGTTTCATCACAGTTATCGTTTTATATTCTTTATGGTAGTATTTTCATAGTAATGTTGGTTCTCTGATGTTCAGGGTTATTTATCGCTCCATCACAGTGAAGTTAAGTCAGATATTTAACTGTTGGCAGCTGGGAGCTTACAGACAGAGGGTTAGAGGCTCACAGTGATTCTAGAGGTTCAGAGTCTGCCTTACCTGGGGGGTGGGTTTGTGAATCTGGACAAGAACTGTTTAGGGGTCTCAGGTAAACTGAGCTCCTCTGATCCATCAGTTTGATTTTGTTTGTTACCCTTAAAAAATAGAATAAAACAGGACCATGACGACTAGACAGGTAGACAGGTGTCAACAGGTGTTTGGGCTTTGTGGTTTCAATCAGCTGTATTTCACTCAGAGGGCATTGTGGGTACATAATATCCTTCAGTAAATCGGTAAATCCTGACGTGTGATCTGTGCGTTTAAACTATAATTAACTCTGCATTGATCTACAGGCTTTATGTGAACACTCTCCACATCCTGCAGTCTAACATTTACCGACACAGCCGTCAGTCTTTGAACACAACAGTCCTCACATGGACCTGAAAGGATCACATTCTGTGCTGCAGTCCTAAAAAGGAAGCATCTGGAGTCAAGAAGTGAAAGCGTAACAATCCAGATCAGAGGAAGAAGCAGTAAATCTCTGTGAGCTGCAGCCACATCACATAGCTCTGCAGCCAAAGTGTTAATCCTTCTTTTCCTCCTGCATGAATCACAGCAGCAGCAGGACAGTTTGTTTCATTGTTCGCTTCAAAGAGCAGCTGAAGCCACATGAAACACTGCAGAAATTTTTCTTTTGCAAACACACTCAAAGAGACGCAGAGACAAAGAGCATCCCTGGGCCTGGAGCTGTAAAGCTTCCTGCCACTGAAGTCTGTCTTCATGTGTACAAGGCAGTGAAAAGCCTCCACAGTCAAAGACAGGTTAATCTCTGTGCAGCAGACACACCTGTGCTGCTCTCTCAGACAGGATGTTAGCGGAGGACCAGTGAGAGACCTGAACGACAAAAAGACGTGAACACACAACACGCCCTGCAGCCCTCAGTGTTCATTACAGAAGAAGACAAAATCTTCATGTAAAAACATCAGCTGGTTTTATATTCAGCCTCTCTACAGACAACTATTCATTAAGTCTGTTTTCGTCTATTTATGTGTCATTTCAGACTTCCTCAGTGTGTGATGATATAGAAAATAAACGTAATTTAAACCATCAGCTGGTTTTAAAATCAGACTATTCACAGACATATATTTATGTACCTTTTTTTTTAATCTATATGTGTAATTACAGCTCACACACCACCCAGCGCCCCTCTATCTGTGTCATTATAGAAGGGGGGAACAATTAAACTTACTGAGCCCGTAAGTTATTAGATATAACTCTTACATTTATTGATAAATGTGTAAATGTATGTATTAATCAATTTATTTACTTAAAATTAATTTAATTGATCTGAGCTAAAGAATACAGACCCCAGATTTTATAATACAATAAAGGTAAATTCGTTTGTCTGAAGTCTCATGTCTGATGTCATTGAATATTTGCAGAAGAATCAAACAGTCTGATGGCTGTAGGTACAAAAGATCTTCTCAATCTTTCTGTCCTGCAGCAAAGTAAGAGGAGCCATCGACAAATTGAATTCCCCTTTGGGTATCAATAAAGTTCTTCTTCTTCTCTCATCTACTTCTTCTTCTTCTTCTTCTTCTTCACCACCACCATTGGCCATTTGGTCCATCGCAGTGTTATGAAGTGGATGATCTATGTTCTTTAGAATAGCCTCCACCTTTCTCAGTGTGTATCTCTCCACCACATCCTCCAATGAGTTCAACTTGATTTCAACCACAGAGCCAGCCTTTTTCACCAATTTGTCCAGACGCCTTGCATCCTTCTGTTTTTTTACTGCTGAATGACGCACATAGAAACACACGCAGTACCGAGAGCTAACACCATCTGGAATAAAGATATAAAAGTACACTTGGTTCAATAAAAAATTTGTCAAATATTTTAAAGTAAAAAATAGCCCACTAAACTCTAAAATTCTTATTGCCAGTTTGTATCATAAGACCAAACTGTGATTCAATCTAAACACAGAAACATTAAAAACATTATTACTACCAACAGAGACAGACGTCTCTGCCTCTTGTTTTACAGGAATGGCTTTAAGCCCAGTTTGAAACTGGAGCTGTTTGTGGCAAACTGCACAAACAGCTAACTTGAGTCTCCGAGATGAAACAACAAACTGTAAGCTTGTAGATGCCCAAAAGGAGTTTGGGTCACACAGGAAGATGAATTCTGGGATCATTGTTTTGCATTATTCTGTTGGTTGGTTGGTTTGTTGTTGTTTGAGGGATGTCAGGATCAGTTAGGCCCGAATCCAAATTTTATTCCTTAGTGAAGTTTTAACTGTTTTTGGTCTGAGCCCTGTGATGAGCTCACCATCTTGATGAATGAGTACTTCTGTTATCCAATCACAGAGGAGGCTGACAAAGCATCCTCCTCACCTTCATCCTGCCGACTCTTTGCGGCTCAGATCTCAGATGTCTCCTTACAAGAGTTTCCCAGCATTGACAATGACTTCACTCTGTCGCTCGCCTTTGATTTGCTGAAAGTAATCCGAGCTGAACAACGACTCTCATTTATCTGTTACAGAGAGCAAAGAGTCCAGATGATCTCAAATGGTTTCCAGTTCCCTCAAAAACCTGTTTGTCACATCAGATCTTGGTGGGGGCCTTAGGACATAACTTGATCTTGAATTTCTGGGATTCAGCTCTACTTTTCTGCAGCGAGTCAATTTTCTGCAAGGAGACAGCGCAACAGGATCAGATATGTGACATTGAAAAATATCCTGTATGCATGTTAACATTCTCACTTCATCAAAACCAATAAAATAAATATCATCAACGCAGTCAATATCATTATCATCATCAACATCATCACCATCATCATCACTGTCATCATCATCATTATCATCATCACCGTTATCATTATCACTATCATCATCATCATCATCATCATCATCATCATCACTGTCATTTATCATTATCAGCATCACAATCATCATCATCGCTGTCAATATCATTATCATCACCATCGTCATTACTGTCATCATCATCATTATCATCATCACTGTCATCATCATCATTATCATCATCACCGTTATCATTATCACTATCATCATCATCATCATCACTGTCATCATCATCATTATCATCATCACCGTTATCATTATCACTATCATCATCATCATCATCATCATCATCATCATCATCATCATCATCACCATCACTCTCATCGTCATCATTATCATCATCACCATCATCATCATCGCTGTCAATATCATTATTATCATCACCATCATCATCACTGTCATTTATCATTATCATCATCACAATCATCATCACTGTCATCATCATCACTATCATAATCATTATCATCATCAGTGTCATCACAGTATCATCATTACCACTTACATGAGCATTATTATCATCATTACTCTCATCCTCAATATCATTATCACTATCATCATCACCTTCATCATCATCATCATCATCACCTTCATCATTATCATCGTTATTATTATCATCATCATCATTATCATCATCATCTTCGTCATCATCATCATCATCATCATCATCATCATCATCATCATCATCATCATCCTTAATAGCAACATTATTTTCATCATCATCATTATCACTACTTATATCACCATCATTATCATCACCGTTATGATCCCCACCGTCATCATCCTTACCACCATCATCTTGCCCTGTTTTTTTAATAATGTACAGGTAGAAATACAGCTATTCCTGTTTTATTTTCAAATGAATGAGTTTGATTGTGTGAAAAAGAGCAGTGCAAACACGTAAAATTATGTATTTGTAAATTCTTAAGTTAAACATTTGCTAAAACTTTTATTCTTTCATGAATTAATAAATCTATTTTCATTCATTTATCAAATTATTCATTTGTTTATTCATTCGTTTACCTAATGAGCATGGCTAAGAGGTGATCCAGAAATGCCTGTTTGACCAATAAGTAAATCAATCCACACGCCCTCAATGTGAGAGGGAACCACTGTGCCACCGTATTGCAAACATTGGGTCACTTAAATAGAAAACAGAAAAACACTGCCATCTAGTGTTGAAAAGGAGTAACACTGATATATGGTTCTCCATGGACTGAAAATGACTCACTGTGTAATTTACAGATTAAATTATGAAACTAGAAGTCCAATAAAAACCTGAGGAGTGTGTCTGAGTGGAACGTATATTTAAACCTGTTAATGAATCCTACATTTTATTTATATTCAATAAAGTACAGGAATAAAACCCAGGATAGAATAAAATAGAACAGGGTAGACTGGAGTAGACTAGAGTAGAATAAAATTGATCATAATAGAATAGAGTAGAGTAGAAGAGAGTACAGATGGATGATGAAAGAATGATTTCATATATTTTGACTCTGATGTTTGAATAAATTTAACTGAAACCTCATAATTCATCTGAACCTCTGATGGAGAGGATAGGTCAGTGTCATTTGATGTTTTCAGTTTAGGGTAAACAGTTACTCTTTAAACTAATGGTTATTATTGTCTTTCAACACTTTTGTGGCTATAATTCTTATCACCATTTAGGTTAACACTTATTAACTGCAGGAAGAAATACAGATCAATGATCAATTACTCTAGATGTTTACCTTTATTTACAAAAGAAACAAAAACCAAACACTGAAAGATAGATCTAATAAACCTCCTGCCTTCACTAATTTAAATGAATAACCTGTTCTAAAGACAGAATAAACTCATAAAGCCTTATTCTTACAGTGTCTAAAAAATACCATCACGTCAGTCTAAACCAGAGGAACTAAAACACTTTTTCTATCAAACACACTTAAACACACTAAACAGTGTATTAACTGGTCTAAACATTTCTCTTTATATCTAGTCCACGATTCCCGTGTGTCCTCAGTCTCTGCAGGTTGGCCTCTGGGTGGAGTTAGAGGGACAGGTCAGCAGCTCCACAGGACACCCACCCGCTGCCGCCACCTTCTCCTCTGCCCGCAGACACAACTCCTGCAGGAAGCTCGCCGTCTCCATCACCAGGTCACTCTCATCATCTGATTAACACAGGAAACTAGTTTAGTATAAAGGCTAACTATAGGGTACTGTGTTTGTGTGTGTGTGTGTGAAACAGGTGATACCTTTACCTTTCAGCTGTTTGAGAGTAGGCGTGTCCTCCTCCAGGTCTGCGTCCTGCTCCTGCAGTGAGCCGCACATCCTCTTATGAGTGAACCAGTGAAGCTTCTGACACACCAGACTGCAGTACAACACCTGAGAGGATGGACAAAGAGTCACCTGAGACTGTACACCTGGAAACACACCTAACATTTTGGACCAAAATGACCTCCTGTTAAAAAACTAAGGAAAACATTAAATCTACTCTGATACAAAGTCAGTCAGAAAAAGAAAGGAAGGTTTTCAGTCTTAACTGACCCCAAAACTAAGAGCATCTGTCCGTCAGATATTACTGTAAAAGGTGTGAAATCGGTGTGGCTTAATATACCTGCCTAAACTTGCGCACAGTTGTCCTTTTGTAGTATAAACTTTGATTCATACTCTTAGATTGACCGAGACATAAAACCTCATATTTATGAGGTTATTTAGTATTTATTAAGTTCAAATCTGCTTCAATCGTTGATGCATCTGTATTTAAGCCTGTTTTTACTGTTTCTTTACTGTGCTTTTTATCCTATCTGCTACTCTGTTTTCTTGCTCTTTGTGTCTTTGAGTGCCATGAAACCAACTATATAAATAAAATGTATCATTATTATGATTATTATGCTATTATTATTACATATCAATTCATATTTACAATGATTTATCACCTCTTGTTCACAGTCAGGTATAACCTGTCATTACTCAGATACAAACTCTCATAAAAACCTGAAATATAAGCTGCTGTATTATCTTATCTATTATCTTTACACATAAAGATATACACACATATTAAATTTGTATATAAACTGGTCCTCAAACACCTTTGTACTCTCAGGTATTCCCACCTGTAGTAACCTGGAAACAAACTCATATTTATTTCTTCTTCTTCTTCTTCGGACCTCATACTTACAGCTTTGCAGAGAGAACACTTCTTGTCCGCCCCCCTCTCTCCACAAGTGGCGCAGTAATCAGCATCAACCAATGCCATCTGACCCGTCAGAGCCTGATTTAGCACAGAGAATGCCGTGGGGTCGTTGCCCTGGAAACCACGACATTGGAAGTTTAACAGACAAACCAAGAGAAAAAACATGCCAGACCATCAGCTGCTGCTAACACGCTCTGAATCTCTGCTTGTCTTCTTCACTTACAATCTCTACAGCTGCAAAGCTGCTCACCAGCTGCTGCAGCAGAGTTGCCTCGCAGTACGGAAACTTCCGGATACAGTCCCTGATGAATTTTTCCTGGTACTGAGGAAAGCCATCGCTGTCCCTGCCCCGCAGCAGGCTGAAAAATGACCAATGACAGAGTTTATTTACAACTTAGAATAGTAAATAATAACTTAAATTAGCATCTCAAGGGGGTTAAGGGAAGCAAATTCACTCACCTTTTGCAAATATAATATGCTCAATTTGCACTTTTTGCATCACATCATTCATGTCACTAGTGTCACCTGAGTAGAATGTGCGTCCAATTGCGTTTTTGCATTAAATTTTCATATAATCTACCAACACAAATTATTTTGTCTACATTCAGTGTGAATGACGGTCTGCAGGTTTCTTCAGACTCACCTTTTGACGAGTGTGTCCAGCTTGTCGTCCCGCCTGTGCAGGAAGGAAACACATTTCTGTAGCACACAACTGATGTAGTGCATCTTCATGGCGAGCACCTCGTTCATGTCCTGTTGCTTCACGCACTGCTCACACAGCAGATCCATCACCTGAGAACACCGCTGCAGAGCACCAGCATCCACCAGGACTGGGTTTTCCCGGACCAGTAGGACTATCTGGGGGGACCGGAGGGACAGTCACATGAACGACAATCTATCATACATCAAAGTATCTGACAGGGCAGAGGTTGTAAATAATCTTAACATCCGCCCACTCAGTCTGAGGAGGTTTTAAAACATTTCTTTCTGCTTGGCAGTGTGTCCCACATCCTCCTCAGGATTCTGGGAGTGTGCATGGACCAGATGAGAGGTTAGTTCTTCTGACAGGTTTTAGGTGGACTTCAGGGCCTCCACAGCACTCAGGCACTCAAGAGGATCCAGTTTAGATAAATGTTTCACCACCTGGCTTCAGCTCTCCTCTTTACTCGACTGTGCAGGGAAGAGCCAACCAATCATCCTGAGCTTGAGGTGTTTTGGAATCAGGTCCTCTTCTGATCCACCCTGTGACACATTTGTTCAGAACAATCCAGGATCACAAGTCCTGGGTCCCAATCAGACAGGAAGCTCCCCCCTGTCCACCAGGCATCTCCAGACCTTTAAATAATCCAGTGGGACTACAGAGTCCCTGGATGCCGCCCTCCACAGGTTTAAAAAGACTAAATTGTCTAAGATCACTCTAATCAGCTGGTTGATGTGCAATCAGAAACAGTAGTTATCGTGAGCATCTGTGCAGTGACCATTTTGTAGATCACTTACCCCCACCCTGAGGGTCAAGCTCAGCAGAGGTTTTTTTGAACAGGCTAGTCAGGCAAAAGTGTAAAACAAAACATCCTGGAAACACTCACCCAGTGCTTCTCTGTCCTTTCACTGGTGTTGTAAGAGGAAAGTGCAGCAGGTAAACATATGAGTGGTTTTCAGCCTCACCTTGACAGGGTTGAGATTGGTGGTCATAATTATCTTGTGGAGGGGTCCGGCCAGACGGGGAGGCAGTTTGGGTTCCCTCTCCAGGCCCTGAGGACGTGTGAAGTACTCGAGCCTCGCTGGCGAGAAGAAGTTATTGATCACTGTGACACAGTCGTGCTGACCTGAAGGAGAGGGGGTGGAATCAGGGTCAGGTTCAGGTCTAGTCAAGGATCAGATCGAGTCCATTTTAGGTCAGGTTCGAGTTTTGGTTTAGGGTTAAGTTAAGGTTTAAGGTGAGGATTAGGATCAGGGGGTTTCTTGAATTTAAGGCTTTTGTCTGAGCTTCTGACCTACGAAGGCCGCCATCTGAGCTGCAGTCCGTCCCACAGAGTTGACCTGGTCCGTCTCTGCTCCTGCATCCAGCATCATGGAGGTGATGTCCGTCTTTCCTGCAGCAGGTGAAGATTCCAAAATGAAGAAATATTTCAACTCTTGTTAGTGTGTGAGGATTGGTCAGATCATCAGGTGTGTTTACCTGAAAGTCCAGCAAACATCAGTGCCGTGTAGCCGAACTCGTGCTGGTTACAGTTCACATCAGCTCCGTGCTGCAGCAGCAGACGACACATCTCAGAATCACCTTTATATGCTGCATGCATCAGAGGAGTCATCCCATGCTGTCAGAACACACACAAAAGCACAGAGAAAACACAACCATTATATACATGATGATGACAGTCTTATTTTCATCTTCAGTTTCTGCAGAGACGCAGAGATAAAAAGCTGCAGCAGGAAACAGCTTCACTGAATCACAGCCTATCACTTACAGACTGCATGCTGCATTCAGGGACCTGTCAGCTGATATGTGTTTATATGTCTGTCAGCTGTAGATGACATTGAGGGTCTGTGAGCTATGTTAAGTGTTTGCGTCTTTTGTTGTGAACTCTCAGTCATCTCCACCTGTCCCCCGTCACAGAGTTAACAGGTCACTCTGACAGCACTGATGCATCATGGGAGGGGTGAGTTAGGGGGTGGGGGAATGGACTGTGAAAATCATAGTTATGAAGGATTCAGTGTGTCTAAGCCTGAGGTTCAAGGCCCTCTCTGGGTCTCAGTGTGTTATCTAACAGGATAATAATGTTCAGATGTACGAAGACTCATTCGAGAAAAACACTTAAATAATCGTTTATTGGCAAACTGTTAATATCACTAATATTAATAATCACGTTTCATACCTCGTCCAGACAGTTTATCCGGATGTTGTTGTTAGCAAGCAGCTCAGCAGCCTCCTGAACGTCTCCTACAAACATGAGATAAAGTTTAAACTCCAGGACAAAAAAAGAAGAAGAGTCAACAAAGATGACAAAAAAATACTACTGATATAGAACATAATGGAATAGATTATAATAAAGAACAGCACTTTGTATTACAGTTTCACACAGTTTACACACACACACACAGAAAAGCACATAGAAGCACAGAGATCCTCTGAAAGTTGCTTTATAAATAAAGTTTATTTGATTGACTGATTAATGGATTGATTATTATTTAAGATAAGAACAGATCAGGAGTACCAATAAAAAACTAGAAATAGGAGTTTTAGATAACATGTAAAAAGAAGCTTTAGATAAAATTTAAACATAAGCTCTTAATTAAATTTAAACAGGAGCTTTAATTGAAATTCAAAGGGACTTTAAATGAAATTATAAACAGAAACTTTAAAAAAAATTATAAAAAGGAGCTTCAAATTAAAAAAAAAATAAACAGGATGTTTGAATAAAATTTAAAAAAGGAGTTTTTGATCAAAATTTAAATAGAGGCTTTAAATAAACGTATACATAGGGGCTTTAAGTAAAATTTAAACAGGAGCTTTAAATAAAAATATTAAACAGAAGTTTTGATTCAAATCTTAAACAGAGGCTTTTTTTAAACAAATTTGAACAGAAGCCTGAGACAAGGAGAACAGAACTGTTTTCCTTGTTTACACTGTTAAATTATTCAAAGAAATTTTAATCTTTACTACATTTTAAAAAAAAAAGTTTTTTAGGCAAGAGGATACTTTTTCATTTTTCATAAAGACAGTTGATCTGTGTAAACTAAATAGGCCTAAAACAATAATGTTTTTACCTGCAGAGATCACTTGCAGGATCCTCCGCTCTGAGTCTGTTAGGTCTCCTTTCTGAGTCTCCGACATCTTCAAAAACACAGGTCCAGGTCTGCTGGGGTCTGATGTAGTCTGTGTGCCGTCCAGCTGGGGGTCTTCTGGTGAACTGAGGGACTTCAAAGAAAGCAGTAGTCTTGCAGACACACCTAGAATATACCACTTTATTCAAAAAGGGAGGGTGAAGTTTCTTTACGTCCATTTCTGACGTGGTCTAGACGTCTGATTGAGGTCTTGACGCCGTCAAAATGAGATGCAAAATAAGAGTTTCTTTCAGACCAGGTCAGAAATGGACGTAAAAAAAACTGACCTGATTTGGACGTCCACAGGACATCTACAAATTACGTCCATTTAGATTTTTAGCCATTTGTTTCGTTTCAATAGCCTTTATCAAATTATGTTCCAACCTGAAAAAGGGGACTATAGCTATGCATAGGTTTACAATCAAAACTATCCTTTCATTTTCCATTTCTTCAATTAACATCTTATATTAAATAACTGGAAAAAAGAGTAGAATATAAATAAGCCAAGTCCTATATCATGAATCACTTCTGCAGTTACAACTTTGAAACTTTACAACACCCAAATTCTGTCAATTGAATGCAGAAATAGCATACTGCAATTGAAATTGCTACTTAAGTTTGTAAAAAAGACAATTTTGGTGATTATGATTATTTAACACATGTTCCAAATATCAGAACTTTCCTCTAAAGGGTTCTTGGGGCAGCCACAGAGTCCCAGTCCGGAAAAAGACAACAAAGAATTATAGGAAAAAGGATTTACACATTTCCAACTATTTACATTATTTTCAAGTTAAATGTTTTTTTCCCTAACAAATAAACACAAAAATGTATACTTATACTTAACTTAAGTATTTACAATTATTCACAAACTATTTACAAAACATATCTGCAACTATTAAACTATTTACAAAAATCACAATTCTGGGGCACAAGGTTTGAGTTTCTGAGTCAGCATGTTGCTGCACGTTCTGAGTGGTTTACACCTTTAGATGGCGCCCGTGAGTCACGGACAAAAACAACTCAAAAGCTGTTGTGAGCGGTAGTGACGCGGCTAAAAGAAGTAGCGTCAGTTGCTGCGTCCGAATTGCCAAGTAGTAGTCTAAGTAGTATGTAGCATGTCCGAATTGGCCACCGGAGCGAGTAGCATGCTACTTTAGATCCTACTTCAGATACTAGACACGCCCACATTGTAGGATGGTCGCGGTGCATCCTACGGGCATGCTACTGACCCAAAATGCACCGCGGGCTTCTTCTTCGTCCTCTTAAAAGTTGTAGAAGCGCATGTTATGCTAGCGCCACCAGCTGCTGCCTATTTAGATTCGTCGCGAATGCCGGCTGGCCACAGCAGCGCGCACCATGGCGGAGCAGCAGCAGCAGGCAGGACCGCAGCAGTACAGATGTAAGTTTCATGTAACTTCGCACACTGTCCTAAAAAATGTGCGGTTGTATCTCTTTGTCATGTCATGGTGTCATATTTGCCCAAGTAATCATTTTATGAGCAAATATGTGTCGACATCATGGAGGTAAAGCTCACTTATTCCATCATTAAACTGCACAGCTGCAGTAATCAGGCAGATCTCATTGAACAAACGATCACCACGTGAGTGAATGAAGGCTAAAAGTAATGGAAAAGCTACTTTGTGAATTTCTAAAGCAGTGCAGGAATATTATACAGCAGCATCCATCACTTGCACAATTACCATTCAAAGAGTCTAAAACGGGCGCAGTACCTACTCTCTGCCTGCGGGGGTCGTCTTTACCCACCGCTTGTTTAGTGTGTCCGAATTGGGCCAACGTGTTTACCATGTAGGAGTAGGATCTAGCAGTAGCATGTAGCAGTAGCATGTAGTATGCGAGCGGGCAATTCGGACACAGCAATTATGTTTACTTCAAAGCAGCCGAGAGCGGGAGCTGGGCATGAGTCTGCAATGTTGATTTCTGTTAAATCTATCAATAAAAGTGAGAAGAAGTGAAACTTGAGAGGGATTGTGCCCTCAGTTACCTTTCCAACCTCCTCCACCCAAACGGCCCTGGCATACATGATCTGAGAAAACCAGAATACACATTACTCAACACATTCACAGTGCTACTTTAAGAATTGCATGAAGCAAGGGTTATCACCAGGTGAATTCTAATAGTTATTGGAAAATGAAGGCAGTGTGATGGCGGAGGGGTTGAAGTGATGATGGGTTACAAGTGATATTGGAGGTCAAGATCAGGAGGTACTACTAGAGAGTGTAAGGTTAGCTAGCTTTTTTTGCCCTAACTTGCCAGCTAAACTGCGTTTAGCTGAAGGTACACAATACACATATAAGCGCCCTAAAGCATGTTGCTGTGAAAATAAGCGTGCTTCCCTGAGCAAAGCTGACTTTTTAAAACTTTCGGCCTTCCATTACAGACAGGGCTCAAACTTGTCCAAAAGTTTGGACGTTTCGACATTCGATGTTTGGTGGGATTACTTAAATTATCAGATTTTTTATTTCAGTGTTAAAATGTTTTCCTTGTGATTCTATCTGACCTGAAGGAGTAAGATTTCAAAATAAACACCCTCAGTTTTAAATTTGGAATAATCAGGGATGTCGCCACTTTTATTTTAGAGGCTCACCTCCAGTCATCATCAGGAGAAACAGTGTTTGTCCTGGAGTACCATGTGACTGTGGATCAGCTGTTGGTCAGACTTAAGTAAACAACTGTTTAATAAACATACCTGTGACTAAAAACACACCTGATCTGATCTGAGCGCTTTCTCAATGTTAGCTCCTGTTTAGACTTTAAATGTTAACGATATGATTTATCACTCATGACTTATTCCTAATCATTCATTTATTTATTTTTCTGTTTATTAACTGCAGTCTGTTGAAAATAAAGACAAAATAAGATAAATAAGCCCACCAGATGTTAGAAGTTCATATTTATTAACAACATTCAGGAAAAAACAATGACACGGACAGGAAGTAATGAGGATGAGGATAAAGGTGAGGATGAGGATGAGAGTGAGTAATCCAGTGCTTCATGCTGACAGACTGACAGCAGGTTCCCCCCCAAATGGCTGACCAATCACAGCTCCTGTTTCAGCAGCTTCTTCGCCTTCTCCATGTTCTCTCTCACTGAAAGGGAGGAGCAAAATGAGATCACTATGACATCATTAGTCACCATTTGGAAACCCCTCCCTTCAGACGCCAGAGACGTTCCTCTGGTTCATCGAAGCCTCCGTAACTCTGCTCAACCCCAGCTCACTCCCTACTGCTACAGTCAATAGTTAATCCCTCTGCTTTGTAAAACCAGTCAAGGTTCTTTGAAAGACATTGTATACTGTGTACTTTTAGTATAATTATTATTTTGTCTTCATTACCTCATTAAAGCAAAGTATGACTGCAATAAAGATAAAGTCTATTTAAAGTATTTTCATTCGTTCTGCTCTAGTTGTTCTAACTTAACCCTCATTATTAGCATGATTGCTGACCTAACCCTGACCAGTAGACTTTAATTTTCATAAATAAACTGTTTCTATCTTCACAGTTTCAATTCACAGTCTGTGAGCAAACATCTCTATGAACTTTTCATCTTGTTTGTCTCTATCCATCTCTCTTTTTTTGCCTCTTATTAAATGATTGACAAAATGGCATCACCATGACATCATTGTGACGTTACGGCGCTAAGGAAGTACTCACGCAGTTTCTCGTCCTGGGGTTCGTAGGCATGCTTACGGTTGCTGTAGCGACTAACGATGTCAGCTCTGACTGTCATGGAGGGATCTGAGGACACGAGGGGTCATCAGAGAGGCACACACATGAACACACACATACTGCTGTTGATAGGTCAAGGTTTTTATAAAAATGCAACAAATAAACTTTCTTTATGGTTCAGAAAGACGCTAGCTCATGTAGCTTATGTTAGCTTTATATCACGCAAATAACATACCAATAACAAACTAATGATATGTTAATAACCCACTTATATCACACTAATAACACACTTATAACATACCTATAACACACTGATAACATGCTAGTAACACAATAATAATTCACAATAAAATGCTAATAAAACAGTAATAGCACACTTCAAACAGGCTTGTAACACACTTGTATTACAATAATCACACCCTTACAACACGCTAACAACACACTAATAACATGCTAATAACACAGTAATGCCAATCTTATAACATGCAAATAACATATTAATAACATGCTTATAAATTGAAACATCACAGATTGGCTGATTTGCCAAGCTGACCAATCAGAGCACTTGATTCTTACCCACAAAGAGGATTCTGGGAACGTATTGGCCATCAGGTCTCAGGTTGCTGTCTGTGGTTTCATACTGACGACACAAAATTACAATCGTCAATTCAGATTACAGAGTCACTCCAATCTTCCAATCAGATCACAGAGTCATTCTCACATGGTTCATATCAGCCTGATATTATGATTAACAGCACGAGTCTGCACATCTATTCTCAAGTGTGACACCATTTGAGAACAGGTGGATAGCTGACATTAGTTTAGAAGTCCTTGAACACAAAGGGAGAATCACACACACACACACACACACACACTCAGACAAACAGACTGACGGTCATCCTTAGACAGATAAAAAGCTGAACTCACCATCAGGTTCAGGACAATAAAGTCTTCATCCAGAGTCTTCTGGATGTCGTAGCTGTTAGCGAAAATTTTCTTGAAAGCTGCAGGACAACACACAGGTGAGATTGTGATATCACACAGGTGGACCACGGCAGAAGTGTAGGGAGAAACAGAAAAAACACTTCAGAGATTCACTGTTTTGTCTCCTAAAAACTGTCAAATTTAAATTAACAAACTGATCCAGATTAAAAACAGGCTTAGGTAATTTTTAGGTTTATTTTTTTTGGTTAACTTCAGACAGCCTAAGGAAAAATACTTTTTGAGTTATCCTAAATTCACCTGTCTGGACGTGTTAGCGGAAGTGAGGAGATCCCTTCAGAGAGAACCACACTGAGCATGTGCAAAGCCAGCATTACGGCTGTAACTATTTCATATTAGAGAGTGTTTTTTAAGTGGCTAAAGCCCCCCTACTTTAACAAAAATCAGGTGCAGACTTACCTTGGCTGTGAGGACAGTCCGCCAGGTGAAACACGACCATTAGAGGCTTGTTCCTTAAAAAACACAGCAGATACATCAGCACCTGAGCCTGTTACACCTGTATGCTCACCTGTAGATTCTGACTCACCTGCTTCTGGACCAGTACAGAGCCTCCTCATAGGTCTGTGCCCAGATCAGCTGATCCCCCCATCCTGCAGAGGCACACACAGACAGACAGACAGAGACACACACACACACAAACAGTTAGTTTGCCATTTTCTCTGGATTATGTACAGAATAGTCAAAGGTGAGTCTCAGGTGATTCTTGGACCTCTGGACAGGGTCTCAGGGATTCTCTTCCCGGTCTTTGGGATGTATTGTTTGCCAGTGGCAAAGACGGAGAGAATGGCCCCCAAGATGAGGAGGACGGACAGCACACCTCTGGTCATCTCTGCAGATGGACTGGAGAAGGTAGAACAGGTGAGACACACTGTAAGCATAGTTTAAATAGGTACAAGAAGAATGTGTATGGTGAAGTTACACCCTGGCTCCTGTTTCTTACCTGTTCCTAGCTCAGGTGAGTGTGAAGATAGATGCAGCTCAGAGATCTGCTGTACCTGCACTCTTACCTGTTCCCTATTTAAACATCCGTCCCATGTGGCCCCGCCCTTTGCTATTTGGACTGCAGGTATTCAGACTCCAAAAAACACAGAGCGTATGTGTGTGTGTATGTCAGAGCCAGTCTCAGGTGAGTTAGTGCATTGGCTTGGCTCCAAGGACAGGTCAGCCTTACCTGGATGAGAGAGAGTGAGGATGCTGATTGGTCTCTCTATGATTGGCTCAGGACACACAGGTAAAGAGTCTCACCCGTAATGTCAACATGCTGACTCAGAGGAGGATGTTGGAATCCTCACACACTCGGGTTCATAATTTTAATGATATTTAAATTTCAGAGCTAGAGCCCCTTGATCGGAAACACTCAGCAATGTGAGGGCAGATTCAGAGGGACTTTTATTTTTAAGGGTCACCATCAGAGACAGAACTGTTAATTATCTCACAAATAATTAACTAATAAAAAAAAATGTATTTCACAAGTTTATCAATTCAAACAATTAAACATGTTGAAAAATATAATTTACAATGTAATTAAGCAATAAAACCTTAAGGGGTGTAAACAGATAAATCTCTGAGTGTTCACATGTGCCACATTTTACAATAAATCTAGAGGATGTTCAGAGCTCATCAGTTTTTGACTTATCCATTCACACCACTGGGCTCAGGGATTAAGTGACCCACACTACTTCTGAGCCACAGTCAGCCGTCAGTCTGACCCTGAACAGAGAAAAATATTGAACACGTTAAATTTTAAATAATAAAAACACACCTGAACACCGGTTCAATGACCCGTCGAAAAGAACTAGTCTGAGCCACAGTCAGTGTTTGAGATCAGCTAATAACTGTATTTGAACCACATTTATAATGTGATCATAAACCGTAAAACCTTTATTATATTTAATATGGACTCAAAATAAATGTATTAGTTTAAATCCAACAAATCATATTTTAGTGTTATGACATATTTGTCATAAACAGCACACACTGATTGAAAATATAATCTACATCTTTACTTGATAACTTTTTGTACAGACAAGAATATTTATGATCGTCATTTAAAATTTATGTGAATGAAACTTAGTGACACTTACACACACACTCACACACCTACATAAACACACACACATACACACTCACACACTCTCACTTTTACAAACACTCGCACTGACCGTTATGTCCCGTCACGTCAGAGAAAACAAGACAAATGGATCAACTCAACCTTTAATCTATTTAATCGCTTGTCTGAATACAAACTGTACGACACACTCTGTGTGTGTGTGTGTGTGTGTGTGTGTGTGTGTGTGTGTGTGTGTGTGTGTGTGTGTGTGTGTATACATACATATATATGTGTGTGTGTGTGTGTTTGTAGTTTAACAGCGTGACAGCTTTATTATATATCAAATCACAGTCATATTATCCTTTGCTGATCAGACATTTATAGAAAAATAATGTGTTATTCTGTTATGACATATTATTGATGTTTTAACTTTTATGATGTGTGAATTTACTCTGATTAGATCACCTGGTTTCCAACTTTAACATTAAAGAAAGTTTATTTGATGTATTATTGATTATATTTTATCTGCAAAGGTTCTATGAGATACATAAATTCCATACCCAAAATTATATAGACTTAAAATCATTTTTTATTTCAGTGTTAAAATGTTTTCCTTGAGATTCTATCTGACCTGAAGGAGTAAGATTTCAAAATAAACACCCTCAGTTTTAAATTTGGAATAATCAGGGATGTCGCCACTTTTATTTTAGAGGCTCACCTCCAGTCATCATCAGGAGAAACAGTGTTTGTCCTGGAGTACCATGTGACTGAAGATCAGCTGTTGGTCAGACTTAAGTAAACAGCTGTTTAATAAACATACCTGTGACTAAAAACACACCTGATCTGATCTGAGTGCTTTCTCAATGTTAGCTCCTGTTTAGACTTTAAATGTTAATGATATGATTTATCACTCATGATTTATCCCTAATCATTCATTTATTCATTTTTCTGTTTATTAACTGCAGTCTGTTGAAAATAAAGACAAAATGAGATAAATAAGCCCACCAGATGTAAGAAGTTCATATTTATTAACAATATTCAGGAAAAAACAATGAAAAAAAGGTAATGAGGATGAAGGTGAGGATGAGGATGAAAGTGAGGATGAGGATGAGAGTGAGTAATCCAGTGCTTCATGCTGACAGACTGACAGCAGGTTCCCCCCCAAATGGCTGACCAATCACAGCTCCTGTTTCAGCAGCTTCTTCGCCTTCTCCATGTTCTCTCTCACTGAAAGGGAGGAGCAAAATGAGATCACTATGACATCATTAGTCACCATTGGAAACCCCTCCCGTCAGACGCCAGAGACATTCCAGACCCCCAGCTCACCCCCTACTGCTACAGTCAATAGTTCATCTCTCTGCTTTGTAAAACCACTCAAGGTTCTTTGAAAGACATTGTTTACTGTGTATTATTAGTATAATTATAATTTTTTCTTCATTACCACATTAAAGCAAAGTATGACTGTAATAAAGATAAAGTCTATTTAAAGTATTTTCATTCCTTCTGCTCTAGTTGTTCTAACTTAACCCTCATTATTAGCATGATTGCTGACCTAACCCTGACCAGTAGACTTTAATTTTCATAAATAAACTGTTTCTATCTTCACAGTTTCAATTCACAGTCTGTGAGCAAACATCTCTATGAACTTTTCATCTTGTTTGTCTCTATCCATCTCTCTTTTTTTGCATCTTATTAAATGATTGACAAAATGGCATCACCATGACTTTGTTGTGACGTTACGGCACTAAGGAAGTACTCACGCAGTTTCTCGTCAGTGGGTTCGTAGGCATACAGACGGTTGCTGTAGCGACCAGAGATGTCAGCTCTGACTGTCATGGAGGGATCTGAGGACACGAGGGGTCATCAGAGAGGCACACACATGAACACACACATACTGCTGTTGATAGGTCAAGGTTTTTATAAACATGCAACAAATAAACTTTCTTCATGGTTCAGAAAGAAAGTAGCTCATGTAGCTTGTGTTAGCTTTATAACACGCAAATAACATACCAATAACAAACTAATGATATGTTAATAACCCACTTATATCACACTAATAACACACTTATAACATACCTATAACACACTGATAACATGCTAGTAGCACCATAATAATATTCACAATAAAATGCTAATAAAACAGTAATATCACACTTCAAACAGGCTTGTAACACACTTATATTACAATAATCACACCCTTACAACACGCTAACAACACACTAATAAAACACTAATAAAATGCTAATAACACAGTAATAACAATCTTATAACATGCAAATAACATATTAATAACATGCTTATAAATTGAAACATCACAGATTGGCTGATTTGCCAAGCTGACCAATCAGAGCGCTTGATTCTTACCCACAAAGAAGATTCTGGGAACGTATTGGCCATCAGGGCTCAGGTTTTTATCTGTGGTTTCATACTGATGACACAAAATTACAATCGTCAATTCAGATTGCAGAGTCACTCCAATCTTCCAATCAGATCACAGAGTCATTCTCACATGGTTCATATCAGCCTGATATTATGATTAACAGCACGAGTCTGCACATCTATTCTCAAGTGTGACACCATTTGAGAACAGGTGGATAGCTGACATTAGTTTAGAAGTCCTTGAACACAAAGGGAGAATCACACACACACACACACACACACTCAGACAAACAGACTGACGGTCATCCTTAGACAGATAAAAAGCTGAACTCACCATCAGGTTCAGGACAATAAAGTCTTCATCCAGAGTCTTCTGGATGTCGTAGCTGTTAGCGAAAATTTTCTTGAAAGCTGCAGGACAACACACAGGTGAGATTGTGATATCACACAGGTGGACCACAGCAGAAGTGTAGGGAGAAACAGAAAAAACACTTCAGAGATTCACTGTTTTGTCTCCTAAAAACTGTCAAATTTAAATTAACAAACTGATCCAGATTAAAAACAGGCTTAGGTAATTTTTAGGTTTATTGTTTTTCGTTAACTTCAGACAGCCTAAGGAAAAATACTTTTTGAGTTATTCCAAATTCACCTGTCTGCTCGTATTAGCGGAAGTGAGGAGATCCCTTCAGAGAGAACCACACTGAGCATGTGCAAAGCCAGCATTACGGCTGTAACTATTTCATATTAGAGAGTGTTTTTTAAGTGGCTAAAGCCCCCCTACTTTAACAAAAATCAGGTGCAGACTTACCTTGGCTGTGAGGACAGTCCGCCAGGTGAAACACGACCATTAGAGGCTTGTTCCTTAAAAAACACAGCAGATACATCAGCACCTGAGCCTGTTACACCTGTATGCTCACCTGTAGATTCTGACTCACCTGGTCCTGGACCAGTACAGAGCCTCCTCATAGGTCTGTGCCCAGATCAGCTGATCCCCCCATCCTGCAAGGGGAAACACACAGACAGACAGACAGACACACACACACAAACAGTTAGTTTGCCTATTTCTCTGGATTATGTACAGAATAGTCAAAGGTGAGTCTCAGGTGATTCTTGGACCTCTGGACAGGGTCTCAGGGATTCTCTTCCCGGTCTTTGGGATGTATGGTTTGCCGGTGGCAAAGACGAAGAGAATGGACCCGAAGATGAGGAGGACGGACAGCACACCTCTGGTCATCTCTGCAGATGGACTGGAGAAGGTAGAACAGGTGAGACACACTGTAAGCATAGTTTAAATAGGTACAAGAAGAATGTGTATGGTGAGGTTACACCCTGGATCCTGTTTCTTACCTGTTCCTAGCTCAGGTGAGTGTGAAGATAGATGCAGCTCAGAGATCTGCTGTACCTGCACTCTTACCTGTTCCCTATTTAAACATCCATCCCATGTGGCCCCGCCCCCTGCTCTTTGGACTGCAGGTATTCAGACTCCAAAAAACACAGAGCGTATGTGTGTGTGTGTGTGTGTGTGTGTGTGTGTGTGTGTGTGTGTGTGTGTGTGTGTGTGTCAGTCTCAGGTGAGTTAGTGCATTGGCTCAGGTCCAAGGACAGGTCAGCCTTACCTGGATGAGAGAGAGTGAGGATGCTGATTGGTCTCTCTATGATTGGCTCAGGACACACAGGTAAAGAGTCTCACCCGTAATGTCAACATGCTGACTCAGAGGAGGATGTTGGAATCCTCACAAACTCGGGTTCATAATTTTAATGATATTTAAATTTCAGAGTTAGAGCCCCTTGATCAGAAACACTAAGCAATGTGAGGGCAGTTTCAGAGAGAAATTTATTTTAAAGGGTCACCATCAGAGACAGAACTGTCAATTATCGCACAAATAATTAACTATTAAAAAAAGGAATTTAACAAGTTCATCAATTCAAACAATTAAACATGTTGAAAAATATAATTTACAATGTAATTAAGCAATAAAACCTTAAGGGGTGTAAACAGATAAATCTCTGAGTGTTCACATGTGCCACATTTTACAATAAATCTAGAGGATGTTCAGAGCTCATCAGTTTTTGACTTATCCATTCACACCACTGGGCTCAGGGATTAAGTGACCCACACTACTTCTGAGCCACAGTCAGCCATCAGTCTGACCCTGAACAGAGAAAAATATTGAGCACATTAAATTTTAAATCATAAAAACACACCTGAGCTCCAGTTCAATGACTCGTCTCCATGGAAACCCAAGACAAGAACTAGTCTGAGCCACAGTCAGTCTTTTAGATCAGCTAATAACTGTATTTGAACCACATTTATAATGTGATCATAAACATTAAAACCTTTATTATATTTAATATGGACTCAAAATAAATGTATTAGTTTAAATCCAATAAATCATATTTTAGTGTTATAACATATATGTCATAAACAGCACACACTGATTGAAAATATAATCTACATCTTTACTTGATAATTTTTTGTACAGACAAGAATATTTATGATCGTCATTTAAAATTTATGTGAATGAAACTTAGTGACACTTACACACACACTCACACACCTACATACACACACACACACAAACACACACTCACTTACACAAACACTCGCACTGACCGTTATGTCCCGTCACGTCAGAGAAAACAAGACAAACGGATCAACTCAACCTTTAATCTATTTAATCGTTTGTGTGAACACAAACTGTACGACACACTGTGTGTGTGTGTGTGTGTGTGTGTGTGTGTGTGTGTTTGTGTGTGTGTGTGAGCAGGATGTGGAGTTTTAAGGCTGAGCTGTACTTTAACTCACCACTTTACTGCTGTGTGTGTGTGTGTGTGTGTGTGTGTGTGTGTGTGTGTGTGTGTGTGTGTGTGTGTGTGTGTGTGTGTGTGTGTGTCCTGGTTCAATATTTGCAGAGGGGGCGGGTTAAAGGACGCTCCTGTTAACACTTTACATTCAGCAGCTGCAGTCGGCCCCGCCCTGAACACACGGATACACACACACTAACACACATAGGCGCACACACAGAGATACACACAATCACCCACCCCACACACAATTCCTGGCTCAAAGAGGAAGCTACCTCTTGTTTCAGAGTAAGGCTGTGCACACCTGGGTTTACCTGCTGACAACCAGGAAGTAAGGTCATGTGACTCATTATTATAATGTGTAATTTTATAATAAATTATCTTAACGTTTTAACAAAGTCTTGGAGGATAATCCTGAAATAAAATCCTGTGTTTATTGAGTCAGATTTGACTGATTAATGCAACTGGTGTTAAGGGAGTAGATTATAGGTTAATATGAGGGTTATCTATGGTTAATCTATGGTTAATCTGAGGCAATTATAAAGGTTATCAATGGTAAATCTGAGGTAAATCTGAGTTTAATATATGGGTTATCAATGGTTAAGTTATGGTTAATCTGAGGTTAATATAAGAGTTGTCAATGGTTAAACTATGGTTAATCTGAGGCTATTAAAAAGGTTATCATTGGTAAATCTGGGGTTAATATGAGTTTAATATGTGGGTTATCAATGGTTAATGTATGTATAATCTGAGGTTTATTCAAAGTAATTTTGAAATTTGTATTATATATTTGAATCTCTAAGAAAAATAGAACAAAAGAAACACAAGACTACCTGTTCACGGACAGGAACTGAAAGTAAACAAAGATAGTAGTAATTTGCAGCATGAGAGAACAGTCATCCTATCACATATTTATTATCATGACGACACAGCAGTATCAGGATCCATCATGCACAAAGACATCCTCCAATGAAGCAATGAAGCTGTGTCTGTACAGCCTGATGCTGATTTTAAATCAAATTTTTTCTTTCAGACGTTTGAAAAACTCCAACAATTGCTCTTTATTTTTTTGGCTTATCCCGGTGACTGCAATGCAAATTTTTTTTCTGCAGTAGCTCCAATCAGAAAAAAAGCAGACCCTGGTCATCATCAGGACTTTCCAAATGCTTTGATATGATTTTGGTGTTTCTACAGTATATAGTTTACACATACTTGAAAGTTATACACAGGTCCTTCTGCTTCTCTCAGAAAATCTTTGTATTAGTGTTAATGGGGAGCAGAAAGAGACATTGCAACACTAAGAGGCTCAGTGTTTAAATTTTGTAAGTTTCTCTGCTTAGATGAACACATTGTTAGAGACAGAACAAGTGTGTTTACAACTGTGGAAAAAAACATGACATAGAAAGTATGCCTGAGTAGTAGACATTTGAAAAACTCCAATAATAATTTGGCTTTTCTCATTGACTTTAATGCAAATTTTTTCACCACATTTTTTCATACACAAAAGAGGAAAGTAATAGCACATCGATCCCAATCAAACCACATGTTTTGATATATAATTTGTCCTACAACTTTTCAAACTGTAGGACTGGTAGCAAATTGAAATTTGTCTAGAAGAGGAATATGAAAAAAAAAAAGTATAACAATAGTGCCTTGGTGCATTTGCCTTGTGGCCCTAATAAATGGAACAAGTGAGAAAAAAGTTGGTCTTTATTTATGAAATCTGAAGCCTTGTAATGTAATTCTATTAATCACATATTCATTGGACATTGAAAACTTGAAAGTTACCAAGATTTGGTCAAAAAAGGCCAGTGGTGGCCAGAAACTCTAAGTATACTGGCAGGAAAAGAGAATCTGTTAACCTGCTGTTAGTCTGCTGTCATTTTGTGGTTAATCTGCTGTTAGTCTAAGGATAGATATCCTGTGGTTAATCCGAAGTCTGCCAGAGTTTACTCTGTGGTTGATCCAATGTTAGTTTGTGCTAAATTTTAGTTTGGTCTGAGGTGAAGCTGTGGTTAATTTTAGTGTAGTCTGGGGTTAATCTGAGGTTATCCAGCTCACAGCAATGGTCACTAGGTAAGTTTATTGATATTATATGTTAGATTTGAGTTCATATTGACTTTGAGCCCTTTTTTTTTCTGGAGTGAGTCTTAGACAGATTTTCATTTTTAGACCACACAGTGGAAAGTATGGAATCACCCCCTTTTGGCTCACATGTGAAAAACTCACTGTTGGAGATGGAAAATTGAAGATCTGATTGCATTATTATTTTTGAAGGTAATTTTAACGAGTCAGATTAAATTTCTGTCAGAGTTCAAAACCTCAGTGTAAACCCAGTTTTTGTTTCATTATCCACCTATCCAATGATCTGATAAATGATAGTCTGATTAATCTGATTATATACTTTCATATTCTAATAAAATGATTTAATTATCTTATTAAACAAATGAATGTGATTGGGAAATTCATTAATCTCTTTAAATTTTACACTATTTGGAAAACATAGTTCAATAATCTAATGGTTTATTATAATGCATAATCTGATTCCATAATTCAATGATCTGGTTAAATGATGCAATCGGATAAAATAGTTCAATAATCTGAACACATAATTCAAAAATCTGGTTACAAAATTCAATAATAGTTCAATATTCTGAATAAATAATTTGGATTATTTGAAGACAACTGATAATCTAAATGATCAACAATAAATCCAAAGCAGCTGTTATATTTGACATTTATTGATGACACTGTAGAAAACAACGAAAATATTTATAAATGAGTTTCTGTATTTTACAAACATGTCATACAGTGAACTGAACGTCTTAAAGGGCAGGCGCTCCAGAATGTTCCAGTATAGAAAAACATGAAGGACGAACAGAAAGTTCATTACAGTCCCAACGAGACGACGCTCAAAAGTTTTCACAGAAAACAAACTGACCTCAGAGCAGCTCACCTCCATCACTGAGCACACACTTTACGCACACACACACCTGCAGGTCCGAGGTCAGCCACACCTGAGCATGATTGTCAGGAAACACAGCTGATCATAGTGCATGCACACTCTCTCACACACACACACACACACACACACACACACACAGCTGTTATCATAGGCCGTGTAAAGCAGGTTACTATAGCGTCTATGTTTGGAAGGCTGTTAAAACCTGCACCTTCTCTACTGTCCAGCAGGGGGCGTCTGATTGTACCCTAGTCCATAAGGAAATGTACCTCCTCCTCGGCTAATTCATTCCTTCAGCAACATTTCCATGATCAGTTTATGGTCTCAGCCTCTTGTCAAAAGTCTTGATTAAAACAGCATGATGTTCATTTAGTCCACACATGGCAGAGAAACAGGAAAGGGTCAGACAGGTGAGACTTGACAGTGTTTCTACCTGCTCAGGTTACTGTATGAAACACAGCAGCATCACTGGTGGCAAACTGGAGGTGATTAACATCAAAACCTTTAACGGGGAAGTCACCGAGGCCACGCCCACTCCTGCTACACAGTCTGTCATACACAAGCACACAAGCACACACACACACACACACAATCAGCTGCTCTTCATTAAAAACAGACAGGTAACCTTCATCTTCATCAGTTGGCTGAATTCTTACTGGCTCTCACCTGTCGGGTGTGTTCAGTATGTGCTCTGTATAAAGTGCTTCGTGTGTGTGATGGGGAGGTTCAGGTGTGACTGATGAAGAAACAAATACGATGATCGGGTGTGCTGCACTGTTAAAAATGATCAATGTAAAAAAAAACAAAAAAAAAACTGATCATCTCCTTGCAGGTGACGTCACATTGACATCACCATGGCATCACAGTCCTCAGAGTGCCAAGCTGCAGCACCCCCTAGTGTCAATGCTGGGGGTGGTTGGGGGGTAGCGGCGGTCCGTTGACTCCAGGGTGATAAAAAGCACATTTGCTCTCGTACCTGCAGCTGCCCTTCATCATGAAGTGACGACATACTGGCCTCTGAGACATGTCTGCACAGAGAGACAGAGATAGAAAGAGAGAGAGAGAGAGAGAGAGACGTGGGGGGGTCACACAGAGTAAGTAAAAGTCTTTCAGTGTCTTTTTTTATGAATGTTTGTCCGTTCATTTCCTCTAAACTGGCTGTTTAACTGTCTTAAAAGCTCTTTGCGGTATCAGACTTTCTGGTTTGCGAATACGCCACTACTATCATTTCAACATACCGTTCATGTTGTTGTGTCCTCCTCGGGGTCCTCCTCGGCCCCGGCCCCTGAAGCCTGGCTCTCCCCCTCGTCCCCGTCCCCCTCTGTGGAAGTGTCCTCCCCTGTGCGGTCCACCCCTCATTGACTCGTCTCCCCAGTAGTTCCCGTTGTCCCCGCGCCCCTGGCCTGGCGGGGGCCCCATCATTCGGGGGCCGCCGGCGTTGAAGGGTGGTCCATGGCCATGGGGGGGTGGGGGATGGTTGAAGCGGGGTCCCCCTGGTGGGTTATTGGGGGGATATCCTCCGTTCATGGGCATCTGCATGTGCATGTTCATGTTGTTCATGTTGTTCATACCAGGACCATGACCCAGCAGGCCGGGATTTACTGCAGAGAGAGACCCACACAGAGGAAAGGTTATAACATTTTCATGACATCACTGTGACGTCACAATCAGAGTGCAGCTTCTGTTTTCTATGAGTTTCTATGTTTCTATGGCTGGAGCTGAACTTGAACAACAGACAAACAGACAAAAACAAACAAACAAACGAAAAGCTCTTGTTGTGTAAATTAGGTTTCTAATGTCGGTCTAAAGATCTCTGTTGTGAGTGTGTACCTGGAGGGGGTCCAGCCTGGTTCTGGTTCTGGTTTTGGCTCTGCTGCAGGGAGCCCAGCAGCTGTTTGATCTTGTCTGAGAAGTCAGGCTGTTTGATCAGATCCTCTGTGGATTGTCCCCCTGATGCCCCCTACAGGTGAAAAGCACGTTATTACAAGCAATCTACCATAAACACATTCATTATTACAAACACACACACACACACACAAATACAGGTCTATGCAGAGACAATGATCTGATCAATAAACAAAAAGCTGACAGCATACTGTGATCAACACTTTGACCAAAATATTAATAATGTTTCAGTTTTATATGGTTAAAATTTGTTATTGTCATTGTTTCATTATGTCACTACCAATAATAATAACAATAATAATACTAATAATAACAGCGGTAATAATAGTGTTGTTGTACCATGATGGAGGTGAGGAGCTCCTGCACGTTGACAGTGGGCGCCGTGGGGGGGTTGTTTGGGGGGTTGGTCTGGGGGCTCCTGTTGTTGTTCAGGTTCATGAGATTGGCGAGGACAGGTGGAAGCTTGGAGCTCTCAGTCTGCATCAAGTTAGCCCCACCCGCCTGAGAGGAGGCATCCATGGGCTCCGCGTAGCCATCATCCATCATGGATGAGTCCTGAGACAAACACATAGGTCAGAACACTTTTGCCCACACACACACACCTGCAGGGAGGGGGGGGGGATTACAGAGGTACTGTGTATGTGGACTCACCTCGTCCAGGGGGATCAAACGAGGAGGCATGGGCTCATATGGTTCTGGATCAGGCTCATGAGGACTGTCAGGAACACTGAGAGACAGGAAGGGATATCATCAACTCATGGACTGAGGTTTCTCATCATACACCATTAAACACAGGTTTATGAAAGTTTGAATGGGGGCTATATTTGCTATGTAATAAAAATACAGTTAATGACATTAATAAAAACAATAATATGAAAGCAGCCCTACCTCTCCTTGTTGAGGAAAATCTCCTGCAGGATGCCCATCTCTCGGTCTCTCTGTGTCAGTTTCTCGGTGCTGTTGGCCCCCGGCGTTACCAGGCTGCCGGTCAGGGTGAGGGGCCTCGGGGGGCTCCAGGGGACCCTCTCCTCCATGGTGTCGTGGGAGAGACGACGAGCCATCTCAAACGTCTGCCGGTCCATCATCAGCTCCCTCTTTGCTGCCTCTCCAAAGTCCTTAATCTTGTTCACATTCACTGTAGAGAAAGCAGGTCAATAGGATTAATAACTCATTCATAAATTGAGTTCATGCCATCATCCTGAGAGCGCTGAGGTGGTTGGTGAACGCCTCTCACCTCTCTCTGTCTCGTCCAGGTCAAAGAAGAAGTAATGTTTGAGCTGCTCCTCCTCTGCCCAGTGGACCGTCTTCTTCTTCTTCCCCTTCTTTGTCAGGTTCTCCTCCTCCCCCCGAGGCTCCGACAGAGCATTTGGCTTCTCACCTGGAAACACAGGTAGCAGGGAATAGGTGAGTCAGAATACTGAGATTAGGAGTGTGGATCTCAGGTAGATTATGATAAAATACCTGATACGGACAATGGTGACATCATGAATCATTGATAATGAATGACGTCATCCAAATAATGTATTAAGTCAAAATCAGACAGTAACCACCAAGTCAGCAGGTCAGAGATGTTTAAAAACTATGAAAAAATGAGTACTATGTTTCTGTGAGATTAGAGAGGAAGGTGTGGATAATCTGGGACTTCAGCCTTTCAGTCTGAAAGTTAGAAAATGTATTTTGTCTTTATTTACTGTCTTTAAGGTAAATCCACTCTAATATATTCAGTCATGTACTTATCTATTCTTTTCTTTCTCTCTGAAAGGGAAAGGTGACAGGTGAGGGTCTCACCATTTTCAGATGTCTCTGGGTCCTCTGAGGGGACGGGGGTCCCAGGCTGCTCCACATCCTGGTTGTCTTCAGAGGGGTTGGCGGAGGCGTTCTCTGGAGAGGACGGTTTAGCAGCAGTAGAGGAAGAATAGGAGGAGGGCTTACTGTCGAAGGGACTCGCCTGAGGACACAGGTAACAGGGAGACTGTCAGCATCAGACAGATCGGTTGTCTTGTGTGTGTGTTTGTGTCTGTTTATGCGTATGTGTGTCTTTCAGCACCTTGTTGGTGGTTGGGGAAACCGCCTTGGTCCCTGTTGCAGCACCCGGTCCGGGTTTCTTTTTCTTGATCTTGATCCCAGGTACAGGGGCAGAGTTGAGAGCATCTAGGAAGCCAGTGCACTCCATGGCTGAGGGGAGAGGGGTTTGTTAGCATGGTGGCTGACTGATTTAAACAAAGTTTCAATGTCTGAATGAGACTCACGCTGGGCAGGGATGATCTTCACTTTGATCTCCTTGGCAGAATTCGACGGTGTGTTCAAAGGTTTGTACTTCTTCTCCAGAGGAGGCATGTCTGAAGGGCCCGAGCTGAGGAACACAACAGAGGCATTAGCAGACAGCAGGGGGCAGTACAGACAGCAGAGAGCAGCAAAGACAGCAGGGGGCAGCATATTTTATAACGTTACACACAGGACTGAGAGGGCAGGGGAGTTTGCCCGTATGTGTGTTTATCAGTGTGTGTGTACCTGGGCCTCTTCAGCACAGGGGGTTTGATGTTGTATTTGTCTCCTAGCTGAGGGGGGGTGGGGGTCTTCTTTGGGGGTGCAGGGCTTGGGGTGTCCATCTCCAGTCCTATAGACACAGATAAACAAACAGGTTAGATTCAACAGAGAACTCTATAATTTTGTCTTATCTTATTACACAGGCAGCCATGAAAGGGCTTGTTGTCATGATTACCAATGGAGCGGATCTTGGCGTGACTGGGCGCGTGAGCTTTGGGTTTCTCCTTCTTCTTCTCCTCCTCTGAGCTCTTCTCTTTCACATCCCTCACAACAGCTTTACTCTCCTCTCTCTTTTTCTTCTTATCTGCAAACACACATCCATGTTACACGAACATACAGGCCTGTAAATCAGCTGTTTTAAAGGTGCAGTTCTGTGTATTTACCAGCAGGGGAGCTGCTGCTGCCGCTCGACACGCTCTGGGAGCGAATTGTAGCCATCCAGCCATCCACGAGTACTGATGCCAACTTCCTCAAATCTGAAAAAAAAAAAACACAAATGAAAACTCAGGTGTGGGGGGATAAACATGTGTGTTTTTACATGACAGGCTTATACTAATAATGATGAGGAAGATTTTTTAGTGACATTAACCTTCAGTGTCGGCGCTCTTACTCAGCTGCTTCACCAGTTTAGCTGTGTTGTTCTGAAATGACAAAATGCATCATGTGTTACTGAACATATTCAGACATGTTTCTGCACAAAGAGTCCAGGGAGTGATGAGGAGGGTGGAGAGGTCGGCTGACTGTACCTGTTTGAGGTGGTCCACCTTCAGGGGCAGTTTCTGCAGAGTAAGCAGGATGAGCTGCAGCAGGGGGGTGTTGTTGGTGGTCTTTGAGTAGGTGAGCCATGAGTTCAGCAGCCTGTAGCCCCCTACCCTGATGAACCTGCACACAGGTGAGATTTCAGTTCATATTATTCATGCAGACACAGTGGATCATTAACTGCAGAGGTAAACGAGTTATTGAGCAGACACAGTCAACTCCCTACCCTCTGTGTCAGATATTGGAGTACCTCTCTTTTTGTATACACTACATACTTATACAATAATATTACAGAGAATGATTGTTCATGTAAGAGTCATGTAGTCTTCCTCTGATTTTGAAAGATCTGATTTACCTGCTTTTTCTTTACCTGATTTACACACAAAAACTCTTTGAGTATTTGAAAACCCTCATCACAGCTACTGTCTATTTAAGTCCTCCTGGACCCAGCATTCAAGAACACAGCTTTCTTGAAGCCTCTTCCGCTGCTGACTTGCAACAAAGTTTGGATGCTGTTATAAAAATGATAATTTTGCCCTTACAGAGAGATCCTCCAGTCAGAGCTGTCATGATGGGAGTAGACCTGCTTGGGTCTCTCTTAGGTCTGGTCTGAACTTTTGAATAAGTAATCTGACTTCACATCAGTTTATAAAACAGTCAATATTTGAAACATAAAAATAGTACCAGCTCTTGAAAACATGCCTTAAATTTAAGTTCCGTTTTTTTTCACTCCTCACCAGTGTTCACATTCAAAGACACAATGGTCACCTACCTGTTGAGGACGTCATGTGACTTGGTCTGTAGCAGGATGTTCAGGTACATACACCGACTGACCATCTTAGTGGAAGCTTTCATCAGACTGCAGAGGACAGAGTACAGGTGTTTAATAGAGCACAGATGTAACAGTGATGACATAAAGGGAAATGTAGGTTAAGTGTATAATAATTTGCAGATCACAATTAGGTCTGGGTTCCTCACCTAAAAACCTTTGGGACTCCCTCCAGGCTGCGCAGCTCTCCATCCTTCCCTAGGAGAGCCTCCACACCTTTCAAGATCTCTCTGGGGTCCACAGGTGCCCCCGCCATTCCTGAAACACACACCTGACATCATAAATATACATGGAACAACCACACATCCTAAGTAAAACTGCAGCACATCTGTTGTCATTAGTGCATCTAAAACACATCTGACATGGTTCTTACTGAACACAATTTTTGCTAGTATTAGTAATCTGCTGTGTATGAGCGGACTGTTGGCCTATCAGAGAGGAGCTCCACTTCACCCACACCTCAAAACACACACCTGTGCAGATGGGAGGGACCAGACTAACCCATAGAAACAATCAGGACTCCAAACAGACACACAGTCTGAGGTCAAGATGGATCACAGTCTGACCAACATCCAGACTGTCAACTCTGTATGAGGTACCATTGAAGTACACACATTTGAAACAAACACACCTGTACCAGGATACACTCACTATGAGTTTGAAGAGGATCAGGAACCTGACACACACACCTGGATACACGCCTGTGGAGCGGTCTGACCTGTCCTAAACATTGTACTATCATAGGAGCAACAACACACCCCACATAAACTTGATGAACACAGCCAGACTCCAGAGCCCAGAGCAGATCCACAGGTCCAGGTGGACCTTCTGGAGAGTTTCATGATTCAACCTGACTCAGGCCAGCAGGAATCAGGACCAGTCACTGAGACTCACAGTGGAACTGGACCTCAATGTGTCTGTTGTTGATAAGTCTGTAGTCAGAGGCAGCAGCAGGGTCACATAGGTGACACTGAAGGTGTTTTCATGACCTGACTGACTGCTTCAAGTACGATCTCTAAACTTCAGACAGTCTCATTGACAAGATTTTTCATCCTTATTTTCAACTCAGACAAACTCACTGTCATGTTTATATCTCAGATACAAAGACAGGAAATTAACCAAAGACAGGATATTTAATGAGAAATTGATCCGCATATGACTGATGATTGATCTTTTAATCAGCACTTCTCTCCGTTTTTTAACATGAAAACTCAGACAGGACAGATCTCAGTAAATAGCTGCTTTTACAGTCCTATGGAGTTTGGTGGAGAGATGGATGGTACAAAGTATAAAAATATGAAATTAAACTGATTATGACAGAAAGAAGTTGTGTGAGAATGAAATGCTTGGAAACTGTAAAGTAGGTCTGTTACGGTTGTAAAAGTGTAAATAGTAAAATGTGTAAAAGTACAGAATAAATATAACATGTGTGATTGTTATAAAAGAATCTGAGTGCCAGACTACATGACAGTCAGCTGCTGCAGCCATGGGGCACAGGGTGCATACTGCCCCCTGCAGGTCACTCTTTGTTTACACATTGTGTACTGTTACACAATACAAACATTACACATAAACACAACAGTTACTGTGAAAACACTCATTTGTCTGGGTGTTCAACTGTTTCATTCAGTATCTATATTTATCTTTAAGTGTAAAGCAACATGTGATGAGTTCTATATCTGTGATACTTAAAGTCTAATAAAACTCCTACACATAATTTATGGATACACTATTATGTGATATCAATAAGTTTGACTGCTAGGAGAAGCATGCACTTTCATGTTCATGTATTTGTAATAAATCAGTCTCTGTGTCTGTGGGTCTGTTGGTGTACAGACACACACTCAGAAGTTTCTGGAACAGCTGATCGACAATGTGATGATGTGAGAATCAGTCTTACCAGGGTAATGAAGTTTTATAAAGTCTCAGACCTCCTCAACACTGCAAATAACACAACTCCTGTAAACATCACAGTAGTTACACATAAACAATGTTAGACATGACCTGGTCCTGCTTCAGTGGGGAAACACTGTGTGTTATTGCACACAAATAAATGTCACTGGCACAATAAAACAGAAACACAGTCCAGGTACAAGTCCTCTAAAAGACATAATATTTACTGTAATGTTCATTAAGGTCATTTGTTCAGGCCACAGAAAGGCACATTGATGATGAATGAATGAATAAGCCTTATAATCCGCCCTCGGTTATATAATGGCGGAGGAGCAGCCTATAAACGGCCTGAAAGCTGCCTGCAGGAATGACGAAGGGGAGGGAGCAGCAGGATGACAGCTCCTCACAGCCCGCCCCCCGTTAACCGTTTCCACTCCCCACATCGACAACAATGGCTTCCACAGCACCGACCGTGAACAACACGGACACACACAAACAAAGCCGTGGATTCATCGCTCTATTCGGTCAGTTTGAAATATCTCCAAAACACAGCTCCGCGAGCCCCGGAGCCGTCCAGGCGCGAGAAACAAACCACCACCAATCCGCCATGTTTCAGTCCGACAGATTGAATCATCCTGCAATCTTTATCCGCAGATTGCCGAGAACATGGAGTCCCTGTGCTATAATTATCGACATTTCAACACACTTAGTGCTTCATCAAATATGTCCACAATCCCTCCTCAAACTAACGCAATCTTTATGTGCAGATTGCGGTGGGTGTAGGTTCCGTGGAGCAGCCCCTAAAACCGGATCTGAAGGCAAAAAGTCCGACTCCCTGAGCTCCTGTCTAAGCCTGAGGCAATCTTTATCAGCAGATTGCTTATGGTTATTTAAGAAAATTATCTTTATAATTTAATTTTATTTATATACAGGTCGGCCAGTTAGTCTCACACATGAAGAAACGGAGCCTCGCGTCTCCGTCCACTTTCCTGTGTGAGCTCATACTATAACCCTGTCTAAATTTAAACTGTTATCTATATTTAAACCAAAAGCTATGCTAAGCTAGCCAGCTAGCAGCTAGCGTATTGTCTACATTCGACTGTTTCCATTTGATTTATCTCGATTCAATCAACTTTAAAATCAACTTACTATGGTTTCTACAGATCCTCAGCGCCTCGGGTCTACTGAACTGTGCTTTTCAGGCACTTATACTGATTATTATTCATCTATTTCATATCGTTAACCTTCAGGGTTTAATTTCAACTTCAAGACTTCTCATGGGTGGGGCTGTGAGAGCTAAATGCTAGCCTTTCCTTCAGGAACAAACTGGAGGCAAAAATAGGCATAAAATGTCCATTACTTGAAGAAAAAATATGAATTTGAGAAGAGTTGTTCAAAGTCCTCGACGGTTCAGTCTTCGGCAAAGTAGATTCATACCTGTAAAACACAATAAAACACATTCACTTTAAACGATGTAGTTACCTTGTTCTCCGTCCAAACCAAATCCATTTGTTGTTTTAATGAGTAATATTTCGTTTGAATTTCGCAGTTAATTCGCACAATTTAAACATTAGAAATTCCACTGTCTTAGTGACTTCACTTACCTCTGACCAAATCCAGGAATGGAGACGGTGGGGAGGGACTTGGTTTTTATACTGCGTGACGATTTTTGCGTCATACGCCGCTTTTTTTCCTCCGTTAAGCGTGAAACAAAATGGAGGCAAATCGACCTTCAGTTCCTTACCAAAGTCATAATGGCGCTGCGCTTTGCGTTGAATATCACTCGACGATTACTCCACGATTTCCCATCGAAAATACAATATTTCCACATAAATAACAAAGAAATGGACAAAACTCTCGCTGGTGGTCCAGTAAACGAATCTATATATGTTATTTGATGGAAAAATTAAATTGGTTCTATTGCTTCAAAATGGCGACTGTCGGCTTATCTCTCAGGCTGTGTAGGCCATATGAGCAATCAGCGCCTTACCAACGATCACCATAGTGACAGAATAGCGTAGTTCTCAATGATGGCAGTTATGTCCGTTTTTAATACTTAATGTACTCTGGTGTTAGTGTTTTGCACTATTACGAGACGTTTGATCTTAAAGTTTAAATAAATAAAACACCGTCAGCATTTTGTGCTGAGAAAGTGGCAGAAGGAATGGGGTAGTGAAACAAAAGGGAGGCACTACTCCCTTATGTAATGGAGTGTGAAAAATCAATTTTTTATATATGGATAATACCGGAGAGATTATTCTCACAAGATTGAGGCTTGGGCACTGCAGTTTCGCAAATAACCAGGCCCAAATATCGATATGACCTGTGTGCTCAATGTAATAAAACAGAGTCAGTTGCACATGTGCTATTTGAATTTAAGGAATATGTTGATGCCAGAAAGAAGCTCTTTATAGAAAAAAACATCGTCTTGGACACCCATCAGTGTCTTTGAGAACTACGCTGAATCCAGATAGATGCAAAAAGAAAAAAAACACAGAAATTGAGCTAGTGCTTGAGTTTGTAGTTAAAAATTTAGTGTTATCAAATGCAATTCCTAGGGCAAGTGGAGGGGGCAGAAATACGCCTAAGGTCTGTAGTCTGCCGGAAAGCAAGAAGAAGACTCTCCGACATCAAACATGGCTGCCTCCATACGCGGCGCTGTGAAGGTTTTCTGTCGTTTGTCGCCTTCACTTAAGTTCTCACTCCGGCAGCACCAGGTATTTATCTTGAACTGATATATCAACAAACTCCGACTGCAGTGTACAGATAGTAGTTAGATTGTTTTTGTCCGTTAAATCAGAGGAAATGCACCTGTGTATAACACGTTAGCTAGTGAGCTCTCGGCGACGTCATTTTAATAATAAAAATAATCGTGAATCAGTTTAAGCTGAAAGTTTGAAAATACTACAGCAATTAGTACAGTAATGTTCCTCTGTTTAATGATAATATTTATTACAACAATAATATAGAAACAAACTGACAACAGAAGGTGTTCATTTTGTGATAAGGATGATGATGAAGCTCCCAATGTGATCCTTTCTGACTGTCAGTCCTGTCTGCAGAGGTTACCTGTGGGTGTACCTGTACCAGGTGTGATTCTACCTCCATGCCGGCTCTACTGCGAAGTGGACTCTCTGGTTGACAAAGATGCTGCTGAGGCTACCGAGACTTTGTCCAGGTACAAAGAGCGTCCATGGGAGTACCTAGACAGTGAAGGTGAGCTAAACAACACTTAGGGTTCACCTGTTTTTTACCTGTCACCTGAGTTTAACTCTGACCCCCCTCCGTCCTGCAGAGTACACAGATAGGTATGGATCAGGTCCGGTGTGGGCAGGGTACAGGAGGAACCACAAAGGAGGAATCCCCCCACAGAAGACCCGCAAGACCTGCATTGTAAGACCTCTATCCATAAAAGCATTAACCTGTATACACGTGTGCCTCAATACACCTAAGCCTTAACACACCTGAGTCTCAATCCTGTTATTTACGGTCAGTTATCTGTATTTCTGTCTGTTAATTTCAGAACGTTATTTACCATCTGTTGTTTTCTATATGTTATCTACTGTCTGTCATTTTCTATCTGTTATTTACCGTCTGTTATTTCCACAGAGAGGAGATAAAGTTAGTGGTAATCCGTGTCCAATCTGTCGGGATCCAAATGTGATGATCCATCACCAGGTGAGCCCTCACTTCTTAGTCTCTCTCCATCTTAGGGTCACAGGAACAGCTGTCTGTTTCAGGTCCTGGTTCTGCTCAGGGGTTCAGATTCCTGTCTGTTTGCAGCTGTCCGCTCTGGTGATGATCAAAACTGTGTAAAACACCTTTTAAAATAGGAAGTTCAGAAATAAGCAGTTAAGAAGGAAAATCCTCTGACTGAAACTTTTTATAAAACAGTTGTTGGACTTCATAGGACAGAGTCTGTTTCTAATCATAATCAGATTTAAACAGAGACTATAAATGTAAAGATTCTTTTTTATTTCGATATATCTGTGAATTCAACAATTATTTAATCTCAGATATATTTGATTAATTTGATTTAAGGGTCATTAAGTCAGGTTTAATAATTCAGCTTTAGTAGGATCCGACTAACAGCTAAGTACACATCTACAGCTGATCCTCAGCTAGTAATCACAGGCAACTAACCTGTTCTAAGCTTGTCTGTGTCTGTTTTAGTGAGTGTCAGTGTCTGTGTTAGTCACTTTCTGAATGACTGTTTGTATTAGTGATTGTCTGTGTTAGTGACTGTCTGTGACTTTCTGCAGAATGTGAAGCTGCTGCAGCAGTTTATCAGCCCTTACACCGGAGAGGTGTACGATCCCACCAGGACAGGTGAGTCCTGGAGTAAAAGTGTAATGATTAATGATTTAATGGTGAATAAATGTTTGTCAAGTTGATCAAGTCTCAGCTCTCCCTCCTTTTTTCATGTTCGTCCTCATAAATCAATCATCATAAAACAATTCATTGTTAGCTGATCGTTCGCTGACATGCTCATTAAGAGCAGCGTACCTTTTATGTGTAAGTGACCCAAATAAGGTCATTTTCCTCTTTTACTTTCCTAAAGGATAGTCCAGTGTATTCTATGCCGAAGGAGGTGAAAAGGAAGCAGTGAAGCTCCTTGTCCTTATTTGGAGGATTGAAACAGCTATCATTGCCAACCCTTTCAGACTCCATGTCATTTCAAACCCAACAGGACTTACAGTTATTATTAAACTGCTCACTGTGCATCTATGTGTGTGTGTTTTCAGGTGTGTGTATGAAGCAACATAAGAAACTGTCTGAGGCGATCAGCACAGCAAGAGATCACGGTAATCAAAGAGTTTATTATAAACCAACCTTAAGGGGTTTCTGTTCACCTGAGAAGCTATTAACGGGTTAGACTCTGTACTGCTGCCTGCTGGCTGCAGGAACACACAGCAGCCTGTGAATTACCATAATGACCTAAAAATGACATGATTTTTCCTCTGAATCCTCGGAAACAGTGAAACTCTGATTTCACTCATTAAAAGCTATTGAACTATTTTGGCAGCGCCACTTGTCTGCACAGCGAGGTATTGTGAGTGTAGAGCTGTAACTGTTAGAGCAGCAGGTCAGTAAAGGGTTAAGAGAGATAGTGAGTAAAGTGATGTTGTATATTTTGGTCATTACGGTAATAACAGACCTTTTTTAATGTTGAATTACTACTAGGGATCTGTCTTTATTTATGGATCACACTGATATTAATAATTGATCAATAACTTGAGGATTATTAACTTTCCCCCCAGGTTTACTCCCCTTTCAGATTCCATATGTGGACTTCACAGGTGAAGAATACTCCAACTCCCATGATGCAGTGGGCTTGACCCCCTTTCCAGCCTCCATGACCATGGGTGAGAGTTGGTACACCTGGTACAGTGAAATCACACCTGATGAGAAGGAGGTGGCCAAGGTGAGGAAAACCTACAGAGCCTACCTGAAGAGGTGAGGAAGACCTACAGAGCCCACCTTAAGAGGAGTCGTGGTAATGAGGAGGAGGAGGAAGAAGAAGATTGGTGTGTCTTCTGTGCTGTTTATGAAGTTCATTATGTTTAAAGTTGTTACTGTGTGAATAAAGAGTCAGTTCACTCGCTGATCACCTGTCTGTGTTTCTTTGTGTGTGTTTGTGCAGGGGTGTGGGAGTGGGGGTCAAAGTGGGTGATCTTGATTGGTCAGAAATCTACATTTGCTTTTCCTTGCTGGTTTTATGGATATAAAACTAAAATAGATTTATCCAACACATACTTGGACATGATCCCTGAAAAATCGACAGGAACACATTTCGATTTTCAGATTAAAATTTTGAGGAAAAACTACCTGCTGCTTTTTAACAGTCTGATGATGACGACCTCTTTGTCCAATCTGTGTCATCCAAGTTTTGAGGTTCAAACAGACTTTACTGAGTTTGGAGGGTTCAACTAATATAACAGACACACAGATGTAAAGAAATAGGGCATTAACTCTTAAGAGCACTTAGTTTTGATTTTGGGGGATTGCAGAACAAGGTTTCAATAAGTTATAGCTTTAATTAGATTGTTTAACGGAGACAGGTTCAGGGTTCAGAAATACAGATATTCAAGAGGCCAAAATACCCCACAGCCCTCGAGTGTGTGTGTTAAATGAGTGTGTTTGTGAAAAAATAAAGAGACAGTAGCTCTGTGGATCTCTGGTTAGAGTGTTTATTACTTATTCAGGTTCAGGGGATCCTCTCTGTCTGTTTATACACATTTAACACCATACAGGTGATGCAGGTGTTACAACTTCAGGTGGAGTCCATTGCAATATGACCCAGACTACACAGAGACCAGATCCTGATCCAGATACAGATTACTATTGAACTGAGAGTGAAACATGCTGACAGTCCTCAGAAAGAGAAAGCCTTAACCAGGAGTGATCAGGGTCCAGATGTTGTCCAGGTGAGGGGTCAGAGTCCAACTGATGGCTCAGGGGTTGACCTTGTTGACCATGGTCTCTCCCAGCGCCTCCAGCACCTCCCTCTTGTAATCGTCAAAGTCTCCGTCGATCTGGTTGATGGTGCGGTCCTCCACCACCCACAGCTGACACTGAGTCTCTGTGATCAGTCGAGCGTCGTGACTCACAATGATAACAGCTGGTCCACGCAGAGGGGGAGACGGGGGAGACACAGAGAGACAGGGTGTTACTGAGGAGGTCAGGTTAGTTTCTTTTATCAGGTAAATTACTGAGTGTCTCTGAGGTTTGAAACAGTCAGACCAGTAGATCTGACTCTGACGGTTGGATATTAAAACTGAGTATCCGGTGAAGAAAGGCAGACATGACTCTCCTATCAGAAACATAATCAGCTGCAAAGCCTGCAGCACCTCTGCTGTCCACTGGGTGGCAGTGTGCATCTCTGAGTCCTCACTGTGGTAGAGGTTTAAATTTAAAGGGATCTGAACTCAAACTCATTTACTCAGATTCTAATAGTTTTCTCCATTAAGTCCGAATAGCCCTGAATGGAGTTTATACCCAATGACTGTGACGTCAGTTTGATCCGAGCCCAACTTGTCAGAGTTAAATTACAGCACACTTTTATACATCATTTATACATCCATCTGACACGAAAACAGACCCACAACTATCACACTGTTTTACAATAAACTGTCTTCTCACCTCCTTTGTACTCGTTGATGGCCTCTGACAGAGCGTCAATCGACTCGATGTCCAGATTATTGGTCGGTTCATCCTAGGAAATAAAAAAATCACAAACTAAGATTATTACCAAAAATTATCTTTAGATTTAACCAGAAAAAGCTGATTCATCAAATTAAATTGTAGTTTCATGCTATCTCTGTTACTATTTACAGAAGAGTGAAATAGTCTGATGGCTGTGGGCACAAAATATTTTCAAAGTTTGTGTTTAAAATTGCAGAGGGAGGAAAGACCACAGACAAACAGAGAATATCAAATACAAAGAGCATCACTGATGCTTTATGCTTTTATACTGATACTCATTCTGTCATACAGCCTGATATTAATACAGCTTGATGACTCCTTTAATCAAAGTTCTGAAGCTGCCCTCAGTGTGCAGGCGGTACACGCTCAGTCATCAGCTCACAGATAGACACTCAGGTAGAAGTCGCTGCCCACAGACTGCTTGCCAGTTATATGTGAAAACAGCGAGTGTCAAGAGCCTCACCAGGATGAGGACGTCCGGCTGACGACAGGAGAGCTCGGCAAACACCACCCGAGCTTTCTGACCACCTGAGAGGAAAAACACAAGAAAATCAGCTCAGTCACATGACCACAATCACGTGATCTCAGTCACATGATCACAGCTAGATAGGTCCTATGTATACAGGGATCACCTGTAGAAACAGGACCACAGGTCTAGGTGTGACCAGATGAGCTCAGATCTGTCCAAAACGGGACACCTGATCACACCAGGTCAGGTCACCCCCTCCATCAGCAGCTACAGTAACACCTATTCAGACTGTTCAGGAGATCTCACCTGAGAGTTTGGAAATCTGGATGGTGTGGGCGTGGCTCTCCAGCCCAAACCTGCCAAGGCACTTCCTGCTGTCCTGATAAGGCAGGTTAAAGTTCCTCATCAGGTACTCTGTGGCCGTCTCCTCCATGTTCAGCTGGTCAGCATACTGCTGGTTAAAGAAGCCCACTTTCTGCACACACACAAACATACACACACACATGAATCAGTCTAACAGCTCAGAGTGTATCAGCATCAGGTGTCAGTGTGTAAATAAACTGCTCTTTATCCTTCAGCTCAAACACTCATATCATGATGTTTCATATCATCAGACCGACTCTGTTTGAGCTCAGGTGAGTATAGGTGAGCTCAGACGGACACAGTGTGTATCAGTTCATAATGAAACTCACCAGTCGGTGGTTCTTCCTCATCTCTCCCTTAGTCTGAAACACAAACACAGTCAGTTCAGTCTAAATGTAGCCTGATTATTTTAATCATAAAGTGTTTATTAATTTCGTCAATTTCATATTAAATCACATGAACTCAGTTATAACTGTAAATGTCTCCACACTCACAGGGTTGATTCTCCCCGTCAGCAGCAGTAGCAGAGTACTCTTCCCCACACCATTGGGACCCACGATACAGACTAAGGACAGAAAAACTCACTATAACATTTACATATGAACGCTTTACTACATGAATGTTACTGTCCTTATGTATGAAAAAAAATCAACAACACAGACTGGAGAGAGAGTGACACTATTCTTTGTAATAAGCATATTTTAAGAACCAACTGACTCATAGGGAGAATAAATAAGGCAATAAAGGCTGGCAGAATGTAAAAATCCAACAGACCCTAAAGATTCAGGGTCTCTCCTCTCTTTGAGAGCTCTGGAGTCTCTTTACCTGATTTACTCCAAAAACTATTTCCTGATCTCTGATTGGAGTCTTCAAAAAACTTAATTTCAGCTACTGTCTCTTTAAGAGACTTAAAACAACTTCAGAACCCAGAGTTCGCAAACACATATTTCTGGGTTCCTCCTTCACTATTGAAATGCATCTTACATGTCATTACTGAGTTAAACAGACAGTTTAATACTGTAATATCTTTACCTGACAGTCTGACATGAACCTGAACATGAAAAACAGCAGAATACCAGCTCTCTAAAGCGAACAGAATAGTAAGCTCAGCAGAGCTCATACTCACTCCTAGAGTCCATGTCAATTCCAAAGTCGACGTTTCTGAAGAGTATTTTTTGACTGTCGTATCCAAAGTCCACACCTGGACAGGTAAAGACATCAGCTGTGAGTGTGAGCGTTTGTAAATGTACTATAGAGTGGACTCAATTGTGTGCATATGTTCTTACTGTGCAGGCCTAGGATGGGAGGGGACAGAGGTGGAGGGTTAGGGAAGGTGAATTTGACGGTGTACTCTTTGGGTCGCTTCAGCAGCTCTGGAGCCTCCTGACTCTCCTCCTCTTGACCTCCTTTCTTCCTTCCCTTCTGCTGTTTCCTGGTCAGAGCCTCCTTAGTCTGCTTCTCCTGAAGAGGGAGAGAGAGAGACAAAGAGAAAGCAAGAGAGAGGGGTTCAAAACATAATCTTGTACACTGAGTGAGACAGACAGTGAGGGAGGGGTGATGGTGAGGTTCAGGGTGAGTTAAAGGGGATGACTTACGGCCTGTTTAGTGGACTTGCCGCCGGCCTTCAGCTCCTTCAGCTTCTTCTCCTGTTTGTCATACTGTTTCTGTAGCTCCTTCTGTTTCTGAACATACATCTTCTTAAACGTCACTGAGAGACAACACAACCGCAGAGAACACAGAGTTTACAACGGGGACATCAAAAACATCAACTACGACAACATCAACAACAACAACAAAGACATCAACGACGACAACCTCAACGGCATCAACATCAAAAACCTCAACATCACCGACATCAACAACGCCGACATCTACATTTAAGACATCAACATCAACATCAACTGCATGACTGTTTTTCATTATAACTGCTCTTGTTTTCCACTCTTAATAATAATAACAATAATAATAATACATTTTATTTGTAAAGCGCTTTTCACAAACTCAAAGACGCTGTACATGAATAAAAACATACATTAATATACAATAAAATACATCAATATCAATGAAAATCCAGTAAAATCAGGTAAACAATTCTCTGACTATAACACCTCAACATAATATTGTTGTTCACTGTTATTGTTTTTTATCTTACTAGACCGTCTTAAGTGTCTTTCCTTAAACTGACTCAGTGTTTGAGCCTCAGAGACTCTCTGACATTCATTCTTTGGTTCACTCACAGTAGTTCCCTCTGTAGTAGTAGAGCTTCTGGTTGTCTAAGTGGATGATGTCCGTGCAGACGTCATCCAGGAAACTTTGATCGTGAGAAACTATGAGCAGAGTTTTTTTCCAGCCCTGCAGGTAACTGAGACACACAGACACACACACACACAGGGTTACATAGTACTTCTGATAAGACAGTGTTATACTTCCTAACTTCCCATGAAGGTCTTCATATGAATCCATGATTAACTAGAGCTTTAATGAAGGGAACAGGTGTGTACTTGTTAAGCCAGATGACAGCGTTCAGGTCCAGGTGATTAGTGGGTTCATCCAGCATCAGCAGAGTGGGCTCCATGAAGAGAGCTCTGAGGGAAGACAGGGAGACAGGGTGAGACAGAGTGGGACAGGGCAAAAGCAGCCTCTGACTGCTTCATAAGGTAGATACAGATGATCAGAGGGTCTGTGGGTGTACCTGGCCAGAGAGACTCTCATCCTCCAGCCTCCAGAGAACCTCTTTGTGGGTCTGTTCTGCATCTCTGGGGTGAAAGACAAACCGGCTAGGATCCTACGAGCTTTAGCCTCCGCCGCTGCCGCCCCAATGGCCCTCAGCTCCTCGTACACCTGAGAGGGTGGAGCCACAAAGGGACGAGTAAATTTTACAGCTCAGATAACATGATCAGATCTCCTGGACTCAAGGTTCACCAGTCTGCTCCATTTCTACAAGAACCCCCTCACTGACCTTCTCCAGCCTCTCCGCCACGCTGTCCTCTCCTTTCTCCAGTCGAGCCTGTAACCGTTTCTCCTCCTCCAGAAGCTTCAGACGGCGAGTGTCAGCCTTCAGCACTGCTTGCACCGCCGGAGTGTCATCAGCCACGACCTCTACAGAGACACAGACGAGTATGGCATCATAATAGATAGCTCTGTTGGCTGATACAGCTCCTGGTTGGCTCTACCAGCTGATCTCCTTTGTACTGAGTTATGAATGTACAACCAGGTGACTCACCTTGCTCACACAGCAGCACATCAATGTTTGGAGGAATACTCAGGGCTCTGTTAGCGATGTGCTTCAATAACGTGGTTTTTCCTTTGCTGCAGAAAAAGAAAGTCAGACTATTGTTACCAGGGGTACAGAAACAGCTGATTTTAATGTGAGTTACAGCAGGAGGAATGACCGTGTCTATCATTAGTGATCTGATAAATTTACCCGTTTGGTCCAACCAGACCGTATCTTCTTCCTGCGACGATCAGAAGGTCTGCGTTTACGAAGAGCTCTTTCCCGTGAGCAGAAATACTGAACCTCTCCAGCTAAAAGGAACAATAACAGAGTTTGAGACATCTGTAAACACTTTAACTCCGGTCCTGACCTAAGTACACTTGGCCACTTGGACATGCTGATTTTCTCACTAAGAATAAGTCTGAAGAAAACTGGAATCTAAAATAGTTTTCTGTTCAGTTTTCTCATTACAATTTTTTCACATTTTAAAAGGTTGAGCCCCTAAAAAAAAAAATAAAACTTCTTGGATGAGAAATTAACACTTGATCATTTCTATTTTCAGAACTTGATTACACAGGATACTTTAAATTTACATCAGTGCTTTAAACAGAAATCTTCTCCAAGATGCAAGGCGGACACTCTTCTGGGTGGCATCTATGTGTCTACATCTATGATAATAACATTCATAACAATAATGAAATATGTACCTTGATATCTGAGGCATTCTCCAGCATGGCCTGTCTGGATGACATCTCAGCCTGAGAGATGGAGAAATCTCCCTCCAGAGCGTTCTGAGCACGGACGCTCGCCACCTGACGCTCATACTCCAGCTGATGACAAACACGGAGAACAAGATAAATACTCATCAACAGATTTATAATCATACTGTTTGGCTCATACTCTAGCTGATAAAATAAGGATTAAAGTAAGAGTAAACAGTTCCATCAAAGGGTAAAGTCCACTATTTTTATCATCTATGTCAGATAATTAAGGTCCAGATCATCAAACTGACAGCTGGTCCTCGGAGCTTTCCTCTGTGGTCATCAACCATTACAAACTAACTTTTCTTCATCCTCACAGAGTCTGATGAAGAGCCTGCAATAACCCTTTAAATCCTCACATGAGTCACATGACACTGAGTTCTCACCTGCTTCTTTTTTTTCTTCTTCTCCTTCTTACTGAGGTTAGCGTACGGGTCGTCCCCCTGCTGCTCCATCTGCTCAGCAATAACATCCTCAGCACTCTGAGACACACACAACCAAACACAGGATAACTGTAGCTACTGATAACTGTAATAGAGATTTACAACATATCCTAAAAAAAAAGGAGAGTGAGTGTGTTTCTGTGTGTCTGTCATACCATCATCATGTCTCCTCCATCACTGTCTTCCTCCTCCTCTTCCTCAGAGGGATTCTTCTCTGCAGGTTTCCCCTTCTGTGTTAAGGACAGGCAAACTCAGAGCAGGAAAACTCAGACTGATTTAAACACCTGAGCTCATCTCTTAGCCTCTAAGTCTGCAGATCTGAGTGTCTCACCTGCTTACCCTCAGATTATAAATCACACAGAAACACCTAATATTACAAAAACTCACGGTGTGAGATCAGAGTTTACAGGTAATTAGATATAGATACTACAGCTGATCAGAGAAACACGGGGTCATCATTCAGACTCTGTTAGCTCTTTAAAACCATCAGGTATTTATAAAATGAGAGTCTGATCCTTTGCCCCCTCACTCACCTTGGCCTTGGCGCCAGTCTTCTTGTTCTTCTTCGCAGATTTCTCCTCTCCTTCATCTGCCTTCTCCTGCTCCTCTTCATCAGATTCAGCCTAACACAAACACACACACACACACAAACATACCGACTTTACCCCAGCACTCAACACTCAATTTAAAAGCTACAGTGGCCCTGAGGGTAAACTCACAGCAGCTGAGTCGAGGCTCAGGGTTATTCTCCCCTGAAGGATCTTTGTGTTGAATAAAAATCTCTTGTCCACACAGGATTGTATAATTGTCATGGCCTATCACCTATCGCTTACTGGCTAATAAGTACTATTGCGTGAGGCGATGCCATGTTGTTCATACCATATACAGTCTATAGTTGTAACTAAAGGGTTCTGGAGTGCTGGGCATTGGAGGTCTTTGAAATGTCTTACTAAAGACAGTAGCTGAAATGAAGCACCTCAGAGGCTGAAATAAGGGTTCTCAAATACTGCAACCCCCTACTTGTTTGAATTGGAACACAAAGGAACATGGGAACAGATGGTTTAAAAAATACTTGTACCTGATCCAGCCTGGATGCCCTTGAAACAAAGGGGCATATCTATGTGCTGCATTTAAACAAGGCTATAAATGGGACAACCTTAGATACACTGCTATCTGTAAATGCACCTGTCTGAGGTCACAGCACCTGAACTGTCACAGTGCTTCAAACAACTTTGCCTTAGCTGTCGCTCAGTTCCTGACCTTCAGGGCCACCGTAGCTCAGACTCAGAGAGATGAGAGAGCGAGAGAGAGAGAGAGAGAGAAAGAGACCAATGGAAGGACAGATGAATCAGGAGACACAGCACCATGCAGGAGACCGTGTTAGTTAGAAAAAGCAGCGTCAGTAAATAAAAAGGGTTAGTTGAGATAAAATGTCCGTTAATGATGACACACAGTCAGTTAATAAAACAGGGTCCGTTAATAAACAGCTGTGAAACACCCGGAAACACAGAGAAGTACGTAAGCACCCACCTTAACCTTCTTGGGCTTAGACTGATCTTTCTTCTTTGCTTTATCAACTTCCTGAATCACACACACACACACACACACACACACACACACACACACACATCCACATACACACACATTCACATACACACACATTCACAGATATACACACATTCACACACATTCCCACACACAGATATATCAGGTGTACGTCTATAAGTGATGTTCTGTCCAGATATTGATGTTGCTTCTATTTCAAACAGGTAACATAGCAGTCTCTTGGCTCCGCCCCCTATAACCCTCTGAGAAAAGAGCTGCAGATTCCCCATTACTATTGACAGCTTTAAACTCACACCTGTTTCACCTGAGGTCACCTTTATATCTACCTTTAGTTACTTTTTCTTTCCCTTGTTCTGCTCTGTTTCTTCACCACCACTGTTTGTAATTCTTATTGTCTTTTATTTCTTTATAGATATTTATTCATCTATTTTTATCTGTGTTTAGGTTTATATTCTCTGATCTGTTTTCATTTTTAAACTCTTTATCCGCTCATTTATTTCATTATGTGTTTTTTCCTCTCATGCCTGTCTGTTGTTTCATCTGTATCATGTTTGTCTTCTTTACCTGCTGACAACAGAGTACCTGAAAGTTGTTGTTGTCTTGTTGCCTGCAGCCTCACACTACACCTGTCCTCTGCTTACACTAACTTTAATGTGAAACATAGCAGATTACCTTTTCAGCTGGTTTCTCATCTTCATCCCCGTCATCCTCTTCCTCATCACTCTGACATTGACTGAGAGCTGCAAAGATGTTTCCTCCCTGCAGAAACAAGGATCATAAACTCACAGTGAGGAACATAAACTCAGAAGATTGTGTTGCGTTGTGTTGTGTTGTGTTGCGTTGTGTTGAGTTGTGTCGTGTTGCCCACTTACCTTGCCCTTCTTGCCCCCTCGGCTCTGGACTACGACTGTAAATACAGAAGTTCAAACATTAGTAACACTGGCTGAAAAACAGGATCGACTGTATAAATCACACATTTATAAAATTCAGATCAGAGTGACAGCCTCTCACCTGGCTCATCTTCCTCCCCCTCTTCATCACTGGCCTGAACTGAGAGCTTCTTCAGCTTCAGCATCACATCTTCACCCTCATCATCATCGTCCCCTGCTCCTTTTCCTTTCCTCCGATCCTTCTTCTTCTTCTGAGGCTGAAAACAAACAGTCATATCAAACCTGTGTGATCCACAAGCAGAGTCAAACACAGTTACAGATCCTCACAGAGCTGATCCTGGATCTGTTTTTGATGTTGTCAGAGCTGATCTTGGATCTTTTTTTAAGTTTACAGAGCTGGCTGTATGAACCTGAATTTAAATCAGATCAGTTCACCCTGTATCAGCATGTCTGCAGACCAATGAATAAAACCACCAAACATGTCTTAGCTTTAGCTGGGCAACTGGGCTGTACATAGGCAAAGTTAGACGTGTGATTCTATGACATGAACCCTGTTCCAAGACAATGTGATGTAAAAAGCCAGTCTGAAATTAGATCATGTGCAGTTAGGCTCAAGTAAAGACTCATATTGGTGCTTGACCACATGTCAGAGGTTACAGAGAAGTAATCCACTTCAATAAGCTTACTTCGAACCAATGCTCTGACTATGTTGTACATTGTCGGGACAGCAATTTCTGAAAAATTAACCTGTATTGCTTGTCAAACTTTCAAAGCGTTGACCCGAAAGCCGTTTCGTCATGATGAAAAACTGCACCATCTCCTCAACCAGATACTGAGTATGTCTGCAACTTGTGTGTAAAGATGAGAAGATTAAGATGACCTAGTCTAAATCAGCAGTTTCTCCTTTTTCAGTAACATTTGGTTTCGGTACCAGTGGAGTCATCAGCAACAATGCACAGCAGTTGGCTTGTTAAAACAGTATTTCATTCCTGTGGTCACTGCTCCAGGTCTAGCAGTTCCTCTGCTCTTTGGAAACAAGCATCCAGGATTTCCAAATAAAATGTTAGGCTTTGATTGGTCAAACTACCAGACAGTTTTCAACTTTTGCGTCAGTCAATTTGAAATGGGCCCAGGTCCAGTGTTGCTTTTAAGCTCTACACAGTTTCAACATATATGTTGTCTCTAAACTGTTTTCAGTTAAATATAGACTTAAAATGATCTGAGTTGGACTGAAAATGTTGAATTATTGAAGGTAAATAAACAATCAGCTGTATCTGTGTTTAAACTGACAGTTTACTCTGTTTTTGACAGATTTCATCAGTCATGATTTTCAGGTGAATGTTACCTGTAAACATGGTCTGTTACCTGTTTACTGTGAGTTTCCTTCACTGGTGCCTCCTCCACCTTCTCATCTTTACTCTCTGTGGCCAGCTCCTCAAAAAACTGCAGTTAAAGCAAAACAAACAGTTAAAGCAGTCTCCAGATTGAACTCTACGGGTTAATAAATCTTTATTGATACTCACACTCTTTTTGCCCTTCTTTGCGCCTTTCCCCTTCTTCACTGCTTTTTCTATAAGAAATCAACATAACAGAGTCCTTAATGATCATCATACATTATTATCATCACACTGGCTGCTGGGTCCATACAGATGAACACTGTTCAGGTTTAACATTATCTCTGTATGACAGGAGATGTGTGACAGAGGCTGAGAGATTTAACATGGCAGGTTCATTTTGAGTAATTAATTATGAGTAACATAGTTCTAAGTTCTTAGTTTGAATTAGTTAGGTAATTACAGAGTAAAGTCATCCATTGATCAGTTATAGTTTGAATAATTGATTAGTTATACTCTTATTTATTGATCAGTTTTAGTATTATTTACTGATCAGTTATAGTGATATTTATTGATGGATTATAGTGATTTATGGATCAGCTATGGTATTATTTATGGATGGGTTATAGTGACTTATTTATCAGTTATTGTGATATTTGTGGATCAGTTACGATATTCTTTATTGAACAGTTATAGCTAGATTTATTGATCACTAACAGTGATATTTATTGATCAGTTGTAGTAATATGTCGCCTATTGATCAGTTTAATCGTCAGTTACGGCGTTGCTAACTTTAGCTCAGATTTGCTTCCTTCCCTTTGGATGAACATGACCCGTCCATTTTCATATTTAAACCACATTTTTCTTTAAAATCAGTTTTAATGTATGTCAATGAGTCAAACGGTTTTTTTCCAGCGTGCTCATTCATGTAGCTTTCATTCTTATCATTAGCATGAATTAAAAGAAAACCTTTCTAACCTCCATCGACTCAAACAACAGCACTTTATTCTGAGTCTAAACTTTGTAACCTCGATTCATCTGGCCATAACACTATGTCAGTGTATTACAGCGCTTAAGGCCTTATGTCATCATCAGTTTACTATCATCAACTGCTGTTACAAAAAACAACATTTCACCAAAAACACTGCACTTATGCTTATTTTATTAAGGACGAATTCACCGGAACACATTGTAGAAACATTATAAACATAAAGCAGCTGGTGACATTTTCATATAACCTATAAACAAGCTTTCCTTTAAATTCGTGGACTTTATAACGTAGTTTGGTTCAGTGGCACTCCGTTAGCTGTGATGCTAATGAGCCGGCGAGCTTCAATCTGAACATTAACGGGGTTTTACCTGCTGCTGGAGCCGTTTCATCTCCCACCCACTCCGCTTCTTCTTTACTCTTCTTTGGCATGTTGGGAAGTTGTTTGGAATAAATACGGATTAACTTTAAAATTATTTTATTCAGAGAGATTTATCAGTCTGTCACACATGGACTGACGGCGGCCCTCAGCGCTGATAATGACGACATGCCGGCTGGCCAATTAGCGTCGAGCTTTTTCTTCTTCTTTTCTAAACAGTGATCGCAGATGCAGATATGCTACTGCCACCTGCTGGACCAAAACAAGGACACAAATAATCAATTTACCAGATAATGGTAGTTTGTTGGTTTGGATTGGTCTAATCAAACTCTGTAAGGTAAGCCATGAATCTAATTGACAGCAAAAATTGATAAACACCGGCAAAAGAGAGCAATTCCAAGTTTATTCGTGCTTAAGAGACACTTTTCAAAGACACTGATCATTTCTTTCCTACAGAGCCTTGCAGCCTTGTAAAACAAATGACGATCAACATACAGTATTTTAAAAGTTTTATAAAATTTATCATTTGTGATTGACCAAAGGATCTCTGATAGTAACATATTGTGATATGTTGTGTTGTGGTGCATATTGTACAGGACATTTACTAAATACTGTATTTTGTAGTGTATTCACATAGTGTACTATAGAGAGTTTTAGTACCGTATAGTTTGGTATAGTATGTTATATAGTATGGTATGGAGTAATATGGTTTCAAAACATATTGCATCATACTGTATAGTAATATATCATGTATTATCCTGTAGTATGGGTGTCAAACTCAACCACAGCAAGGGCCATAATCTGGATTTAGTTCTAACCTGAGGGTCGAACAGGGTCAACATTTAACCAAAACTGTCTACCTCCTTTTCAAAATAAATATGATTATATATAATATATATATAATAATAATATAATGATTATAAATCATTTGAAAATTCAGAGTTTAAAGGCAAACTGAGATAGAAAAAAATTATTTTATTTTTTATTTTATTTTTATTTATAGGTTAAAAGATCAGAACATGATTTTAAAAATAGAAAAATAATGCTTTTTAAGAGCAAATAGATGAGGAGAAAGTTGAAACCATGTTTAAAGGTCAAAATATGACTTAAAATATTAAACTGGAATCTAAAGTATAAAAATGACACAAGTCTAAATACTGAGTTGAAAAAAATCAGTGCATGAAATAAAGAATCAAATTATGTTTGACTTGTAATCTTGGGATTCAAAATTGAAAATCTGAAATAAAACACCAATAATTTTTCCCCCACTTTCTTGACTATTTATAAAATCATCCTAACTCTTTACTGTCCCAGATTTTTGTGTTTTTTTTAAGGATATTTTAAATATTGGTGCTAAAGTTTACATTATTATACTGGAGGAAATCTGCAGACTTCACACTGGTGGGCCAATAACAATACAAATATGATATGATCTCTTGGGCCAGATAAAATTGTTCTACGGGCCAGATTTGGCCCTTGGACCTTGAGTTTGACATCTGTGCTGTAGTATATCAGTGTATTACATTATAATGTACCACGATGTGCTGCATGGTTTCAGGCCTAGATATGATGAATATACCCACATGAACCATCAGCTGATAAATCTGAAAACCAGTGCAGGAGATTCCAGAATATTCCTCCAGCATGGGTCAGCATGTCTCTGTCAGGGGGCTGGGGCTTGTGTTGGTCTCTGGATGTGGCTTCTGCTGACTTCCTCCTTTCACCGCCTGTGGGACAAATAGACAGTTCTTTAAAATCCCATTACCTTGAAAGCATCACCAAGACCGTCAGTTGTGCAGTTCATGCAGGTTTGGTACATAACCTCAGTGGTGTTATTTCCCACAGTCCTGAACGCACCACAGTCCTGAACGCACCACAGTCTGCCGGGCAAGGACACACGGGCTGGAATGACATTTGTGTGAGTTAGCTAAGTACTGGTTAGAGCTGGTTATCCGCTCACAGTGAGGTTAACCAGCTGCTCAGTGATGAACAGGACCTGACCCGAGGAGCTCAACGGCCTCTCTGACTCAGCGGTGTCTTTTGTTTCAGGTAACTATACCTGCAGGGACGGTTTAACGTCAAGCCGGTGTTAGCTGCTATACAACTAGCCTAGCGTGCTAGCAGCTACCATTTATACACACGGCAGCAGCTAGCATGCTAATAGCTAAAGTCAGCGTTTAAGGAGAGTCGGTTCAGTGTTTGGACTAAACAAATCAATATTATTATGAATATTTTCAGTAAATTTCCACCTTAATAATGCTTAAATATCTGTCTTTAGAACCAATTGTGTTAATTAAATGAAGATAATAAGGCAGGAACATGGAGTCACAAATCTAGTTAATTGCTAACATGAAAATATCGCAGGTGTTAAAATGTATTTACATTAAAACTACATCACAGCAGAGAGACAACTTTAAAATTTCATAAATTTTGTTTTAAAGATGTTTGCAGCATAGAAAAAGAAACGTTATCTCTGAGGATTAAAACAAAAAATTAAAGTAAATTGTTGATTTTTGCACATTTATCATGTATTTGTCAGACAGTGCAGGAGTTTGTATTTCTGATGGTCCTCTAGCCCTCACCTGTCTGATCAAATAGGGTCAACATTATCAAATTAATTGATCAAATTAAAATCTTTTTTCATTTAAATACAAACAAAGCTGGAATCAATCTGCAGATGGAGCATTAACTGATCTACACAATCTTCGCACACCCATTGACTGTAACCCCCCACTAACTTTAAAAAATGGAGCTGCACAGAAAAATAAGAGGACTTTAGCACAAACCAGTCTAGCAATAACTACATGTCAACAATAACCAGAGGGGAGAAAATTTTATGACTTGTATTTAATTTTCAAAGTTTGTCCACAACTCCATTCGTTTCGCTGAAGGAGGCAGGGTTTATGACCTATACTGCAACCAGTCACCAGGGGGTGCTGTTCTCACTGAGGCTTCACTCAGACAGGATGCATATTACATCCATTCAATATACAGTCTGCAGGTTGGGCCTGTGCCACCCTTAAACGCCCCATGGACACAGCCCTGGTCTAATGAGATAAATAACAGCATTAATGTTTGAACAAAAAGTGTCTTAAACCTGAATTTATCTCAGTAGAATAGTGAATTATTAACAGCTTCTCTCTGCATGTATAGCTGACCTGATAGATAGAGGTCTGGCTGTAACACCCATTCTTTTACAGTGTTCGCACAGACACATGTTATCTATTCAGCTGTCAGATAAGATCAGTAATTTAGTGATGAAAACCCTGATTTTGAATGCATGTTGGATTCAGTGGAAACATGTTACAAACTCAGATATTGTGTAAAACATTATTTTAGCTAACCAAAGTTAATTTACCACATTTCATATTGATATCACTATATGGATCAGCAATGTTGCACACCCTGTTCCCCTTTCATGCAGGTTTAGAGTCAGGTCAACGCTGTAGTCAAGACAGGGCTAAAAATATAGATTTAATTTTGTTGGAGGAAAAAAGACTTATAATCGTGAATTATAAAAAACACAACATTTAATAGTGAATTCTATATGTGTTGATATAAAAACACTGAACTTGGCTGGATGAATTTCATGCAGAGCTCGCTGGAGGGAACACAAGAGGAGCTGGAAAATGTTGCTGGGTTGAGGGAGGTCTGGGTCAACTTGCTGAGACTGCTGCCCTTAAGAGCAGACCCTGAACCTGATCCTGAATGGACAGATGGAATTTCATGCATACTTATGATATTGTAGTGAATGTTAAAGAGAAAGAGAGAAACAGAACATATCGTAACATAGTTTTTTTTTTCCTGTTAAATAATGGAGCCCTGATGTATAATTAAAAATCTAAACTCTGATAGTAAACTGTCACCATCGCCTCCTGCTTTATGAGCAGGTCATTTATTCCTGACCATCAGTCCAGAGGAGGACGTATGCAGGACAGATTTTAAAGATGCAGCTGAGCAGACTGTATGACCCCTGTTTGCATCATATAAACCAATGAGGAGTATTTATTCATGTCATCTTTTACACGCTTGTCAGTCACTGTGTAAGTTTCTGTGTGTAAAATATGAGTGTTTGTTACAAAATGAGGACTTTAAAAGTTACTGCAGTTTGTTTTCACTTGTTAGATCAGTCGCTGTTATCAACCCCAAAGAATTTATATATGTGTTAGACCGTCTGTAGGTAGTCTGTATGTCAGTGTGTCTTATATATATAACACAGTCTAAGTGTGTGTGTGTTTGTGTGTGTATATATATATATATATATAACCGTGTGTGTCTGTGTGGCTGGTCAGCTGTCTCCATGCTGTCTGATTATGAGCGTGTGGTCGGCTGCAGGTCATGTGCTGCTGGCAGACAGACTCCCAGAAATCCTTTGGTGCTCAAGTTTCCTTCAACGACACTGAACATGATAATACTGGCAAGATGTTTATTCTCTGTTTGAAGCTGCACATTCACATCTCACACTAACCACTGATCACAGGTCGGTTTCTAATTCAGGACTTTAAAGGGTTATGAAAAAAGGTGGATGAATAGCTACTGTTTGAAGCTAAACCATGTCAGAAAGAACACACTCGATTAATGTGATTTCAGGTCTCATTTAGAGTCTAAGGTCTTTGGTTTCTAGCATCTTATCCCACAAAACTGCCACACCGAAGAGTTACTACACAGAGCTACCTTTCACCCGGTGTGGAAACGGGCGGGCATGTTGAAGTGAAACTCATCTTGTGATTGGATGAACCACATGTCCATGGCACCAATCACAGTTTCTATTTAACCAATCAGAACAATAAGCCATAAAATACAACAGGATTTCAACATGTATCTCTTTAGGAGTTGACATTAGCTGGTGCAGGTACATGAGTAACTGAGTATCAACACAACCCTTTATGGAGGATTTTCTTCATCTTGTGACCTTAAGAAGAGTATTAAATGACTGAAAACCCTCACAAATGTCCTTGTGTTCTCACCTCTGACTAAGCCCTGCCTCCTTCCTCTCTGTTGATCCAGGTGTGTCCAGGTCTGGCTGCTGTCTTTGAGGATTGTCCAGACTTCAGGTCCTGAGTTGTCGGTGTGTTACCTGCCGTGCCCTTCTGTGGATGATGCTCAGCTGGTGACTGGGGTCGCCTCTGCCCCTGAGCTGAATGGCTGTGAGCAGAGGTGGTGTAGCCTTCTGGGTGGGTTGTGTCAGACGAACACCCATCGGCAGACAGAGCTGGAGTCTGAGCCAGGTAACCACGTCTCCTCAGGTAACAGAGAGCACAAACATATACAGTAAAGTAAAAAAAAAATTCACAGAGTCTGTTTTATTTCCTGCAGTCAGCAGAATGGTGGTGGGCCTGTCAGTCCCGCCCCCTGAGCAGTGCATCATGGGCCCTTTCGCCTCCAAACAGCCTGAGGTACCAGAGGAATAAGCAGCCGCTACTGTCCCACCCCTTCCACCATGCCAGCCAGCCTCAGAGGGGCGGGTACTGGGAGGAGAGCTGGGAGGAGTCTCTCAGCGTTTGTGTCCTGGTGCAAAATGGCGAGTTTGATGGCACGCATGACCTGCTGGAGCTTCCTCTGTCCAATCGGAGCAAGCCAGGAGAGCTCCTGTCTGAGTTCTCCTTCCCCCTGACCACGGTGGATGGCCGTAGGGAGGACGACATCAGCGTGGACAGTTTCAAGAGAGAGGACGCCGTTAGCGTGGACTGTTTGAGAAACAGCGCTGATGCCTCAGCGAGAGAGCACGGATGTTTCAGAAGTCTGTTTGAAGCTGAGAGATGCCCTGCTCCCTTCATGTACGGATCCCACTTTTACTGTTTTCACTGTCCGGGTACAGAGTCGGGAAAAGAGCCAGGTTCAGGTACAGAAACGGGTACAGAGCCAAGACTTGGTAGCAGCTTGAAATCTAGACTGGATACTGGACTTTATGAGCCTGTGGAGGTGCCTCTGCTGCCTCCGACCTCTCTGTGCAGCTTTGCGGCGAAAGCAGAGGGGGAGGTGAACCTGCCTGGAGACCGGGAGGGAGAGGAGAAACTGGCCCTGATGTATGAGCGGCTGAGGATAGAGGTAAGGACACGACAGAGAGATACACAAGGCAGGGCCTGCTTTTGCAGACTCTAGGTACAATGAGCAGGTCTGCATTTGTTTGATAGGAGTAACAGTATTACAAGCTCTCTAAGATATAAAAAGGAACTACAGTAATCTAACTTTGAGCTGAAGAATGCATGCACTAGTTTTTCTTGGTTTGAAGACAGGATGTGTCTGATTTTTTAATATACAGAAAAAAAGACAGTTCTGGAAATTTGTTGGATGTGGGAGTTAAAGGATATCACAGTTTCTAAACAGTGGCACTGGATGCCAGACTGATTTCGTCTACTGCAGTTATATCATTAGAAAATGTCTCTCTAAGGAGTTTGGGTCCAGGAACAGTAACTTTGGTTCAAGTAAAATTCATCTGTTGGTTTCTCTTGGCTTCAGTGAAAGGTTTAACTGAGTGTCATCTGCATAGCAGTGAAATTTGAGGAATGTTACCTGAAGGAAGGCCTATATAAAGGTGAAAAGAACTGGTCCTAGCACTGAACCCTGCAGAACCCCATAAATGACCTTGGTATGCACTAAAGAATTTTCATGAACATGAACAAACTGATAAAAATCTGACAAGTCTGATTTAAACTAAACTAAAGCAGTTCATTTAAATTCTATTTGTAGTTCAAGATCTGATGATGGTCAATCGAATCAAAGCAGCATCACAATCTAACAAAACAAGTACAGAGAGAAGACCACCGCCTGTGACAATCAGTAGGTCATTATTCCCCCTCAGTGGACTCTAAATTTTGACTTCTACCTAACTGCAGCTCCTAAACAGTTTTACTGGATGAAATCTTCTTCTGAAATACCGTTTTTGCAGTTAGAAAATGTCTCTTAAAGATGTTTGGGACCAGGAACAGTAACATCAATCTGACTGAGTCCAGCTGTGAAAAACATCTGGACCCTGTTTGCTGTAATGATGCAGTTACTCTGCAGTGAGCTCTACTGTTTGTTTTCAGCTCCCTGGTTTCTTCATGAAGACCCATGACTACAGCATGTACTCCAAAGACCTGGAATTCGTCAATGGCTTCCTCAATACCAAGACCAGGTGAGGTATACCCACACACAACTTTTTTGTAAAACATCTACAACGGAGGATCACAAAGTGTTAAAATCATGTTAATTCGTCTCTCTCTTCTTCGATCTCAGAGGTCTGGTGATGTACCAGCTGACCCTCTCGCTGTGGCGCGTCCTGTGTATGTGTTACTATACCAACGCTCAACTGGAGGTGCTGAAGCTGACCAAACACCCGGAGGACAAGACTATCAAGGCCCGCTGGAGGATCAGAGGACTCCCCTTCCACACCCTGCTGCTGCGCTTCTACCGTAAAGACAAGTCTCACCTGTACAGGTACCTGTCCTGTCCGAGTAGACTAATGACTCAGTCCTCATTGTCTCATCTGTGTTTTATGCACAGCGGTTTATTGAGCGCGTTGTAATCCACCTATGTGATGTGTTGCAGGTCATTTGATGCATTCTCCACCTTCTACATCGGACAGGATGGACTCATTCACTGTCACAAAGTGGAAAAGGTGAGAAGATGTCTGTTCTTACCTTCCTGTACCTGCTGATCCTCTTGTGGTGTCTGCAGGGATATATTCAGAGACAAAGACGCTCACAGACTGTGTAGCTCCTCCTTATTTGGTTTCCTAAAGCCTCAAGTTTCCTTATTTGGACAAAAGGGTGGAGCTGGGGAGGAGCCGGGGAAACCCTTGCTTCCTTCAGCTCCCCTTTCTTGTCCAGGTGTGGTCCACTCTTCTCCAGCTCCACCTTCTTGACTGATAGACAACAAAGTTTGAGAAGGAAGTGAGTTAGGAAGAACGTCTGAATCTCCGACATGTGCTTCAGCAGTTACCTCAGGAGAGGCTCTTCCATTCTCTTTAACCCCTCCCTCCTCCTCTCTAGATGATGCCGGCTTCGCCCCCTGTCCTCCCCCGGATTGGCTCTCTCCTGGCGGGGGCTCTGGTGGCTTTGGGGGTCCAGGAACATCGGCCAGCTCTGAACCTGCTGCCTCTCCTGCTGTCCTCCCTGAAACAGAGCCGAGATTAACCTCAGGCCTGGTAACGACCTTAGGTCCAGCAGCAGACATATTTGTTACCATGGGAACAGGCTAACAGGAAGCTAACACAAAGATGACAGAGCGCCTCCTGTCTGAGAACATGGAGTATTCCATCTAATAAAGAGTCAGTTCACCAGGAGTTAACAGTTAAATGTTAGTGTGGATTAGCCCCAGGTCAGAGGTCAGCTGTTTGTTTCAGAGTCTGTCAGTCCATCAGGAGGTTCACTATAAATGTAAAGATGATGTCCTGTAATGAAGAAACGAGGTCATGTGTTTAAATATTCTCCCCCTACAGGTCTGGCAGGTCCTGCTTTGTCCTGCGGCAAACTCTGGATCACTGAGTAAAAATCTGCAGACACACTGAGAAGACATCCAGACAAAAACTCTTTACTCCTTCATCACAGCATGAGACCTGAACTGATGATCATCTTCATCGTCCTCACTGTTTCTCTGTTTGGGATGGATAACTCTGAAGTTGGATTTAATAAACATCAACCACCTCACTCTTGGACGTTTGACCTCCACCCCTCAGCTCCTGTTGCCACCGACACGGTGATCAAATGGAAGAGATTAAATAACATTTAATTGCAAACAGGTAGAGAGGACAGAATATTAGAGACAGACTCCGAGGTTTGAAGACCACAATGGAGATACTTTGAGTGTTTCGGCCTTTGTGTTATTTTAAAAGGAAATGATCTGAGGAGCTATCATGGAGCTTAATTCAGTCGAGCTGCACAGAAATCACAGAAACACCCTCAAAGTCCATCTAAACTCCATGTGAGACCACATTAGACCCACTGAGCCCAAAGGAGGACGCTGTCTCAGTAAAACAGATTTACTGAGACCATCTGAGAGGACAGAATTGTTCCACAATCAGTCGTAGAGTGAACCCATTAACACAAGAGTCTAATAAATGTTATTCTAGAAATATCAGCATTTGTTCGCAAAAAGTCAGGACTTGATTCTTGATCTGATTTAAACCCATACTTACACTCCGTCATGCTGTCTGAGGGTCAGACTTGTTCCTGTATTTGTGGTCATTGAAAAGAAGAAAAAAACAACACAGCAATTCGGAGACTGGCAGATTGAAAAACCTCAAAAACCATCAGTCTTTAAAACACAAAAATCCCATCATAAAAAAAGACAGTACATAAATACTCCCCTCATAACCCTGCAGGTTTCTGCCCATGTGTGAATAAGAGTCCTCAGCTGGACCGCAGAAACCATCAGGTGTTCAACAAAAGCTTGAACTGTAAAAACACCCAGTGCAGGTGTGAACCAATCAGCTGTCAGAATGAACATTTGTCAGTGTGATGATCCTCAGACTGTCCCTGACCCCTGACCTGATGTAAACCTGTCTGTCTCTCAGCTGTTTATAAAGCTCTTTATGTTTGAATATTTAAGGCTGTGATGTACATACAGACACTGAGCGGTTAACTGAGGATGAACCTGCCCTCAGAGCTTCACCTGCAGTAACTCGCCTGTGTGACACCTGAACGTGTGCAGAAATAAAGTTATTAACCATCAGTGTGTGTGTGTGTCTATATTCTATATTCAATATAACATACAGTGGATATAAAAAGTCTACACACCCCTGTTCAGCTGCCAGGTTTTAGTGATGTAAGAAAATGACAGCAAGATAAATAATTTCACAACTTTTTCCACCTTAAATGTGACCTATAACCTGTACAACACAATTGAAAAACAAACTGAAACCTTTCAGGGGAAAAATAAAAAATAGAAAAGTTAAAATAACCTGGTTGCATAAATATGCACACCCTTAAACTAATACTTTGTTGCAGCACCTTTGGCTTTTATTACAGCACTCAGTCTTTTTGGGTAGGAGTCTATCAGCATGGCACATCTTGATATTTGCCCACTCTTCTTTGCAAAACCGCTCCAAATCTGACCGATTGCGAGGGCATCTCCTGTACACAGCCCTCTTCAGATCACCCCACAAATGTTCGATGGGATTCAGGTCTGGACTCTGACTGGGCCATTCCAAAGGCTCAATCTTATTCCGGTGAGGCCATTCTTTTGTTGATTTAGATGTGTGCTTTGGGTCATTGTCGTGCTGAAAGATGAAGTTCATCTTCAGCTTTCTAGCAGAAGGCCGAAGGTTTTGTGCCAACACTGACTGGTATTTGGAACTGTTCATAATTCCCTCCACCCTGACAAAGGCACCAGTTCCAGCTGAAGAAAAACAGCCCCAAAGCATGATGCTGCCACGACAGTGCTTCACTGTGGGTATGGTGTTCTTTTGATGATGAGCAGTGTTGATTTGTGCCAAATATACCTTTTGCAATTATGTCCAAAAAGTTCAACTTTGGTTTTATCAGAACATAACATATTTTCCCACGTGTTTGGGAGATTTCAGATGTCTTTTTGCAAAATTAAGCCGGGCTTTAATGTTTTTCTTTTTAAGATAAGACTTCCGTCTCGCCAACCTACCCCATAGCCCAGACATGAAGACAGAGGGAGATTGTTGTCACATGTTCTACACAGCCAGTACTTGCCAGAAATTCCTGCAGCTCCTTCAGTGTTGCTGTCGGCCTCTTGGTAGCCTCCCTGACCAGTTTTCTACTTGTCTTATCAATTTTGGACGGATGTCCTGTTCTTGGTAATGTCACTGTTGTGCCATATTTTCTCCACTTGATGACGGTCTTCACTGTATTCCATGGTATATTTAATTCTTTGGAAATTCTTTTGTAGCTCTCACCTGACTGATATCTTTGAATAATGAGATCCCTCTGATGCTTTGGAAGCTCTCTGCAGACCATGGCTTGTGCTGGAAGGTGTGGCTACAAAAATGTCAGGAAAAGCCTACTTTTTGGGGTTAATCAGAGGCACTTTAATTGGTGACAGGTGTGTGTCGACTCCAATCTAACCTGAGTTTGAATGTTATTGGTTAAATCTGAACGCAGCCACATCCCCACTTATTAAAGGCTGTGCACACTTATGCAACCATATGATCTCAGTTGTTTATTTTTACTTCACCTTCCTGAAAGATTACTGTTTGTTTTTCAGTTGTGTTGTACAGGTTATAGGTCACATTAAAGGTGGAAGAAGTTGTGAAATTATTTATCTTGATTTAATTTTTTACAAAAACCTGGCAGTTGTACAGGGGTGTGTAGACTTTTTATATCCACTGTATCCCTTACGAGACACTGAACCACATGTTGCGCACCACTGTGTGACCTGAACCAAAGCCTGTCTGATAACAAAGCAGCTTTAAAGTTTATTTCAGTGATCAGCTGATCAAGACAGACTCCACACAGGTACACTCACCTGAGTAGCTGTCATTTATTAAAGTACAGTATTATTATCAATAATATTATTATACTGATATTGACAGTACTATCATATACATGTATGTATTAATACACTGACATATGAAGTATTATATACACACATTAGAGAAGTTTATCCTGATCAGTCAAACTGTTCAAATACTCAAACCTCTAAAATACAAGAAATGTGAACTCATCTGATTTCTTAAAAAAAATAAATAAGTAAACTTTGGTCACATGACTGACACTAACAGAGACATCATTCCTGTTCCCTATGTACAGTCACCTTTTATACAGGTACATCTAAGATGAAAACATACCTTCAGAAAATACAGAGACTGAATCTGGAGGATCAGCTCTGGAAACCAACTCACAGCTTTACAGAGTAAAACTACACAGAAAATCATCTACAGCTAAAAATAAATTCATCTATCTTAAGAGTCAGGGATGGATGTCAGATTCATCCTGTCATATGTACAGTGTGAGGGTGAAATACTGTAAAATGCCGAGTCCAGACTTGGAGATGAACTTGCTGACATGTTTTCTGACGTTCAGGGATTTAAAGGTTGAAACACTTTCAGAGTTCAGATTTTAGTTTCTGATTTAATCGTGTTTTTTTCCTCCTAATTGTAATTTTTTTTTATTGTGATGCCACAGCTTTGTTACTGGATCACTGTCTTCTGGTCAATTTTAAGTTCATCTCAAAAGTCTGTTGGGAAGTCAGGTTTTTACCTTCAGTCCAGTCAGAGCTTCAGTTTTTATAAAACCATGACTCTGAACTTTAACCTCCTTCCTGATTTTTATAGAGATTTTTACTCTTCTGACGTTAATCGTCGGAGTTTGTGGGTTAGCAGCAGTTTAAAATCTCAGAGTTTTGATGTTTTAAATCTACAGAGATGAGCTAGAGCTTCACTATCAATGAAGACAGGGGGGCCTTATCCTCTGAGGGTTCTGGATCTGAGACACTCAGACTCCCTCAGACCTGCTGAGGACCAGATCTCAGACTAAATCATCCGGATTATTTCCTCTCTCGGTTTCCTGACCCCCGCATCCTCAGAAAGTCCAAGTGCAGAGGCTCATCCAGGTCCAGGATCCAGAGGGGTCCATAGTCCACAGGTCTGAGAGAACCACAGACGAAGGAGGAGGAAGAATGACTGAATGAAGCTCCTCTATCTCAGGGTTATTATGGGATGTTTCAGGTCAGTTTCCAGTTAGCATGTGAAGATGTCTGGACCTGGTTCTCTGTCAATCAGGACACTGGATCAGGACTATGGATCAGGGTTCAGGGAGTCCTCCAGAGAGAAAGCTCGGTGTGTGTTTGGGAACCTCTGGGAACTGAAGTCTGGATCATCCTTCACTCTCTCACTGATGTCACTCTTTACCTGTGGGGGGAGAAAGAGGGAGAGATTCAGAGGGGGAGATAAGGGGAGAGCCCACTTTTCTGACCACTAGAGGGAGCTGTTTGGTTAACGTGTGCAGAGGGTATTTAAGGTGACATCACTCAGAGCTCTCCTGTATTAGATGAGCATCTCTGCATGTTACCTGTCTGGTGTACTCTTCCTGGATCTCTGGCCTCTCCAACTCCCCCTGCAGGCTGAGTGGCGGTGTGACAGGAAGGACGCCAGCAGCTCTAGCAGCTCGACTCACAGCCTCTGACAGAGACAGCTGAGGACCCTCGCTCTGACTCGTCTGTTGACATTGATATAAAGTCATTGATGCAGCATTGATGTAGCACAGAGAGCTTTTAAACCATAGAACCACATTTTGAGTCGAGCTGTTTCACACTAAAGAAGATAATGATCATGTTGGGATATCGCTCCTTTCTTAGACATAACACAACATTGACAGACACTGAGACAAAGAGGACAACCCTGTCTTTAAATCAAGCGTTTCTGTGGACTAAAGTCACATTCTGCTTAACCTGCATGTGACACACAGAGGCAGACTCTACACAGACATCAGAGTCTGTTTGTGAGTTTACACGAGGAGCTGCATTAAAGTGACAGAGCCACTGCACATCAGTATATTTCATCGTGTGTGGGTGAATGTGTGTTCTCACCTTCCTTCTCTTGGCTGGCATGCCATGCAGGTATGCGTCAGAGAGGGGGGGCTGAGCTTTAATCTTCCTCTGAGAGAGCATGTCATGTCTGATGATTGGAACCCACTCCTGAAACATACATAAATACACACACACACACACACACACACACAGATCAGTAACACTTAGACATGTGTCTTTTATTCTTTAATATTGATTAAGTGTATAACAGTTAGATTATCCCGTGTGCTTTTGTGTGTTTGTCTTACAGGTGGGACAGCTGCTGCCCATGTCTCAACCTCCTCTGGGGCCTCCCCCTCCTCCCCCTGAACTGGGTGGTCTGCAGGAAGCTGAGGGTCTCCTGATGGAGCCACTCCCCTTTCTCCTCCCCCCTCCTCTCCCTCTGTAGGGGCTGCAGCCAGAGACACACTCCCCTCCATCTGTATGGAGAAAGAGGGGTGAAGAGGAGTCTAATAACTCACAGCTTGGATGAGTACTTTTAGACGGACTCAAGACTGAGAGGCTGATTCAAAGGTCAAAAGTCAGACTCACCTCCATGTTCAGACTGTGTGAGGAGGGGTCAGCCTCTCCCCCAGTCCTCTGACTCACCTGGAAGCACACAGTACAGGTGAGTCTGGTTACTAGAGGTCCAACATTGATACCTTTTTTCATTCAGTTCATCAGATCAGAGTTTGACCTGTTTCTAACACTGTTAAAGCTCGCTGACCAACCAGAAATCAGGACAGAGTTTATCATTTAACACTTTTACTAAACGATAATAACACATCTATTAATATCTATTAACATCTATTAATGTCAACATCTACTCTAATCTATTAACATCTACTAAGGTTCATTAACTTACTAACATCTATTAACATTTATTATCACCCACTAACATCTAATAACATCTTTTAGCATCTACTCACATCTACTGACATCTATTATCATCTATTACAGTCTGTTAACATCGACTAACATCTTAACATCTCTCAATACCTGTTGTAACACTGTCACACACTGTATAACCCCGTGTGTTTGTGTTTATGATCACCTGTGTGTGTATGACATAGTGCTGGATCTGGTCCTCAGTAACTGGGTTGTGATCCAGGATCACATGGAGCCTCATGGACATCATACTGGTGAGCCAGTTCACCAGACTGGGATTCACCTCTGCAGACATTCTCCTCTACAGACACACAGACATGAACACACAGTCGGTCACAGTTAGGATGTTTCAGTCTCATCTCGCTGTGTTTTATCTCTAAAATGAAACTGTTGAACTATTAGCTCACACAGTCTCTCACAGAGGGGTGAACCTCTTCCCATCTTTCCTTCACAGAGACTCAGCTTCTCTAAATGTCCTTTTATATCCAGTCATGTTACTAACCTGTTGGAACTTACAGTATGGTACAGTATGTATATTTGTAGATGTGTGTTACGATGTATATTTTTACATAAAGGGTGGTTTATACATACGATCCTGTGGTTGATGACAGCGGTCAGTGCTCTCTGCTCGCCTCTCAGACAGTACAGGTTCAAAGCCAAACACTCAAACAGACCCTGAGTACACAGCAGCAGCAGGCGAGGACCAAATGACTGATCTGAGGGAAAACACACACACACATACAAAAGATGTCATGTTGTCATTCTCAGTGGGCGGAGTTTCTCTGCTTTGGCTTCAGTTATCTGGATTGTGTTTCCTGTTGCTGTTTTTGTGTACATGTTGTGGTGATGTTTACAAAGTGGAGGAAAGTGTGATGTGAGACTTACGCCCCTCCCTCTACCTGTGCTCACCTGAGCAGTGCAGGATGTGAGAGGCCATCTGAGTGAACTTCAGCCTGAGGAAGGATAGGTTAGTCTGAACGATGTCCACCCCGTCTCTGACTGAAACAGAGGCCTAAACACACACAAATCAGGGTGATTAAGATTAAATACACACACACACACACACAGCTGGATTCAGTGTGTTAACTGGTCAGGGGAGGTCCTTACAAAGCTGTCAGTGATGTACTCCTCCAGCCCGTTGATGAGCTCCTCAGCTGCTGCCTGATCGGAAACAAAGACAGACTTTAGTACGAGCCTATCATGAACAAAGCAGGGTCACACACACACACACACACACACACAGACAACAACAGCTGCTTCACACACACTCCTCACATCTTTATTGTGTGTGTATGTGTGCACTTGTGTGTGTGAGACATACCGAGATGTTGGCCTCTGTGGGCTCTCGGCCCTGCAGGTAGTGCTCGGTAAAGAAGTCTCTGAGCTGGGGCTGGATGCGGCTCAGAGGCTGAGCGTTCCCGTGAAGCAGCAGAACCATGTCCATCATCGAGAAACTCTGACACACCAGAGACAGCAGGTCCCCAAAGAACCCTGCGGAACCAGAACCAGAACCAGAGCAGGAGAACATCAGCAAAACCAGAACCAGACCAATCACTCTGGTTTACTGTTCATCTGTCTGTGGAGAGTCTCAGTTTCTCTGTAAATAGTCTCTCAGGCTTCACTCTGGCTTCCTTCAGCAGTATGAACCTTAAAACAGAAACTGATGTTCTTGTGATGTTCTCCTCATTGACAGGGTTACTCCAACATACCTTTATCTTACAGGTTGACATACTGAACACCTTTAGGACTGATAAATAACATTTTAACCTCAGATTTGTTTGTTAAAAAGCATAAAAGATGTCTATGGTATTAAGATGCTTTGACCCTAGGGGCTCTATTTTCGTTCGTGCCGGTGAGGCGGCGGAGGGCGGCGAGCCCCGCGCAGTTGTATTTTCGTCTGGCGGAGCCCAGCGTAAGGCCAATTTGGTATTTTCGTGGCATGAGCCGCACGGAGGCGAGCCGAGATCCGCCAAGCTGGGCGTGGTGGTGTGGCAGGGGGAGGTGTCGACAGAATCAGCAGGCGCAGTGACATTTTCGTGCTCGCCACCGGCGTGTAAAGTGCGCTGAAAGCTCGCCGATTCAAACCTGGTCAGCTTTCAGCGCAAGGCGGAACGCAGCTGGTCCAGTAGTATTTTGGTGAACCGGCGGCGTATCGACATACGTCACTGATGCCTCACCGGCAGGTTTCCACAGTGTCAGGCACATTTCAGTGCAATAAGTAATCATCATCAACTATTAATCTGAGTCAGCACATATATTTGGATCTATATCGATATATTCTGATCTATATCTGATCTGATGAGCGCATTTGGCACGCGTTTGGACACACAACCTGACCGAATCAACACAGCTGAAACCGCATCAAATTAAATTAAATATCTAGTAAATAAACACACATGATGAAGTTAACAAGATATGTAATTCGTCTCCCTCCTTTTCTTTCTTCCTCTTCCTCTTATTTCTCGCACAGCTCAACCTGGACACGTCTCCGTGTCCTCTGTCCGTCTTGCTGCTGCTGCGGCTGAACAGATGATTTGTTTCAGTGCTCAGATGCGTTATCTACTTTAAGCCGACATACGGATATTATAATATTCAGTTTTGTGGGCCAAATTTATTTTATATGCCAACATCTATGAAAGAAAGAGCCAGGCCACGGAGCGCGATGCGTCATTTACGCACAGATGGTTCCGATTTTTATGCCATTTTTGGAGTTTATGTTGTGATCTGTGCGCTCAACCGACCTTTGTCACGTGAGGTTTGAATATGAGCAACTTTATGTGAGTGTCTTTATTTGTGGAAAAGGGTGTTTGTCTTACCAGTGGGTCCAACATTACGCACACTAAATCCATCTGTGCTCATATGAGAGAGTGTGGAGGACACTTGTTGAGGAGCTGCCCTCTGTCGCCATCTTGTGGCATTACTGTCTTAAGACATCTCTTGATCTCTTTGACTACTTCATGAAAATAGTAATACGCCTCGCCTGTGGCGGATTTAAAGGCAAGGAAAGGAGCCTATGTGATTGGTGAAAACAGGTCTCGGCTGTGTTAAACCCCTATACGCACTCTCTCCTCCCCTTCTATCATTTATGCTGCCGGGAGGAGCTGAGTTAGGGAGGGGGGATACTTACGCCGGGCTGCGCGGCTCACCAAAATACCAAAATGTGCTTGGGAACGCCTTGTCAGCGCGGCGGATCTGATTGACGCTGCGCTTGCGGCAGATCTCCGGCGATGGTATTAAGATGCTTTGACCCTAGGAGGTCAGTTGATCGGTGAGAGAAACAGAAACAATAACCAGATATAACTTTTATTTAATCGGAGGTACAGAGAGGAAATTATCTCCAGACTCACCCACAGCATCCCCCGAGCCTGGGGTGAACAGGCTGTTGGTCTGTGACAGTCTCTGGATGAACTGGGCGATGCTCTCCCCACGCCCCTGCTGGGCTCCCAGGGAGCTCATCATGGTGGACAGGACGCCCTGCACGATGCCAGTGAACAGCTCCGGGCTAAGAGAGTCCCCGCCACTGCCAGGCTGAGGAGGGGCGGGGCTAACAGGCTGAGGAGGAGGTGGGGCTCCAGGAGTGCTAGTAGGAGGCTGATAGGAAATACGAAGTTAACCTTATTTTCATCAGACCATTAATCAGAGAGTCTGACTCCTCCCACCTCCAACCTGTCCCCACCTGGACTCACCTGGCTGTAGTCTGCCATGCCCTGGAAGAAGCCCAGCCCCCCCGGTAGAGTCACAGTAATGGAGGGGGCGGGGCTTGACCCAGGGACCCCTCCCCCTCCTGCTGCCCCCCCCAGCAATGAGCCCAGGAACTGGACCAGGTTTCCCTCTGCAGCTCCCTCTGCTGGCTGCATGGTGGAAGTGGAGGTGGTGTGGGTAGTGGTCTGAGCTGAGGTAGCAGAAGGCGGAGGAGAGGTGGTCGAGGAGTCAGATGAAGAGGAGGAGGTCATGTGATCTCCTGCAGGAGACAAGATTTGAAAAAGATCTTTATACCATCCATCCATCAGGTGTAGACCTGTCCTTACTCAGTCTTACATTGAACACTTACCTGTGTGACCTGGAGTGAGCAGCTGTCCCACCAGACCACTGATCATCTGAGTGAGGGAGGAGGGAGGAAGAGGAGGAGCCTGATGAAGAGGAAGACAACATTAACAACAAGCTAACACTGACTTTCACCATCAGGATACTGATCTTGTGTGAAGGCAAGCAGAGGAAACAAGGCGTCTGGTCTTAACAACGTGAATTCACCTCGGGATTCAGAAAGTTTGGAATTAAAAGGAAATAAACTTTCTGTAAAAATCAGAGTAGGTGAAAGGAAATGTGAGTGTGAAACTGATAACATTTCAACAAACTAAGGCAAGAGGGAACAAAATCCTAATTTTATTTTTCATAATCAATTTAATAATTTTGAATCAGTTTGAAAACACAAACAGTGTGTTTCTCTCTTACCTGTCCAGCAGGGGGCCCTGCGGCCCTCAAGTTGATGGTGGTTCCTCTGCTTCCTGTGGGAGGGGGAACGCGAGGGGGAAAGGAGGGTCTGGTGATTACCACCCTGGCCTGAGTCGGGTGGGGGGGCTGTTGGGAGGTGGTCCCTTCAGCTCCTGATCCAGGTGTGATGTGAGAAGGAGGTCCACCTGAAGCTGCAGCAGCCATGACAGCCGCCTGCTGGGATATCTGATGGACGATGGCCTGCATGAACTCAGGGGGGAGACCTGAGGGGGGAGAGGTGTCACTGATGAGGGGTGTCTTTAATAAAAACACCTGTCTGATAATTATGGAGTGTATCATTGTTAACCAGAGGGACTCACCTGTCTGGGGTGTTCCTGCAGCAGCAGTCTGACCTGCAGCCTGAGAGTCAGCAGCTGAATCACCTGTTAAAACACAGAGAGCAGACATGTAGATACAGAGACTTAGACTCACCTTCACCTTAGACCTTATTGTTTATGTCCCTCTGTTTCTTACTGTACTGATGAATTTTCTAACCCCCTGTGATAAACTGTCAATACATGGTCTATATTCCTTTAATGAGTTCTGGTGTTGACTCCACAGCAAGGCCCTTGATCTAAGCCGGGTCTAGTCCCATGTGAGTGAATAAAGGCTTAACTCAAGTCATGTAGAAGTGAATTATTGTGCACATACTGGCACAATGGCTCACTTAAATATCTGTAAACCACACCGGTCCACAGAGACATCATTTGCTCTGCGGTACAGATTCAAAAAATATCTCATTGACTTATCTGTAAACACAAAAGGGATTTAATGTAAAAATCTGCCTATAGCACAGGCCTGGTACCCTCAGCAGTAAAAGAAGGCTCCGGTCTGTTCGGTTTGAGGATTTACAGCATATCTTCCTTCATACCATCGATGTTCATCTGCATCATGACCACGGGCTCCATAGTCTGATGGGTGATCCGGATCACCCTGGGTCCACCCGCTCCTCCCTGATGATTGGTCCCATTAGAAGGAGGAGGCGGGACCTGGCCTGAAGCTTGCTGAACTGATTGGCCTGCAGTCTCAGGAGGCAGTCCTTCAGCTGTCTGTCTCCCATTGGACGTCATAGTGACGGTTGTCCCCAGGTTAATCTGCTGCAGACAGAGACAGGTGATCAATAATGAAGCACTTGATCCAGCTTCACTTTTAAAGTTCAAGTTTTATCTTTTGTGTAATAGTTGAGATAATCTTTAAAAAGTAAAAGCTTAACTCCAGCACTCTGAGGTAACTTTTACATCAAATTAACACTACTGCAGATTAGTTACAGAATCTTTCCTTAAGAGTTAACCCCATTAAATCTGTATTTTCATTTAATTTTTATTATTAAGTAACACAAAACATTAGTGATAATTATTATTTAACTCTGACCTGACGGTGAGTTCACAGTTAAACCCTGTAATATGAATAATAACCATCTCCCTCTTAGATTTTAATCCAGCTCTGGACCTACTGGTAGAGGAATGTGAGGCAGACCAGCCTGGACCAGGACTGGGTGGGACAGGTGGGTGATAGGTCGGACCACATACAGGTGACGAGGAGGCGGAGCAGCAAGGTTACAGCGCAAGTCTCCCAAGACGACCAAGGTGTTACCAAGGAGACGGAGGATATCACCAACAAGATTCAGGATGCGCTGATCCTCTTCCCTCTCCTCTGTCTAAACAGGAAGACACAAAGAAACATGTGAGGACACACCGACACATCCTGTTATCTGAGGAGCTGAAGTTTGAAATCATTCTATAAGTGGAGTGTCTGTGATTGACAGATGGACAGTGTGTGTGTGTGTGTGTGTGTGTGTGTGTGTGTGTGTGTGTTTACATTGTTGTTGTAGTCTGCAGACGTTGCTGCTCCCAGGATGGAGTGTGTTCTCTCTATGAACGGTCGCAGCCTCTCCTCCACCCTCCTCACCTCTGACAGCACCTCCACAAACTCAGCAGGACTGGGATGGCTGAAGACACACAGACAATTTATCCAGAATGTGCCATCAGTGCAGTGTGCTGCAGACAGCTGACTAATCAAATAAATATTCAGACAAGATCGATGTTGTTTATTTCTTTTTTTTTTTTGTGCAGAATCGTCTGATGTGAAAAATGTCTCTGAGTCAGCGTGACAACAACAACAACAATTTCAAAACAGACTCAATGATTCTGGAAATGATGTCCTGAACTGAATGCCGGTTCTGAGGGATCTGTATCCGACTCACTTTGAGCTGCTGGCTGATCCCTCAGTCTGGGTAGAGGTGGAGGAGGACAGAGCAGAGCTGGACTCCATGGACTGTGAGGCTGCAGCTCCGCCATCAGAGGAGGAGGAGGAGGAGGAGGGAGGGGGAGGAGGCGGGGAAGAAGAGGAGGGAAGGGCCTGTGAATCACTGGATACTCCCTGAGACACAGAAACACATAATAACACATTTATGTTCATCATCAGTGTTACATCAAATTAATTCAGCTCTCAGCCTCAAAGAACACTTCCTCTTTATCTCAAAGCATGATGGGAAATGTAGTGCTATATCGAAACTCTGGGGCTGTTATACACTGAGAGACAGTCTGTTTCAGGTGGGTTATGCAGGTAAAATCAAGTCGAAATCGATCGATACTATCAGGAATTTTACCTCCAGTCTGTGGATAAGAGAGCAGGCGTCTCTCAGCAGGTTCTCAGCCAGCTGCAGCCTCATCCTGGACTCACTCTGAACAGCAGGATCCACATTAATCTGGACGTCAACAGAGCTGTTACCCTGCACGCACACACACAGACACACACACACATATGCATGCCTGTAATATTGTTTTCTCTTTGTCGTCACATATGAATCTCAGCGCGGAGCAGGATGAAAATATGAGACACAAAATCAGCTCAGACCCAGGAGACAGTCTAGAGCAGGTGATCGACAAAAGTCCTAACTAACCCGCTACTGAATTGAACAATCAATAAATAAACCAATAGGCTATATGAATAAATGAATCTGATTAATTCAAGAGATGCAGTGTGAACTAAGAGCTGTTACCCCCATGCTGCTGCTTACTCTGCTGCTCCTCCCTGCCTCACCCACTCCAGACATCATCTGCTGCACCGACATCTGAAACACACAAACAAACACACTAACTTATGCTGTTACAATGAACCAACCTGACCCCCCTCACACAAATACACATACCCTCCCTCACCTGTATCTGCTGGGGGTCCATGATGTTGACAGGCAGGTTGAATGTCCCCAACATCACGTAGCTGTTGCCGTTGCGGTCATGAGGTGAGTGCTGGGAAGAGGTGGAGGTGTGACTGCTGCTGCTAACTCCACCCTCTTCCCCCCCAGAGGACACACCTGCCCCACCTGAGCCGTTCATGGAGGCCTGAGGGGGGGCTCGCTCCACCAGGTGGATGACCTTCCCGTCCACATCTAAGGAGACACAGAGAGGGGACAGGAAGTGATGTTTTTAGAGAGACCGACTGTCCTGTTGATCTCGTTTCAAAATCCTGAATCACTTTTTAGTCTGAAGTTGTCACAGGTTAGATCTATAATATATGGACTTGTGCAACAGAGAGACAGAAAGAGACAGAGAGTGTGTGTGTGTGTGTGTGTGTGTGTGTGTGTGTGTGTGTGTGTGTGTGTGTTCCACTGACTGTATTCGGTGAGTGTGCGTTCATCCTGCAGCACTCGGCCCTGATAGATGAGTCTTTGTTTGTCCACAGGAATCTCCACTGAGGTCTCGATGTGCCCCTTGAACTGCCTCACTGTCAGCTGAGGACACACACCCCACACATGCACGCATGCGCACACACACACGCACTCAGGTTAGCAGGGGCGTGTCCATATGTAGAGGGGGGGTGGAAATGATCAGGTCCCATCTGTAAAGATCAGACCTAGAAATATTTGTAATGATCAGGGTTAAAGACAAAGTTAAAGACACTCATATAAGGATCCATAAGAATGTCTGAACTGAACTCTAGTGACCCCTACAGGTGGAAGGAAATATTAATCAATGTGTTTATATGATAGTATATGATGGTTTCACTGGTCTGCAGTCAAAATGACTTAAGTGTGTCCTCTGCTGCAGTCAGTGGTTAAATGCCACCTTCAGGTCATTACAATTGTACCATCTTCCTGTTGACCTTCCACATCACAAACCAAAACAATCAACAAACCAGCCAGCAAGAGGCTCAGTGGTTTTAGATCAAACAGAGAGAACATGGAGAACTGTCAAGGGGTCTTTCACACAGGCTTTCTGCTTTACTTTGGTACAGATGAGGTCCATGTTGTCTACCTGGCCTCCTCTTCTATGATTGGATGCTACTCAACTTCCAGGTTAAAGAACAAACTCCAGAGCATGGGCAGAACACCAGGGCCAGTTTTCCTGCATTTACACCAGATGATCTGGTTCACTATGGTGTGCAATTATTAAGTTTAATTTTTAATGTCGTGTAAACACACTGAGGGTCTGATTCACTGTTAGAGCCACAGAAACAAAAACAGAATCATGTTTAGTCCCAACCCTTCAGTCATTAGTCGGGAGGATTATCAGACAGCCAATCAATTACAGAAGGGGCCCTCTGGACATAACCCTGGTCACCCGGCAGGTGAATCATTTAGTCAATCTTTATATGTAAAGCACCGGTTCTGTAAAAACTGAGCTGGTGTAAATCGAGGTGGATTCAGCTTCAGGTACCTCTCCTGAGACTCTGAAGGTCCGACTCTGAGAATCCAGAGTCTTCACCGTGACCATAATCAGCTCTCCGGACTCTGACATCTCTGATACCTAAAATATAAAAGAAAAGAATTATGTTACATCTCTTGGATTAAAAACATTCAAGAGATAAAATAAACATACAAATGTTCAGAGACATGATATGAAATATTAGAATTAAAAAATATTAGAAATAAAAATACACTCAATATTTAACATGTTAAATTTCCCTTTGGGGGGATCAATAAAGTTCTTCTTATCTTACATTATTTGGAATATTGAATACACTAAGAACATAATTATTATAATTGTTATCGTTACTATTATCATTATTTGTATAACTATCGATCATCATTATTATGATTATTACTATTATCATCATTATTATTGTTGTCATTATTATGAAGAAGACAAAGAACTTTATTGATACCAAAGGGAAATTCATTATATTGTCTTCGTTTTATATATATATATATATATATACTCTTTTATTATTGTTGTTATAATTATTATCATTAATACTATTTTTGTCATTTATATTACTATCATTACATTATTATTATTGTTATTATAACTGACATGATTTCATTCTAATAAATTAGAAACATAAAAAAATTGTAATGAAATAAAAACATAAATATTCAGATCAATGATTTTTCATTTAAAAAAACAAATTAAAGATAAAAAATAATGAAATTAAATGTAGAAAGTCTGTGCTTTTCAGATTAATGATAATGGTGTTTTTAAAATGAAGCTCAAAGCATCATCATAAAATTAGCATTAAAAATAAACATTGAAACATTTATTTAAAATCTAACTAATCGCTGTAGAAACAACCAGACTAACCTGCTTACGAGACACTAACCTGCTAACTTTAGCTTTGTTGATGTTGTTGTTAGCTCGTTAGCTGCTACAGTCGTTAGCTAACCCCAGGTTCCGGAGGTTATCAGCGCTGAATATTTAATCTGTCCGGTTTATATCGGTGTTGTCGTCCAGCGGGGTGCCGGTTACAGATCCCACAGGCACCGTCAGAGAATCCCAGTATCCACGGAGCCGGCGGGTTACGTTAGCAGGGTAAGTCTGGTTAATGAATGAGCGCAGCAGCAGCTAGCTCTTTAACTAGCTTCATTTATCCAAACACAGCTGGGTGCCAGGACCCAATGACGTCATTAGAGGTGTCTGTTTCACGCCTGGGTGTATTTCTGTTGTTTTACTACTAAAAAAAACTGCTCAATATGATTTCACAATATAGTTTAAAGAAATACAAGTCATAATTAATGGTGTAATACTTCCGAATTTTTCAATTTGGAGTTACTGTTTAGCGTGCAGGAAAAAACAAACAAACTAACTGTAACTTTGTAACTTTGGCGACAATAATTAACATACACATAACACACACACACACACACACACACACACACACACACACACACTGGGAGCTTTATGAACTGTGGGGCATGTGTTAGTGGACACACCTCAGAATATGTGTGTGTGTGTGTGTGTGTGTGTGTGTGTGTGTGTGTGTGTGTGTGTGTGTGTGTGTGTGTTAGACAGAGGCATGTAGAGACACGGCTAAGGTGTGGCAGCTTCACTCTTAAGTGACTTCATGTGACGGAGCAAAAACTCTTTCTGCAGTCAATGTGTGTGTATGTGCGTGTGTGTGTGTCAGTGCTTTTCTAGCAGGACAGAGTTTCCGGTCAGGGTTAGTCTGAGCTCTGAGATAACACTACAGGACAGAAGAAGTCCAGGTGAGGTTCAGGTGTAGTTCAGGGGACGTTTCTCCGTCTCTCCACTGGTGTGTTTTGGCGCGTGCTCATGAGGCTGGAGGAAGTTACCGAACGGACCTGAAGACAGATTCCCACCTGAGGAACAACAGGTAAACTCAGCTTAAAAGTAACACGTACACCTCAAGAAGTTAAACTATGTAGTTTATTAACAGTTTAAGTGTAGTTGAAGTTAAACACTGTAGTTTGTTGACAGTTTAATTGTAGTGACTGGCATTTATTTGTTCATGAACTAAGCGTTTGTTGGCAGGTTTGATGAAAGCTCTGCTGAACCTCAGAGCTGATCTCTTAGTGGGGTCATGGAAAAGTGAAATTCATAGAAATCAGTCATCAAACCTAAGTGACTGACAGTCAAAGTTATAGAACATCTCTGTAGAAATTTGTTTGGACTGCCTTATAGAAGGAAATTTGTCATTTTTAGATCAAAGTTGTTCATTTCAGATTATTCCGGTCAACTTAAAGACTTTGTAGGAAGATTACTTTTTATACTCTACTTTCTCATAAATGTAGGACTTTTTCAGATAAACTTGAAACTTTTTCCTTTCTTCAAAGTCCTCCAAACACTTGAGTTTAGTTTGATATGAATTTTTTTTAGAAGATGAGGAAGAAATCTGACCTCTGTGTTTTTGTTTTATTCACTGTTATGTAGATTCAGAGTTTAATCTCGCAGTTTAAGAGTGAGAAAAACGAGTGTGTATTAACAGCTGCAGAAGACAAAAGTTGATATCAGGGTTTTATAGAGCAAACACTTGCAGCAGGTGCTTCATCCAAACACTTCAACAGAGTGTCTTCCCTCTGACTGTATAAATAGGACAGCCCATTACATGAAGGTTTTTATTCTTGAATGCAGCTAAAACTGGATGTTATAATGATGGAAACATGAACACAATTGAGAAAGTGTAAGCCAAGTTTAAATCATACAGTCACAGTCAGCTGAAGGTTCAAATTACTGGATGTTTATTATGTTTTTAAATCAAACATGTTTCTTCATGTTTATTTAACTGAACCTGTCAATGAACCAGCTAAACCAGCTGCAGGTTGTTCCTGTGGTTAAAGGAGCTAGTTAGCAGGTTAGTAAGTATGTAGTGTGCTGTTGGCACATGCTGTTTGTGGTAACCCAAGAATTAGACTCCAGATGAGTTAGTCCAAACCTTCTTACCTGTCCTTAACTCCTTATTTGTCTTAAGAAGGAGGGGAAACTCTGAGTCAGGAAGGCTGAATGTGAGGCTGGTTAATGATTGAACATGACCATGTGAGTTTGTGAGAGACTGTGTGCATGAATAAATAGAGGTCAAAGGGTATGACTAAGTTTAACTTTATAGTTTCTTTCCCTGTGGGCGCTGAACTGTTCAAAGGAGCAGAGTTCCTGATCTGACAGGCCAAACTTAACTCTCATTATACCATCTGATAATCCTCTTTGAATCTGAAAAACCCTCTTTACAGTTTACTCCGATTTTCATCTGTCTCTTCCTCTTTCTCAAAACAAGCTAGTAGTCCCTCTGCTCTTTAAAGAGGAGGGTGCAGTATCCATGATCCATGGTCCAGAGAAGTCACTGGTGTTTCTAGATTCTAGGTTTGAATAACCTGTTTTTTTTTTTACTTGTCTCTGACCTTCCATTGTCCTTTTGTCTTTCCTGCAGGATTTTAATAGCTTCCTTCCCCTTTTCTTGCTCCTTTTCTTCCTCCTCCTCCTCCTCTATCTCCTCATTACCCTCTTCCCCCTCAGCAGCACCATGCGGAGGTTCAGCTCTGAGGGGTCCCTCCTGGATCTGGACTTCTTTCCGTGGAGGAAGGGGGGTCTAAAGGATAAGGATCATGAGAGGAGTCGGGACACTCCTCACCTGGAGGAAGACGAGCTGGATGGAGGCCTGAGTAGCACGACCCCCACTATGTTGGAGCCCAAAGCGGGTGGAGGCGAGGGGGCGAAAAAGGAGCTGACCAAGGAACTGAGTGTAAGCGTGGAAGATCTGACCGCACTCCATAAACTGGATAAGAACCACCTGAGGGTGAGCTGGTTCAGTGAGGGCTTCAGGGCGTACAGTGATGGACAGCTGGCCCCCGACCCCAAGGGCAGCATGGAGAACATCAGGAGGGACGACCTGCCTCCAACCTCACCCACCTCCTCCACCTCTCACCCCTTTAAGTCCCAGCAGAGACACCACCACACCAAACTATCCGCTGCCAAACTCCACCTGAAGAGTCTGTTTGGACAGGTGAGACCCTGAGACATGGTCAGGTCCTCTCATAGTCACAGAGGCTGAACTGAGAGTTTGTCACATCTGAACTGTTTAAAGTCAAACTAACCAGGAACACAAACAGGAACAGTTACTGACTCACTCTGATCCACTGAGGATTATGTCACTGACATTACAGAGAGTTCACCTGCTGCAGGAGAAAGAAACTGGATTTCCTACTCTAAGTTTATCTTCATTCATTTAAAGAGAGAAAGACAGCTCTGGGGAGAAGTTTGAACAAACTGCAGCTTCAGTTTAATATCTCAGAGGGCCTCCTCAGGGTGAATTATGAAATTACTTCTTTAAAAAAAACAGTCACACTGAACTGTTGACATCCATAACATACTCATACATGATGCAGACAGACTTGATGAAGATACCGTCAGCCCATCTCCATGACGACAGAGATGATTGACAGATCTGTAGTAGTTGTCCTGGTCAAACTGCGGACAGTGTTTTACATCTCGGTGTTCGTCTGATATCACACTAAGGCCTCTCTGTGTCTAACCTTTGAACTAGACCCCAGTGATCTTTAGTGACCTTCAGTGACCTCCTTTTCTGTTTTAGAGTCCTCATTCTTCAAACTCCAACCTAACCAATCCAGAGCCCAAAGACAGGTGAGAACCACACTGAGCTGATGGAGTGACTTCTGTTTCTGAGTGTGAGATAGATGACTGTGGGGTGAATGAGTGACTGTGGCATTGAAGAGTTGTGATCGGTCAGAGGACTACAGCGATAGAAACTGAGTCCATTTGACATTTGTCCATGTGTATTTTTGACCTCATGCATCATGTCTAAGAACCTTTTCACCCTGTTGTAAATGTCTCCATTCTCATGTATCCTTAGGTTCACTTCTGTGTCTGATAATGTCTTTATATTTGTGTTACAAGGAGGACCTCAAGCGGTCTGACTCAAAAGTGTCTCTGTGTCATCATGTCTCCATGTTATCCTTTACTTGTGTTTTCTTGTCTCCGTGTCTTGTCCCGGTTCTTACTTCTGCTGTGTCCCCAGTCCTGTGGAGCGGAGATCCCGGCTGCACTTCATGCGTCAGTGGAGTCAGGTGGGACACAATAAGAAGAGGAAGATCAGCAAGGAAGAGCTGGAGAAGTGGGCGGAGTCTCTGAACGCCCTGCTGGCCAGTCAGAGTGAGTCTGAGTTTGGGTGTTTATTGAGACTGTGTGAGGGGTTCTTTGGAGTTTTTTATAAGAAACCTTAAATCTTTGCTCAGTGGTTAGACTCCGCCCACAGCTTAGGGACAGACAGCAGACAGGTGGAGTTGAAATCCAATCAGACGGTCCTCTGTCTTCAGATCTTCCTGTCAGCTGGTGATTGATCAGGACTGAGAGTTTTTTGACAGACACAGACAGAGGAATGCGGACAGTTAAAAATAGATCAACAGACGAAAGACTCACTTAACATACGTGGCAGGTGTCCTGACAATGTGGGAAACAGGAAGTGAGGGCAGAAATCATAAATGTCCATCTTCTCGAAAGAGAAGTGAGCACCGCTGAGTGAGACAGAGACCTCTGAGACTGTGCGTATATGTGTGTGTGTGTGTGTGTCTATCTGAACTTACTGTGAGATGACAGTCTGTAACCAGACGTCACAGCTCCTGTGTGCTGAGCAATAAAGAGAATGCGAGTGATGCTATTTACAGAACAAACATAATTACACACAAACGATTAGTATTAAATCACAGTTTGTTTTCAGTCTTTACAGATTCAACAGTTTTACAATTTAATCTCCTGCTGGTCTGCACCTGCTGTTTGAGTGTATGTGTGATGTGAGAGTGTTGTCTCGATCAAACTCTTTAAAATCCATACAATGAAGTTCAGGATGTTTGTCGTACCACACACAGACCCCGGTGGTCATTAGATGAATTGCAGTCAGTGTTCTGATCCAAATACAACACTAGACTGCGTGTACCTAAGTGTTCCCCCTTATATTCACAGATGTTCAGTTAATATTTATTATATATAATTATTTTTATTTTATTGAGTGAATATGAAAACTAATTAGATAATAATGAATATTATCATTACTATTGTTGTTGTTTTCATTAACTTTTTTGTATTGTACACAGCTCTGAGACTTTGGATTCTGTGGGGGTTTTAACCTCCATGTCGATAAAAAAAAAATCTTCCTTCTGTGTAGCCGGGGTTCAGGTGTTCGGGGCGTTCCTGCGGTCAGAGTTCAGCGAAGAGAACCTGCAGTTCTACCTCGCCTGTGAGCAGTACAAACAATCCTCTAACAACTTCAGTCTGCAGAGGAGAGCCCGAGACATCAGCAACACCTACATCCAACCAGGATCTCCCAGAGAGGTAATTACACACCTTCACCTGTCACATGAGAAAGACTTGGCAACATTAATTATAAGACTTTAAAGGGATAATCAGGGTTTTAGCTGATGGTCTCTCCTGTTTCTGTCGGACGTCATTGGTTAAAAACTGGACATTTTGATATCAGCTAAAATCTCCTCACAGGAAAGTGGCCTGATTTATTTTGGCCAGCCTTTGTGTTTCTGTGAGAGTGTGAGCAGGAAGTGATGACTGTTGAAACTATGGGTCAGGGAAGCATCAAAGTTAGCTTTGTTTAAGAGTTTAACCAAAGAGGAGGATTAGCCAATGAATGAAGACTTTGTTACACATCTTTATCATGAGAGCAGTGGTTCTCAAGTCCAGTCCTCGACTGTCGACCCCCACTATGTTGCCGACTGTCCTGCATGTTTTGGATGTTTCCCTGCTCCAACACACCTGATTCAAATGATTACCTCGTTATTAAACCATTACAGAGCTTGATAACGAGCTGATCATTTGAATCAGGTGTGTTGGAGCAGGGGAACATCCAAAACATGCAGGACAGGGGGGCTCGAGGACTGGACTTGAGAACCACCGATGTAGAGTCACCTGTCTCATGAAAAACGTACTATTATTTCCATGTGCCTTTGTCTCAGGTCAACCTGGATGGTAAGACTCGAGATCTGACCCTCACTCTGCTGCAGGCCCCGTCCCACAACTCTCTAAACCACGCACAAACGCGCATCTACTCCCTGCTAGACACAGACTGCTACCCTCGCTTCCTCCAGTCACATCTCTACATGACCCTGCTGAACCAGGAGGACTAGAGACTCCTCTGTCCCTGCTGCACCAGAGACACATATGCCCTCACTGCACCAGAGGGACTAGAGGCTCACCAGTCCCTGCTGCACCAGGAGGACTAGAGACACAGCTGCCCTCACTGCACCAGGAGGACTAGAGACACACCTGTCTCCACTGCACCAGGAAGACTAGGGACTCACCTGCCCCTGCTGCACCAGGAGGATTAGAGACAGAGAGAATCAGCTGATGAGCAGATCATCAGGTCAAAAGCAGATTCTGTTGCGTTTGTTTAGTCAGTTTGAGCTTTGATCACCTAAGACTCTTGAGTTTCTGACTCAGGTTTACTCCTGTCTGTGAGAAACTGCATTTCTGCCCCAGCCCCACCCAAATAACACGTTAACACTCTGATGATCCTGCTCTGAGTTTTCCTGCTGACACGTGGAGAAAATGGGTTGATCCAGTAGGATCTGGACCTGAAAGGTCAAAGTTCAGCATGAGGAAAAGTTCAGGGTCCTCTGAAACTCTGATCCAAGGTGTGTTTAAACCGTCTGTCAGAGTGATGATCCTGATAAAACAGCTGATCTAAGGTGGAGTGTATGAGCAAGAGTTTGTGTATGTGTTAGTGAAAGTGTGTGTGTGTGTGTGTGTGTGTTTGTGAAGGTGAGTGTGTGTAAATTTGGGGATGGGGAGATGTTTAAAAAGAAACAATAAACTGTGTTGTGTGTACTGTCAGAGTCTAATTAGTGTGTCTGAGAAGGTGATTAGATGTTTATCTTCAGGGTGGACACACCATAGACTGTATATACTTTTATATACAATCTATGGGACACACCTGCTCTTGTAAAGGATTCTGGGAAACTGAGGCAGGGGAGGAGTCTGAAAAGAGAATTTGAGAAACAATAAAGCCTGTTTTGAAAAAAGTGAAAAGTTTATTCTGATGATTCAGAAAGAAATTCTCTGAAACCCGAGAAATCCTGATGCTCACTTCATAGATATTCAACCGTCATCCATCACAATAAACCACAAAGATCTGCTCAAGGTTTTCATTTTCATTTGAGAAAATCAATTTAGAGATTTTTAGATTTTATTCACTTCCACTAGTGCAGGTTCACTCTGAGTCTGTTCAACATTTGGCCACGAGGACTTTATAACAGCTACAAAAAAAAGAGAAAAAAACCTGAAACATGGGCATCAAACCAGGTTACTTCAGCTACTGTCTCTTTAAGAAACTTCAAAGCACTTCAGAACCCAGTAATCTAGGGTCTCCTTGGCTCTGGTCCTCCTCAGTCTAGACCTGAATCTGGTTCCCTCTGGATCACCATGGTCTAGTGCTCCTCCGCTCGTGCTTCTGTTTTACCCACTGAGCACTGAAACTCTTCTCTCCCACAGTCCATGACCGCAGTCCTCCATCTCTGTTCTCTGACTGACGTCTAAGGGGGGACAATAAGTCTTTTCCTCCTGCTGCTGGAAGCTGAGGTCTGTCCTGTCTCTCCTTCATCCTGCTCTCCTCTTCATCAGCTTGACCCTGCTGTGTCTCTGTGGCGTCTTCTGTGTTGGATACAGACTGAGGAAGAGGAAGAGACAAGTGCTGCGACCTGATAAAGGACAGGACAGAGTCAAGGGTGGGGAAGAGGACAAAAGACATTCAGAATATATCAATATACCATGAAGAGACTTCACTCTGTGTGCAGACTAAAACCAACTCCCAGTGGCTTCACTCTGGTTTACAGTTCATCTGTCTGTGGAGAGTCTCAGTTTCTCTGTAAATAGTCTGTTAGTGGCTTCACTCTGGCTTCTGAACCTGAAAAAAACCTGATGTCCTTGTGGTTTTCTTGGTTCAGTCTCTTGTCTGCACACAGAGTCACTGACTCTTTCATTTACCTCCTCATTATAAACAGATAGAGTTTAAGCATCAGTGTTACCTGGTTATTGGTGTGTGAGCACTGTCCAACCTGTGTGTGTCTGTGTGTCCAGGTGTGTGTGTCTGATCCTCCATAGCTGTCACACCTGTGAATGTAAGGCGCTGACAGGTGAGTGGAAAGTATGCTGTAAAGTGTATCTAATGACACCAGGAAGAGAAACATCTTTTCTATCTGAACTCGTAAAAGAAAAAATCTCTGAAGCAGAGAGAGATTATTTTCAGCCTGAGACTCATTCTGACAAGTTTTAGGCTCTAAATGTCCAGCAGGGACAAAAAGTTTCAGCAGGTGATTTATCAACCTCCTGCAGCAGATTAACAGCAGTTCTATAACAGAGTCCTCAAAGTGAGTCAGTGAAGGTTCTTATTTTTGTCCCTGACAGGCTCTGGTAGCTATTCTTAGTGTCTGACAGAAAGGATCCCTGCAGAGAGAGAGCTGGGTGTCACAGAGGAAGAGCTGACACTGAGAAGAACAGAGGGTTATATCCTTTACATAGCGCAGGTGTTACTGCTCTACCTGAATGTGTTATTGTGACACACATTATATTGATATTTTTGAGAAATACCCCGCCTCTTATTTTTCGCTTTTTATAATTTTGTATCAAACAAATAAAGCTGATAAATGTGGCACATAAGATAAATAAAACCAAACATCACCGTTTAAATCTCTAACATCACTTAGGTCTGACATCATCGGCTCACCTGTCAGGCGTGTGTCCTGCTGTCCTGCTGCTCTAAAGTCCAGGTGTCGACTGTACAGGCAGCTTCTCGCCACCAGACCCTGATCGCTACCAGAGATGAGGAGAGGAGTAGGAAGAAGGAGAGGAGATAAGAAGAAAAGAGGAGAGGAGGGGTCCAGAAGGAGATTGGAGAGGAGAGGAGATAAGGAGAGGAGAGAAGAGGGGGAAGGTGTGTTTGGATGAAGTAACAGAATTGAAAAACAAGCAAAAAGAAAAAGGCAAAATCATCAAACTAATAAAAACTGAAGAAACAAACTGAACAGGATAAAAACACAGATGTGATGAAACGTAAATGTCAAACCTAAAAATGAACAAACTGTGAGTGAAGAAGAAGTCTGAGGAGCAGAACTGAGCTCCATCCGACTGATACAGAAACACTCAGAACAGGATTTTTGATTTAAATTGACTTTAATAGTTTCTACAAAATCATCAGACAAAAGATTATAACTCAGTCTGATCATAAAACCGCAGATTATAACTCAGTCGGATCATTGAACTGCAGATTATAATCTGTCTCTAACACACAAGGAACAGCAGGATGTCATCAATGGAAACCCATCTCTGATCTGTTAAGGGAACTGAGGTCATAAACAAACGATATCATGAAGAGTTGAGCACAGGAACAGAAACACAAAGAGGGATGATACAGGTGAGGTTTAACAGAGAGGGAAGAGAGAGAGAGAAGAAGGAGAAGAAGAGAGAGTTAGTGAAAAGAACAAACATCAGAAACAGAAACGGGAGGGACTGCTAAAGACCGCCAGTGTATACACAAAGACTGATTATACATACACTGATACACCCACTCAAACACAAACACAAACACACACTGAAAAACACTCTGCAGGCACACACACACACACACACTTAAACATTGTAAAAATGTTTAGGGGCGGAGTCACACACATGCGGAGTGGGCGGAGTCATGCAGTTCTCACCTTGTGCGTCTTGCCCTGCAGCGGTCGATGAGGGGGGACTGGGGGCTCTGATTGGCAGATAGTGTGGTGGGTCGAGTGGGGGCCCTGCTGGGGGAGGAACCCACGCTGAGGGGAGGGGAGTACCGGGAGGATACCGATCGCTGGGGGGAGTGAGGGGGAACAAACGGCCAGGGAGGAACCCTCTGCTCCTGACGCACAACTAAAAGGGGAAGACATTACACTGTATCATAAATATTAAATCTATTCAATACGAATGTCATAAATAACAGACATCAATATATTTATTATTGATATCATAAATAACAGATGATTATTTTGCTGTACTGCACAGGATGGGAATCAGGAAGTGTCTGTGTGATTATTACCATCTTTATACTGCAGGAGAATACTGTATTAAATGATAGTATAAACTGTAACACAGAGGAAAATAGAGAGGGACCTTAATTTACACAGTTAGATTTACTGCAGGGGAATTATACGATCTTATATAAAGGGTTAATTTATTGTGTTAGATCCAGCATACTGCACTAGAGTGTGATTATTTTGCAGGAAGAAGAAGAAATAGAAGAACTCTCTGTTGACACTCTGCAGTGATTCAGAGATTCAGTTTTATATTTGTAGGGTTTACCTTCCCTCTCTGTCAGAGAGTACGGTTTGATCTCTCCTTCTGCTCTTCTGGGGGGAACCTTTCTCAGTTGGGCCGCTGTGGAGGAGGACACATTTACAGACAAAACATGAGGAACAGCAGAACAGACCTTGGTGCTGTTTTTATGGAGCAGTCTGTTACAAGACTCGTCTGCTCACCTGTTTACTCCTAACCTGAAACAAATCATGTGACTCTGATTCTCTCACTGCAGACACCATTGTTCCCATTTTTAACATTAACCTCTCAATAAAAAGGGAGCTGTGGTCTCAGTCTCGGTTTCACTGTTTCTAACAATCACTAAAAGTCTGAAACCAGACAGACTGCAGCTCTGTGAAGCAAAGTACACAGATCTGTGTGAAATCTGGATCCAGGATTTTTAAAGTTCGACAACTCTATAAGAATAAACAGCTGTATAAATGGTTTAAATCAATCATGTTTGACAGCTTCTGATGCAACATCAGGCTGTTCAGAGGATCTCATCACTGATAGACTGGATAACACTGTGTCAGACATGCAAAGTGAATCCACATCTATCCAGTGACTTTAATACAGAACCCCAATCCCAACAAAGTTTGAACACGGTATAAAATGTTGATGAAAACTAAATCTGGTGGTTTAAAAATCACCTAAAGCATATACTCAATTGAAAATAGTGCAAAGACAACATATGTTGAAACTGAGGCACATCTCCCATCAGCTCTTCTTTTACTAACTCTCTGTAGACCTAAGTGAACCCAGCAGACCAGGTTCTGGAGTCTAAAAGTGAAATGTCCAGAGAGACTCAGCCTCTCTGAATGTCCTTTTTATACCCAGTCATGTCACTTACCTGTTGGACATGAACCTCATTGGTTGGAGATGTTCCTCCAGCTGTTTTTCTAGCATTACAAGACTCTTAACCTGTTTGTTTGCCCCTCTCAAACTACTTTTTACCAGTTTGGTTGTTCCTTTAATAATTTTTACAAACATGTTGCTGAATCAAATTTAAAATCAGGAGAGATCTGTTATAAACACTTAACGTTCTTTATGATTTATTTGATGCTGTCTTTGTTCTATAAAAACTTAAAGTGATTTACAAACCATCAAATTCAGATTCTACTAACATTCTACACAATGTTCCACCTGCTGACAGACAGGTGTTTTTCTGTCAGTCTGGAGGCCTGGGGGTCTGGGGAAGGTTCTTCAAGGGTCTCAAAAGGTCTTAAAGGGTTTAAAGTGTCCTAAAGGGTCTTAAAGGGTCTTGAAGGGTCTACAGGCTGTGGCTCTTTGTGGATACTGTCATACTTTGACAGCTGGGAAAGTCGGTTCAATATATGAAATGATCCATGACATATATTGTACCGGTGTAGGTAGAAATGCAGGTGATGTGATGAAAAGGTAATGCCAGGGTACAAGTTTCAGAGCCTTACATTCAGTCTGACATGAAGCTAATGATGGAGAGTTCACTGGTTTCTAGAGGGGAGGGGGGGTTAGGTGTGAGAGAAAATAAATCAGTTCTTACAAATATCCGATCATCCCCTGATCCGTCAGAGGAGCGCAGAAAGGGCCTGAGAGAGTGTGTGAACACACACACACACACGTACACACACACACAGACGGCGGAGGTGGAATAAAAAGACATCAGGACTCGTGAGGGTCTGAATCTTACATCTCTACACTGAGGGGCTTGGGTTAGGAGCTGAATGAACACGTTAATCTGAGTTTACAGCAGTGACTGAGAGAGGGAGGGGGTGAGAGAGAAAGAGAGAGCGAGAGAGAGCGAGAGAGAGGGATTATAGAGCAGCTTTCATCTAAACAAAAGATTCAGAGCTGATCGAGAAATACCCAGAATACCAAACACAGCCCACACTCATACCTCTACACAGAGAGACAAAAAGAGTGAGAGAGAGAGAGAGAGAGAGAGAGTGAGAGACTTACCTGATCTGTTCAGGAAGAAGCCTTCAAACACCACAAAGTTATTCACCTGTAAACACAAACACACACACAAAGCAGATTATCACTTGGCCTAATCACGATTGAATTTCCCTACTGGGACCAAAAAAACACCTTCTTATTCTTAGACTGTTAAATGCTTCATTCTGATTGGTCAAAACTTTGAAACAGTGGTGATTAAATCTTACTAGTTTGAGCAATGTCAGGGGCGTAACCTGATCTCACACATCATTTCAATCTGTGCAAAACTGTTCCAGCTTATATCACCTCTGTTGACTCTGTGGCAAAAATGCTGGTTCCAGTTAGCATTACAAATCTGTTAACAACATGGGGGATTTTTTTAGGGTCTAAACAAAAAGACACTGTGCAAGAGGGGAACACTTAATCCTACTTTCAGGTGCACTGAATCCCAAATGTGGAGACTATGACACGCCTCAGAAGGCCCCAAACTTCACACCTACATCAGGTCTGTTAAAACAAACGAACTTTTCATGGGTCTCAGGTGTAAGTAGTCTGTGTATCTTTAGACCCTTTGGGGATTTAGAGTATTAAAGTACTTAGAGTAACCAAAACCCACTTTAAAAGCTCTCCATGAAACAGGAAGTTGCTGTGTGCTTGTACACATAATAATCAGAAACTGTGTGTCCTTCGGTGTATTATCTCATCTGATTTCTAATGACTTATTTTTGTCTACTAAACACGTCATGCAGCTTTAGCACAAACACTAAACACTCAGATCATATCTGACAGCAGTCTCCCTGTGAGATACAGAGTCTAAATATAACCGGAATAAATAGAACAATCAGGATAAGATGGGTGTGTCCCCTGAGGGTAAATCACATCTGCCTCCATCTAGAGGTCAGACAGAAAGAGGAGGAGACAGTGATCATCAAAGAGAAGCGTGATGAAGATGATAAAGAAGAGTACAGACTGTACCTGAGGGACGCTCTGAGCCAGACAGTACTGCTTCGCCAGGAAGGACAGGAACTTAGGTGAGGGACGGTCGTACGCCATCAGGACGGGCTCCAAACCTTTGTGCTACGAAAGACAGAAAATACACTCAGTCCTGCAGAGAGGACAGGACTCTTCTCCGAATCTGATCAATGTGACCTTTACAACCTGAGAGTGACCTTACAGGAACCAGCATCCATGTGAACATGAATTTTACCTTCAACATGAAGTCAAAGAGCTCCAGCCCGTAGCCATGTCTCTGCAGGTTCTCTGATATGTAGAAATCCAACACACAGAGCGGCTCCGCCTCGATGTGCACCCCCTGTCTATCCTGAGAGGGATTACAAGGAGAGCAGAGTTCAGTGACTCAGAGCTGCAGGACGAGTTAAACAATGAAACTTAAGACAAAAAGGCAACTCACCAGCAGGAACAACTTCTTATATCCAACTTTAAGAAATCCAACCACCACTCCTCGTCCTCTGTGGGGAGTAACAGTAAAGTAAGTCAGACTATGACACCGTGTGTCAACAGTACAGAGCACGCATAACAAGCACTGTGTGACACACTGTGAATGAGTGTGTGTGTGTGTGTGTGTATGAGTGTGTGTGTATTTGTGTACCCGTTGCTCTCTCCATCTTTCAGCAGGTAGAGCTGATGTCTCTGAGTCTGCAGCTTTGAAGCACTTGTGATGGGAGCAGTGAGCTGCTGAGCCTGCAGAGAGAGAGACAACTGTGTTTAAGTGCAGTTTCTTTAGTGTCCACTAGAGGCTGAGTCCTACAGTGAGTCAGTCCTATAGACTGTATATAGTATGGGCCTCCCGTCATTGTATGAATTTGAAGCCAAATTGCTCTATTATTAACCACCAGCTCTGTAACCGTATGTTGTTGTTATGGTGATGTAAACAATGAGTTCACATGTAGTAATAAATATGCTGACAGCATTTATTTCTGACAGAATTAGCCTGTATTTCACCCACACATCCTGTGGTGACTCAGCATGTTTACAGTCCAGCCATAGCTGTGAGGATGTTTCTTTCTGCAGCACGTCTGTCTGTCTGAGAAGAAGATGTTAAACTGAGCCTGCGATGGAGGAGCACTCAGATTAAATTATGCTGAAGTCTTCATGCTGACCTCAATTCTTAAATCCACATTCAGACCCACAGGGAGGAGCATTTATTCTGTAACACAGGGGATTTGTCTGCGACAGGAAGCCTGATTTAAGAGGGGAAACAGCCTGTAAGTTCAGAGATGTAACTAAGTCCTCACTGCATGACTGTGTTTGTACTGTGCTGAAATGCTCAAACAGAGTTGAAGCTGCAAGAACCAAATGAACCAATAAAATGATCATATTTACATATACAATCAGAAATGTTGATGGGGAAACTCTTTATAAAACATATTTGATGTGTGCTTCATCACAGTGCAGCTCAGTGCATGAATTTATGAGGGGAAGAAAGAAACAGGAAGACGGAGGAAAGGAACATATGACAACATTGAATTAAACCTCAGCTGCTGTGGTTATAGATCCGCCTCAGTCTAAATGGTACATGTTCTACAACTGAGCCACAGACTCAGCCTGCACTCATTTTCTCTTACACAGATTATTCTCTGCTTGTAAAGGGCTTCTTATTGATCAAAAGTCTTATTTAATATAATATGGTACTAATTCATGATATTTTGAGATGAAACAATGTGCAGCAGGAGCAAACACCAAACAACCTGTACAAACACATACAGGATAGCGGCTAGATGGTCAGCAGCAGCTCAAAACCAGAAACTATTTGATGGTATTTTTATTAGATACAGATTAGATCTACTCAGCAGGTTCAAGGTCCTAAACATGAACAGGTCCACAGACTCACCTTAGCAGAGGCTCTCCCAAGTTCATCAATAACAGTGGCAATGTGGGCCTGTAGATCAGGGCTAAAGAGACAAAACACAAAGTGGTTCAATTATCGACTAACTGATGCAGAGAAACAAGCAACAGGGAATATGGCTTTTACTTTGCTCAGTCTGAACACAGTCTGCAGTAGGTCTGCAAACAGTCTTCATGAGGGTCTGATTGAGGGTCTTAATCAGCTTACAGTCTATATAAATTCTGCTCTTAAGGTCCTTTCACAACAAGGGACCGTTTTTGTGATTTTGTGATTATTTCGGACATGAGTATTTTTTTTCGAACCCCTATCCTGTCAATAGAAGTGTTCACATCAGCGACGTTTTCCCGTCCTGCGGTATTGTGGCATTTATTTTTTGGGTCATGGTTAGCTTATCGCCTCTGATTGGCTATAAGTGCTGACTGTTTGGCTTGAGCGTGTGATGATGACATTTCCAGCTTTTCTAGCCAATGAGGCGAAGGAGGCGGGACTTTCCCCGGCAAAAGTCTTCCCCGGGATGAGTCTTTTTACCCCCGGAAAGTCGCAAAATCGCATCGAGCTTGATGTGTATAGTCAGGGGGGTCAAAATTCTCTTCCAAAAATATTTTGTAATTTCGTGTTCTATATTAGCGTCGGCCCCGGTGTGTAAGGACCTCCAGTCCTCTCTGTGTTTGGTCTGTACACAGAGTACTGTAATATATATTTGTTGTGAACACATCTGTTCCAGATGTTGACAGTCTCACTCAGCTTGCAGGAGGTAGTTTACGATGGTTAAAGGCCTGATGAATCACAAGGGTTAAGAATTTCTATTTACTATTGGTCCCCCACCCCCACCCCTGGACACGCCCCTGGTAGGTTCAATTTAATATGCAGATATACTGTAATGGGATCTGTTACTCACCGTCCTGCAGATTTTCGACCTGCTATCAGACTCTGATCCAGGACCGAGACCCTCTCAGAGAATAACAGGTTAATATCAAAAGGAAACTCCATGATCCCGCTCTCACAGATCAGCTCAACACTTTAAACCAGGCTAAGAGAGGAGCCAATACTGGAGGAAACACAGCCAAACCCACGACCAGCTGCTCACTGATGCTAACTCAGCTAGCTAACAGGACGGCTGGCTAAATAAATAAGAAACCAAGTTAGCACCAAAGCGCTAAAATAGCAGTTAGCATGCTGCTAACAGCCCGCGGTCAGCATTACTTCACCATAACACTGTCAGAGATAAATAAGGCTGTGTGTGAATACAGGGAAGCAGTATTTACTCTATCACTGCAGCTCCATTGTGTCTGTACTGGAGTCACTCCCGGCAACACCCGCCGTAATGGCCCGAAAAGACAGGATCGTGAAAACTGTTGTGTTACCGCAGGTCAAACGGCAGAACTATTAACGTCCAGGAAAATATCGGTGAGTAGAACTGAAGAGTGACTGGACTTTTTATTTTATCAAGAGCCCTCTTTAATTCCAGAATTTTAGTTACTTTGAATATCAGTGGAGCAATTTGTACAAGGTTTACGGTAAAATAAATACAGTAAAGAAGCTTTAAAGGGCCTCGGTATCTGCTGATGAAGCTGCGGTACTATCAAAACAACACTTTTAACTGCTAATGACTACCACTGACTACTACTGCCACTTTAAATAATAATAAGTAAAAGTGCCATAAATTCATAATGTCATAATAAAAAAAATAATGCTTGTAGGTAAAGTGGAAAAGGGGAAAAGGTACATTTTTAAAATCATACCAGATTTTTCTATTCGTGTCATTTTGAAGTCTGTCATGAAAATGTTCCATGACTCAGATCTTCTTTCACTTTGACGGATAGGGACCACATTAAGTCACATCGTTACCTTAATTAAGTCTTAATGTAAGTTTCAAAAAAGTTGTAGAAATATTAGAACATATTTGTAATTTTATGAGAATATAGCTGTATTGTCACTAGAATAAATAATAGGACAAGGTATTTAGTTATTTCTGGAACCTTATCGTAAATTGCAATTAGATTAATTGAATAGCAATTTAAGTAAAAGTAAATAAAAGTGAAAGAAATGACTACTTAAATAATTTTGTAATTAAATCTAATTATTAACTATCATTAATGAAAACATTAAGTAGCCTAATAATATTCTGAACACTTTCTTTTTTTATCAACATCTTTTATGTCTACTTTGAACACTGAAGTGCAATATAAACCAGAAAACATCTTTTTATACTTAAGCACAAAAATGATCAGATGCTTTTGGGGTAGTTTTCAAACAGACAACTTTTACTTAGATCAAATTTTAGACTTTACCTTGAGTTTGGATTTCAGGTACTTCATCCCCACTGACACAGTCTCTTGTAGTCCTTTCCCTGGGCCCGTCTGTGGGTTGAGGCTCTTGATGCTCTGACTCCAGCCTCAGACCTCTCAAGGCTGCATCCTGTTGCCTTATCCCCTTTTCCTCCATCACTTTTCCCTTCAGTCAACTTTCCATGAATCTGCTTCAGACAGACTCTGAGAACATCTGCTCTGTCTGTGAGGAGACTGAGTGGCCACCAGGTGGAACTGCAGGTATGAAATCTATCCAACAATCTGACAGAGGTACTGTGACTTTATACAAACATGACTTTATACTGCTGGGGGAAGGAATTGCAATGAAAAATTACAATAGATCATTTAATTTTAATGTAATTATTTTCATTATCATTATCATTGTTAATAAACATGACTGTGTAGAAATCCTCAACTGTTATGTCCCACTCCCATTACTGGTTGCTGCAGGAACACCAGCTGGTGGCAGCTGGTGCATTCTGCAGCAGGGGCTCCTGTGATAAATTTAGACAAAGTTTAACAAACAGGTTTAATAAGATTGTATATTAATGTTAATATGTGTGGTCACAGTATAGATGATATGATGATGTCAGATACTCACAGGAGCTCTGAGTTCTCAGACAGACCATATACCCATATACTGCACCCCTGAGCTTTACCAGCTCAGTGAAAGAGACTTATGTCTCTACTGCCATCTGCTGGCTAGTCGAGTATGATGCATGTGGGGTGCATTTTTCCTGCACCACAAAAAGCTTCTGTCTCTGTTGGAGAAGAGGTGACAACAGGTAACGCATAATGAGGGACGTCAAAGTGAAAAATCAGTGATGTTAGATCTTGTTGCAAATTACACATTATACACACCAACTACAGGCTTACATTTCTACTTTAAAATCACATTTTAAGAAAATTCTTTACATTTTTTATTTTCACATCTGCTGAGCAGCTGTCACTTCACACAGCTGAACCTTAGTCGGGGAGTTTGGACTAATATGAAATACAGCTAAAATACACAAATAACCCCTAAAATTCTGTGTACAAGACACAGTTTAAACACATTTTTTGTTATCTAAAAATTGAGCAGTGTCCTGCACACCAATAAGTCAGTGCAAGCTACAGAAAGGAGTATTTTACTGTGTTACAGTATTTTACCCAGAAGGTCGTGCTCAAAAAAGAAAGGAACAGTTTTTCTGTACAAAGCAAGGAGAGCAGTGTAGTGCAACACTTTTAAGCTTCTGTCACTTATAGGGTCATAATCATGAACCATAATTAATCTGATTTTTCACAGTGGTATAGCAAATAGTTAATCCGAGAGCTGCTTTGATGGTGAAGACCCACATTGGTTGCAGGTAGTGAGTCTGTCCAATTATCAATGCTTCTGTCGGGTGACCCCCGCCACTTTACTGGACGCTGGCAGGGTAGCAGTAACAGATGCTTCAAAAAGAGCTGCACCTCTGCATAAAAAACAACACATAGCTGAATGGTGTGTCTTTATGCAGGAACACTGTTTAAACATTGTTCCCTTTGAGAACCTCCAGAACCTAACAATCACTGCACAATACATAATCATGGTTGAATGCATTGAATTACAGCTGGAAATTTGCGGACGAATGTTCATTTAGCAGCAATGACAACACGTCCTGTTAGCGGTCTGGGTGGGGGTGGGCAGCCGTTGTGACATCAGATGCAAAAGGCCAATACTGATGAGAGGTATTCTCAGGATTTGACAGGAAATCATAAAGTAAGTTGTTTCTGTATCAGCAGAGTTCATGGGAGGATGAGGTAAATGTGTTAAGGAGACTCATAGCGAAACAACACTTTACTGTAAGGTGGTTTTTCCTTTACTGTGTCACTCATCTGTGGCGTTAACAGGTCAGGATGAAGAAGAGGTGGGCTGAGGGCAGATGTAACAACTTCGTTTACAAGAAAGACCTCTTCACTGGAATTTATGACCAGGCAATGTTAAACACTGATTCGGATGGTCAAATCCCATCCCCCTGGAAATGTAGGCGTCATGCCAGAGTCCTGCTCAGCCAGCCAGGATTCTTATCTAGATAACCATCCATTCACTTAGGCTGTCCGACTTATATACTATACATTCAACTTAATAACCCAGAAATTTATTGCCGAAAAAAGGAAGGATGCAGTCAGTTTTATAAAAGGGGTCTAAATCGTACACTGAGTCTGTAATGGTCTGAGTCTAAAACAGTCTGGGTCTAAGAGTCTGAGTGTATAGTCAACAGTGTACGTCTTTAACAGTCTGTGTCTCTATCAGTCTATAGTAGTCTGAGTCTATAACAGTCTGAGTCTATAACAGTCTACATCTATAACAGTCTGCGTCTTTATCAGTCTATAACAGTCTACATCTATAACAGTCTGCGTCTCTATCAGTCTATAATAGTCTAAGTCTACAACAGTCTGCGTCTTTATCAGTCTACATCTATAACAGTCTGCGTCTCTATCAGTCCATAACAGTCTGAGTCTATAATAGTCTGGGTCTAAAACAGTCTATTACAGTCTGAGTCTGTAACAGCCTTAAGCTTCTCCCTTTAACATAAATAGGCTGTCTGATATTTGAACCCTGACCAACCCAAATGCTCCAGATCTATTCAGACCTACTCGTGGCTAACGGCTCTTCTTTTATACTTTTCTTTTGGACCCTTCAGATACTAGGAAGTTTAGTGCTTTAGATAAATAATCAATCAATCAATCAATCAATCAATCAATCAATCAATCAATCAATCAATCAATCAATCAAACAAACAAACAAACAAACAAACAAACAATCAATCAATCAATTAATCAATCAATTTCATCTGTCTATCTATGTATCTATCCTGCTGAACTCAGACCACTGAGGAAGACAGATGTCTTTCCACTTGTTTGTTTGTGTTAGAGTGTATGAGTGTGGGTGTGTATGTGTGTGCATGTATATGTGTGTGTGTTAGGGTCTGTTACAACATCACTGGGAGATTATGATGGCATGCTTTTGTTAATAAAGGAAACACCAGAGTTGTGTAACAGTTGCCGAGTTAGGTAACTCGGGATTCCTGCTGAACTTTCTATTCTACCTGCTGCCTGTCCGGACAGGTGAGAAAGGGGGCGGGGTCTTATGAAGCAGAGAAAGCAAGTGAACTGTGTACGAAACTTGAGGTTTCCTGCCCACCTTTAGCAAACGTATGTGTGTTCCTGTGTGTGTTTCCGTGTTCCTGTTTGTGTTCCTGTGTATTCCTGTATTTCCGTGTGTGTAATCTGTGGTCTTGCTCTGATTACCACAGTTTCCAAACTGATGCAGAAAAAACTGTACCATCAGTGTGACCCCCATGACTCACTGCTGTCTCTGTGACGTGTTTGGACTCTGCAGACTGACTTCATTATTTAATGTGAACAAACATGTTCAAATAAAAAAAATTAAGTCCACAGTTCATCAAATATCCGTGAGGCTGAACAAAAAATAGTTCTGTCCCTCTGATACTTCTTCTCCTCTGAGACCTGTCCTTCTGTGACCTGTTCTCTATATGAATAAAGATTGATTGACTAAATGATAGTTGTACATCTGTGTGTTTTCGTTAGAGGAGAGCAGTGATTTTCTTCTATCTCCATCTCAGTCTGGTCAGATTTAAGCTCCTGCTGATCGTTTGTCAGATTATGTTGTTTTGTTAGACATTTCAGCTTTTATCAGGCTTCAGCCTTCACTTTATCTCTATGTGCTCATAAGTTTGTGTTTCCCTTGTGTTCCAATTTGATAAAATGCAAAAAAAATGCATATATATATATATATATATATATATATATATATATATATATATATATATGTATAGCATGTTATCATACTAATTTATATCATTGAAATCTATCCTTTTGGACTGCATTTTATTAAATTGTATTGCTTTTCAATATGCTGTATAATATTCAATTATATAAAGTTGTATCGTTTACACCATATTGTGCCACTGGATATCCTATCATAATGTACTTCAATGTACCATTTTAATTCTTATTGCTTTCTGAAGTAAAGCATCACATCAC